CCTAATTTTTTTTTTTCAACCACATTGACTATTTCTTCTTTCACATTTTTAATATACCAAATGTTGTTGGAAATCTATGGATATTATCATCCATTTTTGATATCTATATGCATATTTTTATTTTAACAACTCTTCATTTTAGATTTTTGCTTATTTTGATTTTTATTTTGTTGCAGCTGTTTCTAGTATGGTAATCTTGTTAATCTTGAAGTACTCGAGTTTGGAGATGAATCATGTAGAAAAGAACATCAAAAGTGAAGATTAACACCAAAAAGAACATCAAACTTCCAATGAATACATTTTTTCTTCTAATCTCCAACGCTTCTGAATTTTACTAATATACAATGAATTTTTCTAAATTTTTAATCGGTAACATAAATTTTGTACTTTACTACTAACAAATATATTTAGAAATTATAAATAAATATTCTATTTTAAAAATAAATTACTACTTATTCTAAGTAAAATGAAATTATCTTACTTTATATTTAACCAATATCTTTTCATATTTTTAAATATTTTTATCGGTAACAGAATTTTCGACTTTAACACTATTTTTAAAAAAATTTAAATATTTATTTTTCTTTAAAAGTAAATCATTTCTTATTTTGTGTAAAATTGAAATGTGTACTTGTATATTTATCTTATTTTTTATCACATATTTTTGTGTGTTGTATTATATTACTTTTTATTTATATTAAATCCTGTTATTGTTTATGAACAAATATTTTCTTTTATTAAAAGACGATGATATAAGAGTTATATATGAATTAATTTTTTTTTAATGTTTCTTGTTTTAAAAAATAAATTATGTGGAACTTGTATAAAGTAATATATATAGTTTATATTTTGTTATAAACCAAAATGATTTAAGTGGTAATTTGGTCCGAGATGCATTCACTAAATGCATAAGCTAATGGGTTCGAATCTATTTAGTGACATTTTGTACATATTAAAAATTTATGATGACGTGTATGCTGATGTGTCACTGATGTGGACACCCTAAGAGGAGAGAAAACTCTCCTATTATATATATAGATTAGTATTATCAGGTTTTGCTCAAAATTAAATATTTGATTTTAAGGTTTACTTTTTACCTTTCATATTCAGATTTCCTTTTTTTAAGTGAACGTTAGTTTTCTATTATTTTTTTCGTTTCCTTTTTCTTTTTAAAATTTCATGTTACGTCGATGTTTTTATTCAACTTCATTTTTACATTGAATTGTACTTTTAGAGGTGACGGTTTTTATGTACAAACGATTTTTTTTTTTTTTTTGGTCGAAGTACAAACGAAATTAAATATCAATATTATTAATTGAGAAGGGAGTTTTTGGTGATAATGCTAACGTGTCAGCTCCACATTCACTCTCACGAAGACAATTACGATAAGGGGTTTAATGAAAAATATTTATTTACATCGAATGCCATTATCATTATTTCTTCTGAATTTTTTATCAAATCCGTGATTTTATGTTGATTTTATTGTATAACTAAAACTACAATTTCGGAATTCTTTTGTTAAAACCGTTAAAATGTTATTCCGATTTTATTCTTTTTCAACAAAATTATAATCTATATTCTTTCCTATATTTATGGATTACCGATTTATATTGTTTGGATTATGTTTATTAATAAAATCGAAACAACCACTACAAGAAAAATGCACATTCTTAGCTCACGATAAACGCTATTATACGTAATTAATAGCGTTTTTCTAAACGCTGTTTCTGCCCCAGCTATAATAGGGTCACCCCATACAATAGCATTTTTTGACATGCTATTATAGATCGTTCTATTATAGCGTTAATCGAATGCTTTAATATATTTTCTTGTAGCTCATGAGTTTTGCTATATCATATTGTTTTGCAGCAATTTTGATGTGCTACATAATAAAATGATTAATTGCAATATTATTCCAAATATAGATTAGAAATCCAATTAATTATATACTACAAAACCAATTTGTTAACGAATGTTTCTTTCTATTTATTCTTCAGAAGATATATAATTGTAAAGTTACAAAGCAGTTCATCATTTGTTAAACAAAGTCGCAAACAACATCATAAGTACTTCAATTGAGATGCAAAAAAACGAAGAACTCCAACTTATGTTGCTGTCTCATTCCAAGCAAATCTCACGTCATTCTCTTCTCCATATCCTATGTGGTTTGGTTCTCTTAATTGTTGTTGGCTGTCTCCTGCAAATCAAGCACACAACGACATCTTGTAAGAGAAATAAATAATTTGAAGTTGCTCATACTAGTGAATAAAATGGAATGGAGACTGCAATCAGACTTGACCAATACAATATCCGAGCCTAAGGTTCTGTACCTAAGTATTATAAGACTTATTCCCAAATTCCAGTAACTTTGTAACAAGCAAAAGACTTACTTAAAGAGAATGTCTTGTAATGAAGACGAATCAGCTTTAAGAATCTCATTTTTTGGTGGCTATCTTTGCGAGAATAACCTTAACATCTCCTCTTGAATCAAACCCATCAAGCTAGTTCAGTAGTTCCCACATGGTTCTTTAGATTTCATGTTCACCACTTGAGTTTGCATCATACCTGTTTCAACCACCATATTAGATACCATCCAAGAAGCAAAGTCCAGAACATTGTTATAAATGAATCATGTTTGTGTTAACACTCAACAATCCATGCTAGAGTCGTAGACAAAACTGAAAAAGAAGTCATTAGACAAATCCACGTATTTCTGCACAAGTTTCCACTTTTCAATTAGACCAGTTAACTTGGAGTAGAACCATTAAATAATAATTACACAAATATGAAGATTTTAACCAAGAGATGCCGAGATTGAAGATCTCTTTAGCATTTTTGACCTTACACTTAAACTCCATGTGCAAAGCATAAGCTATGTAGTATACAGCTTGTCTTTCCAATGTCATTGACCTACAAAAACTTGTAAATCACCTCTGCATCAGCCCAATACTCTGCGTTTAAAAAACCAAAACTATGAGTACTCTCTATTACAAAGAATAATCTTGAAGGAATTATTTAGAGGGTTTAAAGAGAACATTACATATTCCAACCAGACTTTGAGATAATGAAGATTATCCTTGTAACGTTCCGAGTACCAAAACTTGCGAACACATTGCTCATATATCACGAACAGTCCCGAGCATTCTCCTCCTGATAAAAAGCCTCTTGCACCCATTTTAAACACCTTCCACATAAACCAATAAAGAAGCTCAGGTTTACAAATTTGGACATGTACAACATAAAATTTGGTTCAAGAAACCGAGCTAGCTAATACATTTCGTGAAATCAACACAAGAAGTTGCAATTTTCAACAACCCAATCAAGAAAGATGAAGGAAGGAACTTACTCGAATCAGGGAAATAGAAGGTCATGACCCAATCATTTATGTCCTAATCGCTTCAGTTTAAGCAACCGAAGCTTTCATTTAGTGGGAGTCACGGTCGGAAATCTAGCAGCCGCTTCAAGTCCTTTCTGCTTCCGTTGCGGCTCGTTCGAACTTCTTCTCCTTCTTGTCACCACCATCTTGTTTCCGATCTCCTTACCGATTAAATTCATCTTGTTCGAATTCATCTCCTTGACACATCGATTCAATCCATAAGGCTTAATTTCATCAAAAAGTGAAGACGAGAAGGGAGGGAGAAGAAGAAGATGTGAAGAGAAGACGAGGAGGAATAGGCTGGTACCTTTAACGGCGGAAGACGGTGGATACGAGGCCTTGTCAACGGAAAAGGTGTGTGGCTAGGCAGTGGTGTGGATCTGGAGATGAGAGAAATTTTTTTAGAGAAGAAGACCAGAAAAGACTTAGAAAAAAATTAGAGTAGGGTTATGACCTAGGTCATAAGAGTTTTTTTTGTTTTTTTGTTAAGCGACAGGCATTAAATCTAATATTTTGGAAAATTGTTGGCGGTCATAAGTATTTTTGCTTCCCGCTTTGCTATTATTCGTCTTAGCATTTCTGAAATGCTGTGATATAGTTACAAAATTCCAGATACCATCTTTAATAGCAATTGCGAAATTCGTGCTATCGTGTAGTGCTATCAATGCACACTTTTGTTGTAGTGAACTGAAATCACCAAACCCTAATCGGATTCTGTTTATTTTTGTGAATGGGAAGTGAAAAGCATTTCATACGTCACGCACCATGAACCTCAAATAAATATTCACTCTCCCATTCAAAGCACAATCATTCAAAGTTATTTTGATTCCACTGTCCCTACATAATAATTACTCTGCTAGCCTGCTACAATATACTCCCTCCGTTTCAAAAAGAGTGTCGTTTTAAGGTTTTATTTTTGTTTCACAAAGAATTTTATTAAAAATCTGCATCGAAAATATAAAACGACAATTAGTGGATTGACCCTAACCCTTTATATATTTGTATTAGTTTCTTCGAACTTCCGATGTGGGACTTGGATTGTATTTCCAACATAAATAAATAATTATAGCCGGATCAATCCGATCGGATAATCCGGGTGAACCGGTTCTTGCATCGCTTGGGTTGAGATATGATTTTATCTCCGTCGCAGTAAACGATGGCGAAACAACAAGGATCAGAGGTGAAATCTCAGGATTGGAAGAAATTCGAACTAGGTAAATCATCGAGTGATTTACGAATCGCTTGTAGAGATAAAAAAATCAACCGGGTCGAGAATGGCTTCAGAATCGAACCAGAATCATCAAACACCAAATCAAATCACTACAGGAAAATCAGGAATTGATAACGTCCATAAAACGCTATTTATCGCTAGAGTAGCGTATTTAGAAACGCTATATCATCGACCGCGACAATAGGTAAATGACCTATCATAGCGGTTTTCAGTTATGCTACTGTAGTTCTTTTTAATATAGCGTTTTAATAAATGCAATTGTATAGTTTACAATAGCATTGTAATTATGTTATAATTTATTTCATTTTACGTCATAATTGATACTTATATTGTAGCATTTTTTTGGTTTGCTATAAATTGAGATGTTATCTATTGTTGTTAATGTGGACATGTGTAATGAATTATTCTATATTTGGATTTATCCCCCAATAATTTCGCATAAGCAAAAAGAAATTCATAAACCTGAAGATGTTTCATAATAACCAAAATACATGTTTCAATCCAATAACAAAGTACAGTCATACTGAACACAAACACAAGTTCAAATGTAAACGAGTTTGTCATTTGGCCAAGCTATTATACTACCCAAAGCATCAGCAATGATTTTAATTTCTGAATTTGCTCTCCAAACTGGTGCTTCATCAATGGTAGGGACATCAACCCATACCTTGCTTGCATTAAGACCCAAGGGGACATGATGAACTCTATCTTGTGGATTTGATGATAAAACTCGACCTTCTGCAACCTTTTTTCCTGATCCATTGCAATCCAAGAGGATGCACTTCTTTTTCTCATTTTTGCTGTTGTTAGAGCTGTTACTGACACTCTACAAAAGAAAAATTTCAGACACTTAATCACAAGTCCAATTCCAACAACAAATCATTCAGTAACTAAGAAAATTCCAGAAATATTACCACAAGTCCAATATTTCAACAACAATCCAGCATATCATTTTTAAGACTGAGATGATTTAGAGTCTTACCCCAGGAGATCTACTTTTTGAACTCGTTTTATCCTTGCTTGCTTCTATATTAGCATTTTGGCTATTATGGATTGGTCATGGGTCATAATCTTCTGCATCTGCAGCCTATGGAGCAATGTACAAAAAACAAAACCAACAGTACATTAGTTATTAACATGTTCAACTACATGTTAAGCTAAAAAAAACATAACCAACAGTACTAGAATATTAAATCTTACCGATGAAGCAGCAGTCTTATTTGGTGGAGAGTTCAGATCATTGTCCAAAATGAGCTTATCAAGTTGCCATGCAATTTTTGTTCCAACAGCTTGGCCAAGTGTGGTAACAGTTGTCGTAGGCCTCCACACAGATGCTTCTGCATCTATAACTGACTTAACCAAAATAGCACCTGCATTACGACCAAGTGGAATGCGTCCAATCTTGTAATTTTGTTCAGCTGAGCAGAATTCTCCTTCTCCAATGATAACATCATCAGGTGAACTCAGATTCTTCTTCACATTCAACCACTTCAGGCTCTTCTCCATTCTTATTCTGTGACTGGTCTTCATTGTCAAAGAAGGCAGACCTAAACAACTCATAGGCTTCTAACTCAGCATGTTGATCATCAACTGTCTTCTCATTTCGTGTCTCTCCATGAATACTCCAACAAGAATTCCTCTTGTACTTCTGATCCATTCCTCTAATTACCAAATGATCCACTACTGTGTTTATATCTTCATGGCATACATTCCGGCAATCGATACAAGGACAAAACAACTGCAGAGGATTACCCAACCTCTTTGCTGATGCATACACAAAAGCACGTGCACCTTCCTCATACTCAACGCTTGCCCTGTAACAAAGTTAGTTAGCATTAGATTCTGACCAAAGTAAAATACATATACAAATCAGACATAGAAAGAAATCATACCTCGGAAGCCAAACCCAAGCCTTGTCCATGTTACAAAACCGCAACAGCTCCCAGACAAAGGTACATAAGCAAATCAGACAACACAAAAAGAAATCATAAACCTAAATCGAAACATAAGAACACATAAAACTAAATCGAAACCCTGAAACAAACAAAACCCCTAAGAATTTAACCCCAAATCGAAAATCTAATTGAAACAAACAAAAACCCTAAGAAATTAACCCCAAATCGAAACCCCAATTGATGCGAAAACCCTAAGAAATTAGCCCCAAATTAAAACCCTAAAGAAATTCTCTCTTTTATCGAAAATCTCTTGTAGAACCAAAAACAAACCTTCAATCGTAAACTTTTTCTTCAGTCGATTAGAAACATGCACGAACACAGCTGCGAGAATAGAAGAATCGCTGCGAGAATAGAAGAATAGCTTTACAAATCAATGTCGATGAGAAACCAGAGGGAGATTGAGAACAGAGAGTGAAAAGGAGAGTGGAGGAAGATGAAAGAGTATCGAGAGGGAAAACGAGAGAGGGAAAACGAGAGAGGGAATGAAAAAAATTCTAAGTGTTAAGCGGGCCAAAAATCCAACTAATAAGTTTTTGCCGCTCTCACATTATACAGCGTTTTTAAAAAATTCTGCTATATATTCTAAGCGTTACTATTTTAATTGATTTAGGTTTATGATCCATAGCGTTTATAAATTTTGAAACGCTATTAAAAACTTAAACATAGCAAAACATCACTGAACGCTATAATTCACTGCTATCACTACCTAAGTTTCCTGTAGTGAATGTCTCTGCAATGATATTAATGTCTATAGCCTCTGTTTCAAGAAGAAGAACAAAAAGAAATGAGGTCAACATTTTACTTTTCCTTTTTATTTATTTTATTTTTTTCATTTCTCTAAGCCAATTCTCATTCATGGGCATAGATATAAGGACAATTTCGACTTTAATACTCATTAAACAGTAGAATCGGCAATCATTTAATTTCCCTTTATTCCCTTCACAGCTACCCAAATTTCTAACAGCCTCATCTATTAGTTTAGTTTATTTCCTTTGCACATTTTCCAAGTTGTTTTCTTTAGAATCAGGGTTTATGAAACGTATCTTGCATCTTTGGGGCGACGTGGCGACGCTCCATTGGTGCGTCTTTTTTTTTTTTTTTTAATTTCCGATTAAAAAATAAAAATAATAAAATATTATAAAAAAAAATAATAATAAGAGACGGAGTGGGTCTCTTTATTGTACATGGTCTTAGGGAGCTATTGGGGTTTTTGATAGTGACCAAGTCTGTTGACCATTATAGTATTTGACCATTTTGAATTTTATGGTTTTAATAAATACGAATTGCAGGAAATTGAATATCTTTTTTTCTGATAAAGAGAAAATTGAATACTTGCACCTTTGCTTTTCAAAAAGATTTATTTCAAACTGAAGTTATTTTATTTTATAATCAAAGGTTGTAGTTCTCTTTTTTATTTGCGATACAATGAAATGTCAAGTTTTAAAAATACATTAATGTTTAATTTTTCAAACTTAGATTTTAAGTCTCATTGATAAAAAAAAAAAAAAAAAAAAAGATTTTAAGTCTCATATCTCAAAATCAGAGTTTAAAATAGAAAAGTAAATTTACGCTTTTTTTTTCTTTAAAATGCAACCAAACGTATAACCTAATATTAAACAAAGTAATTTACAAACAAAACGCAAATACAATTTTCTCTAATAGCATATATCTATTAATCAAGAAGGATATAATTAACTATGCTAATCATAAGAAGTGCATAAAAGTTAATTATATCAATAAAGCATCTCGGTTTAAGAAGAAGAAGATTCTAGACATAGGGGACATTGGATACTTTAAGTATCACATGTGAAGAAATCAAACTCCCAAAGAGGAATGAGCCGTTTGAAGGTGTAAGGGTCAAGGGCTCATATTGGGTAATGGTTGGAAAGCACAACATCAAGTCACTATCATTCATGTGGCCGTTGGACAATAGCCGACCACTCTCTCTCTTTCTCCTTGTAACCATTTTAACCTAGTAGCTTCCTCTATATATGTAACCGAGTCATCTAAGAGAAAAACAATGAGTTCTTGCAAACTATTCTCTCTACTTTCTCTAGCACCATGATTTACTTTTAATCTCACTTCCGCTCAAACACTCTCTTAAATCTCTACAAAACTCAACAATATCTTCTTCGCTCTCTTTTCTTTTTTTTTTTTTCCTTTTTTTTTTTGGTCAGATAAAAATTTCTATTAAAGAGATGTTCAAGTTTTCATGAGTTACACAATCTAAGCAAACTCTCTCTCACTTGCGAGCATCCTCTTTGCTAGACAATCAGCCTCTGTGTTCCTCTCCCTTGGTACGTATCCAACATTCTCCATTCTCTTCCCTGTCTTCTCAACCAAACATTCTCCATACTCGGCTTGTTTCCTCTGGATTGATCTTCCATTAGTAAAATATCATCGCACACTCTGTTTCCTCTTCTTCTTCTTTTCGTCTTGCACCAGAGTCAAAAAACAGAGAGTCACCTTTAAAGCGTGTTCGAATCCGGTATCAGCCTTTGATTGGTAGAGATGTGCTAAAAAACAACATCGGCATGGTTTTTTAGCGAACATGTTTTCGTTTCAACTCGGTTTTTTGCAATATTTACCAAATAGCATTCTCGCCAATAAACTCATCGGTTTTGATATCAAACTCCAACTTATCTTGGCAAGTAAAGCTTGGTTGAAAGCCTTTGTAATCCTCTTTTTTTTTTTTTTTTTTCCTTTGCAGCTTAGATGGTATCCATGGCTGCCTACCAACAATTTCCATTTATGGAGTGTTACGTCACCAACGTCGTTCATGATCCTGCAGAAGTAGGGGTGAATATTGACCTGACCGATCCAGCTTACGCTGTCACGGGAGTGGTGGTACAAAGATATGTGCATCGTCGTAACGTCGGACCCGACATTTTACTCTACCAGGAAATAAACAACGATGTGAATGTTTATGACCAAAGTGTCTCCCTATTAGGTGACGGAGCTCTGTTTAGCTCCGAAAATCTTCGCCAATGGGTCGCTTTCGTACCGCCGCCGGAACGAGTCGTACCCGATGCATTCAACAATGTGGCTTGGACTTGGGAAGACGACTTTGCCGGCAGTCTCGCCAATCAAGTCAATGACGAGCTCTTCGATGGTGCGAACCCTTTCTTGGTCGAAGCTACAGAATTTTTTGGCTTCGAATGCGTTCTGAATGCGGCCAATAATTGGCAGTATGGAGATTGGCGTACAAATGCTCCCCCGTTTGTCGTCCCAGCAATTTGCGCAATTTGTCAAGAGGATATCACTGAAAACACTCCGGTTGATAATCTTTACATGTTGTGTTGCGGACATATGTTTCACTGGGCATGTATTCTTACATGGGTCTGGGAACACCATCGATGTGCCATATGCGACCTCCAAATCTGAGTTGTGTTTTTAGAACTTTCTCTATTTCGGTTAATTGTTTGAGAACTTTCTTTGTTTCCAGAACTTTTAATGTAACAAGCTTCTTTTCCAACTTTCTCTTAATAATATACCGTTGGGTTGTTTGCAAACCCTTGTCTAATGAGCTAGTGACTTTAGAATGTAGCATGAATCTGATCACTCGGGCAGAAGAATAGGCAGTCAATATGTTTCGTGTGGGGGGTGATTATTTCGGTTGTTTGATTTGAGGATTGTGTTAGACAATTAGAACCGAATTATTTAACAAAGGGGGATGCGTTCGGACCAATAGTAAATTGACAATACGTAAGATCAAAGTCTAATCCAAAAAAGTATACTGTACAACTCTAATAAATCGACTGATCAAGAAAGATTTTATATCACGTCACAATGTACATGTGAATAGAAAGTTGTACTGAGGCTCAAAAACAACTCAAGACTACAATAAACTTCAAACACAACATATAGAAACAAACAACTTACGACACAGATTCATGATCTCTCGCGAATTAAAAAACCATTTTATTTCCGCGTGATGCAATAGAAAGCTCAGCCGGTCTCGGTCTCTGTCTTTCTCCTCTTGCTGAAAGCCGATTCTTCTGTGTTCACCTGAAACACACATTAAAAGTTCCGAAGAAGTTTCACAAATCAAAACCAATTCCTTTGAATATATGCAACTTAGTAATATGAATTTACATATAGACAAAAAAAAGCCACAACAACTGTATCTTATTCGCGTAGATAAAGGAGTTCCAAAGCTAAAGCCAACAGTTTTGGCTGTAAAACATAGAGTTATACAAAGCAAGGGAGAGAGAGTGCAAATAACGAAAGAGACGATCAAGATTTAACTATAGTAGAGAAAGTGCCGTATGCTAGTAAATCTATTGTAGTGCGGCCAAACTGAACCAAATTTGAACATGTGAATAGTCGATCGTCTGTTAGATGTCGTAAAACTTGGAAAAAAAAATGCATACATCTTGCAGTAGCGTCTTACTACTACTTACTGACGTCTTCAATTTACAGACTCATCTGTACTTCCTTGGACACGGCTTCTCCAACTCTATCCACATTTTGACTGGATTTCATTTGCCTGCATATTGTAAGAAAACCTTGAAACATCCCACCATACTACAAAACTGAAAATGGTTGGATTAAACATAATAGCATGGCGAAATCAGAAATACCAAGTAATTGACTGAGTAAAGGAAGAGTAGTAAGCATTCCTTGCAGCTGAGGACTTGCCTTTGGCATAGCTGGATTAAACCATAAAGGCATCGTCACTTTCCAAAAACCTCATAGTCAAACGAGTGAGCTTACTAATATAAAGAGAGTCAGAAGAAATGAAACAAATTGTTGGTCCCCCCCTCAAAACAACTAATTGGCTTTAGGGTGACTAGCAGATAGTTTCTCCCAAATCATACATACTATCAAGAGGAGCAGCTTGGCGTGATAATGCATGATGTGATTATTTAAACATCGAGAGCAGACATAAGCAAGTTCGACGCAGCAACTGCTAGTCTTAGAAAGATTTCAACTTTGGTGAAAGGAAACTATGTGGGGAATAACTATCAAACCAATACTTTGTTGCAGTCGACAAGAACAAAAAAAAGTATGTACTAGTTTGAGAACACGTCAAAGTGTTGACAATCCAGTAATGCTGAATGCCATAGTTCTTAGGCTTTAAGTAAGTACCTCTGTTGCACAAAGACATTGAGATCATCGTTTCTGTTGTTTCCTCTAGATGTCACGGACGCCTGAGAATGATGAATAGAGGATGACTTTGGCTATTATCAAACCAGCTACTGTAAGCACTCGGATGTATTGATGCTAAATACACAAGTGGAACTAAATTGGTACAGACCTGACAAAGAAATGTCTTAACCCATCCAGGCTGTTGAAAACCATGGTAATCTGGAAGAGGAAATCTTGCCAGTTCATCCATCTTGTAGTGATCCACTGAGTTTGGCCCTCATCTCCTCAACATCAACGCTAGCTCTTGTCCTCCAAAAAACCCTCCTTAGCTTTCACTTTGTAGAACATCATTGGTTACAAACAACCGGCTTCTTGAATTTCCCCAGCAGTTTGATATATAATCCAATTGTACCACCCTTTTGCAGGAAATAAAGGTTCCAATAGACATCTGCGGAAGACGGGCTTTGAAGAGAGCTACAAATGCAAAATTCATAAATAAGTCAATGTACCTTTTCTTCCATCTAATCGCTACCTTAAACTGCCACCAAGAAGCGACCAAGTCTCTACCATTAATTTGCCAAAAAGACTCGCCCACAACTACTAAATTACTCAGAGGAAGTGCAACAGCAAGTGAACTAAATGTGTGCCCCCAAAAGTCTCCTCCTCCATGCGCTTCTACAAGCCGATCTAATTCTAAAATTAATTTCAAGCCAAGGAGCAAATTTCACCCGAAAAAGGGAAGTCAATTCAGGGATTTCAAAAATCTATTTTACACTAAATCCCTGTTAGAAATTCCACGACCAAATAGAAGCTTTTGGTTACCTTGTTGAGCATTGACGATGTAGCCTAACTGCCATCTACCATGAAAGCTTACAAAGATCATCTCTTCTACTATTTTCGCTGGTATAATCGCTCAAGTTTGGCGGATGATGACAAAATATATATATATATATATATATATATATATATATTTTATTGTCAGAATGTAATCAACATGAATACTAACTTCTCAATAGATTCCACCATCTCATTATGTTCTCCAGTTAGGATCTATATTATAACGTCATTCCGAAACTTTCCAAAATAACTGATTTATCAATGACCTTCACTTTCTGTTGGATGATTAAACATCTAATATGAGATCAAGTGCATAATCAATCCACTTATATGATTTTCATCAACTTAACAAGAAAACTCATCCCTTCTCAAATTACAGAATCGACGATGTATCATTACTTTACAGATTGCTCATGTTCGATCTTTAGCTATATCAGTTTAAGGTTCAACTGAAAAACGGAGACACCTAACAAAACACTTGAACTAAACAGTGAAAGATCACCTCTAACTTCAAAGGCCTAGAGAAAACACCTTTACCTCAGCTTCAGCTGCGTGAAGCAAATCGACATCAGAAACTTCTAGAACTTTATTGGGTTCACGCCTTGCTTGAACATGTTGCCTTCAATGTACCTGCAACAAACGAAACAGGCCTCTCTATTGTCAAGATTGGAGTTTTTAATATTATATAACTGTGTTCAAATTGGGAGAGAACTCACATTTCTTTGATGAGAGGGTGCTTTTAGAAAGCGTTAAATTGGTTGTGATCGAGATACCTGGTTTCATCAATAATCATCATCACGATGCATATTCTCTTAATATTAAAAGCAAAAGAGTTTTAAACCTGAGATCAGGGGGTTACCCAAAGATGATTTAGAAAACCAATTCTGATTTGATGTGCTGCAGAGTAGAATCCTTGCACAATCTCTAAGTTTTGTAAGATTCGATAGCTGAGTTGGGATCCCTCCACTCAAATAGTTTCAAGTACCTTAAAGATTCGAGATTTTAGAAAGAGACAAAGCATTGCATATGATAATGATATAGAGGCAAATTCTGAAGGGTGTATGCTTACAGGTTGCGAAGAGACGGGAAACTTCCATCAAAACGGATGAGCTCCCTTATAGTTCCCAATACTTGGCAAAGAAAAGATCCATAACAACACTTTCATGGATCTTTTGCCACAAATGGGCACGGAAGATCTGAATAAGAGAAATCTTGTGAGTGTAGGAATCTTTCCGTGCATAAATATTCCTGTCAGATCCAATTGCACTTGGAAACCCACATAAACATTTGCTCGGTTGATTGTTGGCGACCACCAAAGTGTGAATCTTCTGTTTGGAATCTGGTTAAGACCAGACCTCTGCGCATTCGTCAGCTTCTTATATTTCATGGACTCCTCAAAACCAGGTGCTGAAGTCTGTGAAACAGTAAAGCATGAAAAAATTAGTAAATTTGATGTGATGGGCTAAAGAACGAAGGCTGTGGGCAACCGAAAATCATATATTAATGTTATTATGAAACAAAGATCGTAATCAGTTGGGGGAAAAATGAATAAGAGACTTACTACGTCCCCTTGAATAATGTGTGCTCAAGAATACCCTCAACACCTCCAAGAGCTTGGATAACATCAGTTCGGTAATTGTTCAAGTTCCACAGCTTCCCATCATGCCCCTCTGGTGTGTCCACCAGAAAGGATTTTGTTTAAGGACTTGGTATTGCTTGAAGTCGGTACGAACCCTCCAACCTTTATCATATGCTAACGTGTGTCGATCCTTTTGAAGCAGCGTATTATTGCGAGGAATTCCTCTATCCCAAGAGTCCTGTCATATTTTTATCATCAATCATAAACTAATCTAGAAACGATGCATATAACTCAAATAATCTTGCGCTTAGACCTCCAAAGGCAACACAGGTATCTTCCCAAAACCATATGTCAAGCAAAGATAAAATTAAACTACTTCCAATACTACCAGAAACGGCAAGCTAACACATTGATGTCCCTCTCAGAACTCTATATTAAATAAAGAGAGAACAAATGCGAATATAAAGAACTTACTTCCAAATCTTCCAGTGTAAGACGCCTATTTTGGGCCTGTGCTTCCTGCCACTTTCCCATGGCTGTATGTAACGGTAAACGATTTGGTATAAGTTTGGATTTTATTCTCACACTTGACTAGCAGATCCAAGAGCGCTTGCGTATGCACAGTAGCTTCACGGAAGTAAGTCATGAGACCTGTGCAGAAAAAAAGGGTGCTCAGCTTCATGCTTTCCAAATATTATAAGAAGCTATAAGTGGTGCCAATGGGCTAATAGGATATACCGATTAAAGCTGTATTCCATTTGTTGACGATTTTGGTAAAGGTGGTTGATCCTGACGACATAAGGATTTGCCTTACACGATTCTCAAATACCTTCATATGTTCATCATCAACACGCAGAAAAGCAACTGCAGTCCTCTCTGGTCTGTTCATTTTGCAAATTCCAGACACCATCTCTTGTATTGCTGAGAGCTTCTTGAGTCATCCTGATTTTTGGAAGTATGCGGACTTCAAATCCACACTTCAAGGCAAGAATGCACTTCTTATGTTTGTATCCCACCATGTTTCATTGTTGGGATTAGGATGCTCCGTAAGATAGCGCTGAATAAGATCCCCCTTCATGGGTAAATTTAAACCTAATATGAACTTTGTCTATATAGCGAGAATAGAGTCTTCTGGGATGTCGTGTCTCCACTTTTGTATCCCAAAACGTCATAAACTCATTAGGCATCTGCGGTCTCACTCGCTCGAGTCAAACCAAGAAGCAAAAGATCAAGCAATAGTCCATAAAACTGCACAACAAACGATGCAAACTGAAAGTCCCCTGATGAGACCATACGAGTTAGTATGACTCCATATCCTTGTAAGACAGAACCACATTATTCTTTGGCAGACACATAGTTGGCAACATTGTGGTCAAGAACCAAACGAAGAAGCCTGAACCAAAAAAAAAAAAAAGTAGAAAATACTTATTCCTTCAGAAAGCGAAGGCTCAATGTCCGTAATCACTAAAGTATAAAAAAAAAAAAATACCTGTTCAACATTATCAAATCAATCTTCTCAAAGAACTTTTCGAACTTAGTCTGGAGCATTACCACACTGCCCATCACCATGTTCCAGATGCCTTGCAAATTATTGATACCTTGACACTACTTATAAATCAGAAGTGGTGGCGGCTCTGAGTCCACTGGCTTAATCGAGTTTGGAAATAAGTGGCGCTTGTCACCCTCGTACCACAAGCATTGATCAAGATAGGCATCGGTAATTTTCTCTAGAGGCTCAATTACATAAACTGGAATCAAATAGCTATACAGATCCATAAACTCTATGCCGACCTGCAGAAAAAAACGTATTCACCAAGAGTTAACTACGGTAACCATGACAACATACGTTCAATCCATTGCTCCAATATAGAGTGAATTATCAACTTACCTCTTTGAAGCCACGTTGGGTTAGAAGATGACGTTTGATTCACGACAAAGCTTCATGAGGATTTTCATAAGCTTGTACAATTAGACCAAGCTCCTCCCGCTACTGCTGATTCAACCTAACAGCTACACTGTATGATTCCTTCAGTCTCTCAAGGGCCAGGATCAGCAACTTTGTGTCATGTTTATACGACAATGGAGGAAATGGAATTGGAGAAAACTTCCTTGATTCCAGCCAATGAACATTACCAAGACCATTTTTGGCAAGTCTGCCGGCAGGAAGAGTTAAATTCCCAAAACGAGACTTTTTTCGCTCTTTGGTGGTCAAAGTGAATTTTTCACAGGCTTGAGGTTGAAGTTGTAGTCAAGATGCAAGTAGTTTAAACTCTTCCTGCCGGCAGACTTGCAGACCCACTTCAACCCAATCCAGTTCAGTAATTTGGAAAAACTTTGTAGCTGCCAGATAACTGAATAAGTGCTTCTTCTTCTGAGCTTTAGGTGGTCTATGGTGCAACTCATTCACCATATAGCACTTCAAAAGCTTTTGGTAACTAACCCGAACTTTAACTAGATATGCTGGAGGACTGCAGATAATGAGTTCAAAAAGTATTAGGACACTCACTAGTAGATTTCGAAAGTAAAAGAGACAGAAAGTAGAATAAAAAGAAATAGCATACCAGTGCTCCTTGAACCACTCTGACACCAGAGGAATATCTTCTGCCCGCCTTGTCCTACCAGACCTCATGACGAAGGGTCGTGGGGCAAACAACAATGAAATCCCAGCAGCTGTGGTGTCTTTTAGCAAAGGCTCCACACCTTCTGGCAAGGCAAAGTCATCATCATCATAAACCTTCCTTTCACGCCTATCCTTATTAGTGTTGCTTATTGGGTGAATTAACGGATCGTAATAAAACGCAGGAAGATAAGATACGGGTAATGTCACCATTCACCACACTCTTTGCCTACCTACGTTTACCATATCAACTATGCCCTTCGACAGTCCACAGAAACTCGATTTAAACATACCAAAGGGAGTTCAGTGTATTACCGTTTAACAAATCTACGTAGCTCGGTTAATGGAGAATCGATGTGTCCTTCTCACCGACCATTCTTCCACTGTTTTTTTTCTTCTACGGGAACAGATTGATTTCCACTGCCGGTATTTAACAAACATATTCTCCACGCTGTCGCTTCTTGTCCACAGATTCAAATTTCTCTCATGGGAGAAACTGCAGTGGGAAACCAGCAAATCAAATTGGTAACTGTGGTTTTTTTTGGGGGGGGGGGGGGGGGGGGGGTCGGGGAGATCAAGGTTAGAATTAGGGATTACTGTTGTTTTAGAGAAAAATTTCGTCATCGGCGATCTGAAGCATGTGTCTGTGGCGTTTTCGTAAATGGAGGGTCGGGCAGGGAGTTTCTGGTCAAAACAAAACCTGCCAAAACCCATTCTCGAAGATGGGCCGCATAACACCTAATTACGAAAAAGCCTGCCTTTTTAAAACCTAGTTCGGCAAATATCTCATATTATTATTATTAGTCCCCACATACACATTCATTTACACGTGACTACTGATGATGTTTAGTACTTATTAGTTAAGTCCCATGGTATATTCAATTGCAACCTGTGTAGTTGCTGCTTATACTGAGATGAAATGAAACTAAATTGAAAACCAAAAAAAAAAAAATCGGATAACAAATTTCACTTTATCACATAGAATACCGACTTGCCCTAGGTGCTGTTCGTTTCTCCATTCAGATGATCCAGCTGAATGGAGATGAATATTGATGTTCGTTTAGAGCAATTTAACAGAGCAGTGAGATGGATCAGTTGGATGATTTTTAATAAACTCATCCAAAAAATGATTGGAATCCGGCTGAGTCTGATCGGAGCAGTTAACGGGAGCTGATTCAGTCTAAAATAGAAAATGACCTAAATACCCCTACTTAATTTAGAAAATTACACTCCTAAAACCTAATCCTCTTCTCTTTCATTCGTCGACGATTCTCTGTTTTTGTTCTCTTTACAAACAAAATCAGCTCTCTCTCTCCGCCGGATCTCTCGCCGGCCGTCCACTTCGCCGACCGTTTCTCTCCGCCGGATCTCTCGCCGTTTCTCTCCGCCGGATCTCTCGCCGTTTCTCTCCGCCGGATCTCTCGCCGTTCTCTCCGCCGAATCTTTCGCCGTTAGTTTAAGGTAAGATTCATAGGTTTTGTATTGAGTTTATGATGCTTATAGGCTATAATCTTTCATGGGTTTTTCATAGAATTATTTGTGTGTATTTGAGCGGCTATAATTTTTCATGGGTTTGATTATTGGATTCTTATAGTTCATGGGTTTGATTATTGGATTCTTAGTCGTGTATTTGATTCTTATAGTTCATGGGTTTGATTATTGGCTTTTGTTTTGGCACTTCTCTTGGGCGTGGTTGCTTATTAAGGAGCTTGAACTCTGTTTGCTTATTTTTCTATGGTTTGTTGATTGTATTCAGGTTGCAAGATACTGAATATAGAGCTTACTTTTACCTCAGCTAGGGTTTGTGTTTGTTGTACCTTTAGTTGCTATTTGTCATTTCAAAGTGTCAAAGCTATAAAATGGTGCTTAGCTTTTGTGTTCCTTGATGCAGCTGATTAAAGAATTTTAGTTGTTGCTTAGTATCAAACTCATATGTCAGCGGAAGATATGATGAATCTACTAGACATATTATTCAATTATCGTCTCCTTTTAGAAGTTTATCATGTCATAATTTTAGAAGATATGATGAATCTGATCGTTTCTGCTTTCTATTGCACTTTACTTTTGGCTTGGATTTATTGTCATCTATTGTTGATTGTTGTTGAAAGCTGAAAGCTTCTACCTTATATGGTTCTATTTTATATGTTTGAAAGCTGAAACGATGCATTATCTTAAAGCTGAAATCTTCTAATCATTTGGAATTGATTGATTCAGATACGTTTTGTAGTATCATTCTTATTGCAAAGATCTTATCTTGCTGGTAGGCTATAGCTAAAAGTTGCTTGGTCTTGGTGTTTGTATGAGTGATCAGAGAAATTTTTGGATGCATTATCTGCAATGGGTTGAACAACTGAGATTGATTAGCTATTTGTTATTTGGATTTTCTAATTTCCTTTATATGTAGTGTTATTTGGTGGTAGATCCTTGTAGTTTTTATGCTCTGTGTAGATATTAGGATGAGTAAATATTTCCAGCTTTAATTATTCTCGAACTTGTGTTTGTGTTCATGATTTTATTGTTTCTTAACTTAGGGGGGTGTATTGGAACCAATATTTTAGAAGATTTGGTAGAATTTCTATATTTCAGTTTTTTGAGAGATTTGAGTAAGTTTTCAGGATATTTGGTGGAATTGTTATATTTTTTATTTTTAAAAGAAAAAAAATGATTGGTGATTTGGTAAGGATTAAGAGGTGATTTAAGAGGGTTTATTTTTAATTTGGGATTTGGGATATGTCCCGTGAAAGGATTGTTATTGGAAACAAACATGTTTTCTCGAGGAAGAAGAAGATTTTTATAATCTTACTTTTCTACCAACAAATATATCGACATAGTAGTTCAAAACATAGGAAAAAAAAACCTTGCATCTTTGAGCAATTTCCTGAGCTACAAACATTTATATCATCATGAGGAAGTATAACTGAGGTCTTACTTAGGGATAGACAAACAAGTAGCTTATATATACACCAAGAGTTGCAGGAAAAAACTCCACAGTATATGTCATCTCATAGATAAAGAATAAAAAAAAAAGCCACGAAATATCTAAAGAAGAAATCAAAACGAACCCAAACCTTTGCAACAACTAAAAGACGAGTGAACTAAATACCCATTCCTTTTAACTTAAAAGACCATAGCACCATTGCCTTGTTACTGCATACATAAATTAAAATTGAATTTCCAGCAAATGAAGTTAAAGAGGGAGCAATTACCACCAACTTTAAAATCTCAGCATCCTCACCACACACATGAAAATGAATTCAAGAGATACGCGTCCCCATACAAAAAAATCCAGTTCAGAAAAGAATAAGAACATGTAAATATACATATTTTCATCAGTTAGAGGGAATATGAGATAGTCTCATTCTCATGACAGTTCTAAAGTGGGATAAAAGAGTAAGTTAAGCACAAACCATAATGCTTGGCATATGTCTACTCTAATGTCGACCATCAAAAGATCACACACTAATTAGTTCATGGACTTTCTGAAACCGGAATTTCAAGGATGGCTTCTTCATCTATATTTGGAATTGCAGCAAGAAATCATTGTACATATTTGCAGTAGAAGATAACAAAAAGAAGCAATCAAAGGAAAATCACAAACGTTTGGAAAAAATGATTTATACGCGAAGAAGAACACTAAGCTCACGTCGAGAATAAAAAAAATCTCATCAATATAAGAATGTGGCCGTCAAGAAGCTTTCTCACAGCCTCCTCAAGCTCTGTATCAGAAACCAACATGAGTCTCTCTCTCAAATATCTCTCAAAATCCTAACTATAAAAGTACAAACGTCTCGGCACGAGAAACCTAGCAATCGTTTCCAAGATTTGAAGGATAGTGACGCCGGATTGAGAGAAAGTCAACATGATATTCCAATGGGACTCACTGAAACACACGTAAAGCAACGAGAAAGTTTTCGAGAGTGAATCAGAGCATGAAACCCCTTTCTCTAAGAATGAAGAACAGATGATAATAAGAGGGACGGTAAGAAAATTTCTGCAATTTTTTGCTGTGAACAATTTTTTTAAAATTGAAATTCCCCCAAATAACACCTATAGAGGTGGGATTGTTTCATTCCTATTTTTCAACTAAAAAAGTATCAAAAGTCTCTCAAAATCAATGTTCACTGTTTTTATTAAAAATACTTGTTAAGTTTGAATAACACTTGATTTGATATAAGTTTAATAAATCATTGATTGAATAACAAGAGGTTGTGAATGATTTTGGGTGATTTTGTATAAATTTCAAGTTCAATAACAAGGGATTTGGATATCTATTTAAAAATCACAACTTGAATAACAGGTGATTTTAATAAAAGACTAAAGTCTTCTAAAATCCTTATTTCAATACACCCCCCTTAGAATCGGATTTGCAATATTTTAGTGTAGTTAGAGAATCTTAAGCAGCTTGTAAGTGAGGTTTTTGTGGTGAGAAAAAAAACTTAGATAATTTGGAGTTTGTTTGGTATATGTTGGTTGTTGTTTAATTTCATAGCATATGCTTTGGTTCTTATATAAAAAAAAAAAAAAATCATGAAAATAGAAATTTAAATGTCAAATATAATAATTTGAAATTTATTTGATTGTAAATATATATTTGATCAGTAATTAATATGGTTAGATTAAAATTTAAATATAATTAGATGAAAACATGGGCATTTTAGTCATTTTCATATCAAAAACATTTAGATGGATCATTCAGCTGAACAAACAAACAAAATTTTAAAGAAAAGTAGTTAGATGGATCATCCAGCTGAACCACAAAAAATGGAAATGAACATCATTCAGATGGATTAGTCAAATAGACCATTTGGATGAACCATTTGGATGCATATCCCAAATAAGCAAACGAACAGGATCCTAGTAGATTTTGGCATCATTTAATGAAATGTGAAAGTTTGGGGTTTATTGTTGTAATAAAATTGATAAGGGGGGGCACAAATCCAAACCGACTTGCCGTAGTATTAATAAAGAAGCCCTATTCGCCATTCGCAGAGTAAACAATTTCTAGAGAGGATGGAAGATAACAAAATTTTGGGAGGAGACCTTCACAAAAATATGAAGGAGATGTTGGAAGGCAAACGCAGAAAGGTAATTCCTCGGTTCCATATCTCTAAAATAATCCCTGAATCGGGTTTCATCTCTGTTTTCGTCTAGGTTTAGGGTTTCATGTATTCGTGGGATCGAAATTGTCGGTTCCATCTCTCAAACAGTCGTGAATCGGATCTGATCTTTTTGTTTCCTGAACCGGATCTGATTCACTTTCGTATATCGAATTCGAATTCGTCGAATAATTGTTTCAAAGTCGCCACGGCTGCTTCTGATATCCTAAGTCTATATTTTCTTGTATGCAGATGGGAGATTTGCAGCCATTCGCGAGTAGGATGGGAGACTTTAACAAAAATTGGGTGAGGTTCGAAAATAACAGAAAGTTGGAGATGTTGGAAGGCAAACGCAGAAAGGTAATTCCTCGGTTCCATATCTCTAAAATAATCCCTGAATCGGATTCCTTCTCTCAAACAGTCGTGAATCGGATCTGATCTTTTGTTTCCTGAACCGGATCTGATTCACTTTCGTATATCGAATTCGAATTCGTTGTTTCAAAGTCGCCACGGCTGCTTCTGATATCCTAAGTCTATATTTTCTTGTATGCAGATGGGAGATATGCAGCGCCTAGCGTGCCAACGACTCATGTGTGATCAGTACTCTCGTCTTGGCCATTGCAAAAGAGGTGACCGATGTCCATTCCTTCATGGCAAGCCAATGAAGCCCTTGTATCGGAATATGTAAGTCTTAGTTTATACATATGTTTCTGCATCACATACATACATACATGATGAATTCTTCTTTCTTTGTCATGTTTTAACAGTTCAGACAATCCAGAACTAGTTGCGTTCATGATGAAAAACGGTAACATGCCTGCATGTCCACCAGAGGATCCCACCGTGAAGATGCTTTACGTCAAGCGACTGAGCAGGACGACACTCGTTGAGGAGGACCTGCGAGACTGTCTCAGCGCTTATGGAGATATCGAATCTATCAGAATGGTGCAAGAGTATAATGGCGCTGCGTTTATCACATATGGAACCCGAGAGGCAGCAGAGAAATGCATGGAAGATCTCAAAACTTGGGTTGAGATCAAGGGTCACAAGCTGAAAATTTTGTGGGTTTACAAGTACCAGCCTCATCGATACACTACCATTTCCTCCAACCAACAGGGTGCTGTCACTTCAACTCAAGAGGGAGCTTCGTCTTCATCTTCTGCTCTCAAGGTGAATGAGACATTTTGATCTCAAACCCTACCTTTTGTGCTACTGTTTTTATTGTTCGAAAAACATGTTTGAATCTTCATATTTTGATCTCAAACCCTACCTTTTGTGCTACTGCTTTTATTGTTCGAAGAACATGTATAAATCACGTTATAATGCATTTCTTGTCCTGCTTTAGTTACTCGGAGTCACCAGAGGTAGATAGTATAAGCCAAGCTGGTGATCTCTCACATTTCAGGACCTGCACTTACATTTGTGCTACTCAGCTGATTTCAACTACAACTAGTATTATGTCCCTGCAAAAACAATTTTTGATAAAATATGTAATATTCAGTTCAATGAATTTTCTTTTTTTTCTAAATCAATAGTATGAATTTGAGTACACGGATTGATTCTTTATTTACAAATTTTGTTTCCGCCACTTATTTACTTAAAACAACATTTTCATAATTTTTAATCACATATTAACATTGTAAAGTAACTTAGAAAGAGCATGAATTCTTAATTATAAATTGAACAAAACGGTGTGATTATAATTTTTTATATGTTTGATCTTTTAATTGGTATTCAATAAGATGGATCAAACAAATTCAGTTATCGATTTGATTTAACATTGGAAGAAAGTGTGAAAGGCAAATCGCAAAAACAAAACTTAAATTTAGTATCAGTGAATACTCAATATTTACAGAAATGACTATGGTTAGTAATGGAGTACATGTTTTATGTCTAAAATCTTATAAAAGAGTACAAAGACAAAATGATTGTGCAAAGTTGTAATCAACCAGACAAAGAAGATAAGGAAAAAGCTCAAGATGGATGTTCAAATTGCTGATAACAGAGTTTTCTGCATCGAGAAAGTCGTCATATACCTAAAAAACATTAAAAGTTTTCTCCTAGACATTTTTACAAACACTTGGTGAGCAAAACTGATGTAAACAAAAAATCGAATCACCAATTTGTTTGTCATACCCTATAACCAAATGCAGCAACATAGAGAATGACGGAAAGCCATATCATCATGAGCTTGTGTTGGCGAGCATCTCCATACACCAAATATGTCGCTCATCTCTTAGCTTACACTTGCTATCATCTTCATTGTCTCTTTAATCATCTTCATTCTTCGGCAACCATCTGTTTTTTCTTTAGTTAAAGTTTTGTCTAATTTCAAGCTTTGTGATTGTTGTACTTGTATGTTGACAGAGAGTTTTATAGTTGGGACTTGGGAGTCGGGAGAAAATAAAAACTGTTCTTCAGGAGGAAAAAAAAAAAAGAAGGGAGATAGGGATCGTGGATTGCATATGAAACTGCTATTCCTTTGTGAAGTAACAGTAACTGGCGAGAGATCGTGGAGTTCTTGCAAATAATTAATTAAAAAAATTAAGTGTTTTTTTTAATTATCTTGACAATTTTTATAATGAATAATAGCATTAGATTACGAAAGTAAAAGACTAAAATTTGAGAGTTTAGCCAGGTGTAAGGAAGAGAAGGTTGCAGTTATTGTCAAAGTGACTGTTGATTTAGTATAAATAGATGTCATTTGAATGTATCCAACACATCAAAGTAGAGTTACATTCTGAAACTAGACCGAATCGATCGCAAAGTCACAGATTACTATTTATTCGCGTAAAATTCAAACACAACAGTTTGTTTTGAAGGAGAAAAGAAAGGATCTGTTTTTATCTACAGCGCAGAGCCATCCAGCCATCCATTGATTGCGAGCACATGATTGTTTTAGATCTATAGTAAATACACCAAAAGTGAAAGCTGTCTAAGTCTTAAGATAAAATTCTTCTCAGTGAAAAGGAGATCTCACCTGGTATTAGGTACTTGAGCTACCGAGAAATTCAGAGACACATGTACCCATACTCCTCAAGGATCATTATAAACTAAAGGATTGCTCCACAAACTTTTAAACGTGTCAGTTTCTCCCCCCCCAATCAGAAAATGGTTAATTCTCTTATGTATTCTCAAATTGTCTTTCAGGTCCAAATAGTACATCTGATATTTCTCATTGCCTTTATTGGAAGATACTAACAACACTAAATGTTATCACGGCAAGAGCACAACGGAGCCAGAAGTGATCCTATTCTCGAGATCTGCGTGAGCATCAGCGATCCGAGACAAAGGGTACTTGTGACTCACACGAGCCTTTAAGATGCCGGCATCAACATTGGCGAAAACCTCTCCCGCACATTCCAACAGCTCGTCCCTAGTTTCATTGTATTGCATCATAGAAGGTCTTGTCAAGAAGAGCGATTTTGGAGCAAGATCAGACAATGGAGCCGGATCTGGAGTTCCAGAGGATTGTCCAAAGCTCACCATGTATCCTCAGTTCTTCAAACATGCTAATGATCCCTAGAAACCCATTAAAGAATCCAAATGAGAAACCTTAAAACCGATATAGACAACAATTGACTCCCGAGTCCAGACATTACCTTAAAGGTATCCTTTCCCACTGAGTCATAAACAACATTGACTCCTTTGCCCGATGTGAGATCGTTGACCCGAGAAACAAAGTCCTCGTCCTTGTACATAATCACATGGTGGCATCCATCTTCTTTAGCTTGAGCTGCTTTCTCATTGGTTGAGACAGTTCCAATGACGGTGGCTCCAAGCGCATTTGCCCATTGACACAACAGAGACCCAACTCCACCAGCTGCATCATGAACCAGAATCGTGTGCCCACGTTCGACCTTTCCAAATACAAATACGACTTGAGTCATATAGTGAAGATCATCATAAGAGAAATTTCGAACCTTTCAAAAGAAATTTCAAACCTTGAAGCAGCGGCGAAGGAGAAACTGTGCGGTCATACCCTTGAGCATGACTGATGCAGCAACGATAGGATCGATAGATGAAGGAACATAAACCACTTTATCAGCTGGAAGGATTTGTTCCTCTGCATAAGCACCCATTGGATTTCTAGCGTAAGCGACGAGATCACCGATCTTTCTCCCAGTCAATCCTGACCCAACAACTACCACTTCTCCAACCGCCTCCATACCTATGAATCAGAAATGGCATATTAGTTAAGAGAAAAAAAAAAACACTTTCCTTTTGTAAAAATAAGGTTGTAATGAGAAGAACCTGGTGTGAAGGGCATAGAAGCCGGCTTGTAAACACCTTTCCAGAAGTAAACATCAATGAAGTTAAGCCCGACCGATTGCTTTGTTCTTCACACGTATCTCACCTTCCTTTGGTTCCCCTACTTCTACATCTTCCCATTTCAGAACCTTCCACTTACAAACAAAACTTGCAACGAAATACTGAAAAGTGAAGATACAGATCAGGCAGAATGCGAGAAATAATCACAAGTTTCTAAATCAAAGATAGCAGAGTATACTCATCAATAATTTCAGTAAATAACCATCAATTTCCTCTTGATTGCTCATATCGGGTATAGTAGTTGTTGGTTGAAAATAAACACCGATGTTTTGCAGTCCTGAGACATCGTATGCCCCGTAGAAACCGCCAAACTGACGGCAACTCATCGTATTACAAGTAATTGTGTATATGGACAGTGAAAAGGAGATCTCACCTGGTATTAGGTACTTGAGCTACCGAGATCAAAGTCCATTGTGTAATCATACTCAGATTGTTGGAATAACCGATGCCATCAACTTCAAGAACAAGAAGATAGCAATGGTGTAACAAGCAACGCCCAATGAACTCACTTGTCAACTTCAGGTTCTACTCCGCGTGACATTAAAACATCAATGATTTTCTTCATGACAGCTCCATGTCGACATGGATGGAACTGATGCATGTTTCCCAGACAGATGTAAGATGATCTTCAACTGTTACCTGTGCATTATTTTTCAAACAGAGGATCACAAAAACATTCTACATTGACCAGATTCAGAGGAAAAAAAGTTATTAGATTCTGTTGAGATTTGTCTTCGTTATACCGTTTTACGAGAATGGTCTTGGCTAACATCTTCCATGACAAGTTCAGGTTGCAGCAACATCCTTGACTACAAGACACACATCATAGCTTTTAAGTAAGATAACAGGAAACATAATCAATCAAGCAACAAAAATTCTAAGACGAAAAAATGAACAGAACAAGTAAGAACGCGATGCAGACCTCATCATAACCAATCAGCCAAACCCGAGGAGTTTGGTAATACTTATCATACCTGAACCAAAGTGAAGAATTATTAGTTTGCCTACACTACTGAGCCCAAAAGTATGGGAGCTGTATCTAAAAGTCAAATACAGTAAGACATTCTGTCGAGTATGAAAATGTCGGATGCTTACGTTATGCTGATATCATATGTCCGAGTTCGGAGAATGTAATCATCATCAGGTTCATGAGCCACAAGATCATTGGAAAAAAAAAAAAATTCCTAAGACTCCGAGTAGACCAAGAAATTGGAAAATAGATATATGCAGATACACCCGGGTTAAATCCAGTCAAATTTATTTATGTGCTAATTCAAAAGCATTTATCAAAGAGCAATAACATATACACATGATGAGATAGCGAGAGTAGAGGAAAAAAAACTCACGGGATCATTTTCTACCACATTGTCAGCCTCGTCAAACTCTTCCATGTCTGGAATATCATCATCTTCCTCACCTCCAAAATACGTGGGTATTGATTGGATAGCGTTTCTCTCGTTTATATCCAAGACATCCATTGATGGCAAGTTTTCATCTTCGTTTCCTTTATCTGTGGCAAATATCAAGACAAAAAGTTAAATGGGAAGGAAAAAGTGAATTTCAAAGGCACTAATCTCTCATAACAAAAATCTACCTTTCGGTTTCCCATGTGTCGCTAGCCAACCATGATTATCTTCATCATCAACCAATACTTCACCTCCAGCAGCTTCATATTCCTCAGCCACAGATGCAGCTCTCCGTAGACAAGGTACTGTCATCCACCAGTAGAAAAGCGACAAAGTTAAAACCGAATGCGAATTCAGAAACTACAAGGCAAACAGAAAACAGCTTCGAAAATTTCAAATTTACCATTTCTAGTAATCAAAAACTGTTTGTCTGAGGGCAAGTATGGATCACCAGATTCCCTAGTTAACAGGAAAAGCCATGGTGTCAAGCTTAGAAACATAAAGAGAAGATATCTGTCTTTCAATTGGCTTGAACATCGAGCAGCTATAGACACCCTAGCCTGATATGATATCGTTCCCCAGGAAAACTTGTAGGTCCAATAATCTAATGGTTCGGAAATCTTATGGCCAAAAAAACATGGAGTAATTTGTAAATTAAGGAACATCTGAAAAAACACCACCAGAAAATACCAAAATTATGATTGATCCCATCACAATCTCACATAATCGTATAAAACGCAATAACTTTATTGGCAACCCAGAGAGACACATGCTCAAGGATCAAATTCAGCTAACACATATCGTAGATCGCATAAATCACGAACTCGATATTAAAAGATTCGCTACTGTATGCATTCCAATAAAGCCGAAAATTCGAACTAACCAGGACCAAGTGGGGCACTTGGAGACGAGATTATCGCCGGCTGAGTACTCCCTTCTCCTTGAACGCCGAGATCGTACGAGGACCTGTCATTCTCTCCACTGTCCCTTTAAATGCTTCATGAAGCTTTTGCGACAGCACCATTTTTGGATCTGGCGATGAATCAGAATCTATTCTTGTATCGAGAACGAATCTATCGTATAGAATAAGAATTCAAATCGGAGATTCGACTGCTTGACCGTGGAGGACAATTATAGCAATCTCTCGAAATTCCGTGTACATTTGATTTGAAGACATGTTTCCCCTCTTCGTAAACTGTGAAAATTCACCAGCAACCTTCCTACATTTTGTAATTTCCGTTTTCGCCTCCTCATTTAGTCATTTTATTTTTTTTCACTACCATGTCCATTTTTATAAACTAAAGGATTGCTCCACAAACTTTTCACTACGATGTCCATTTTTATAAACTAAAGGATTATTTTATTATATAATTTAACCCTCGTGCCATTGATGATCTTTATTTATCTAGACAGTAACTACACCATTTGAAATTGACAAAAGGAACCCCAGTCCACACTTTTATATTACCTGAAATTAAGTTAAAAAAGCTTTGGAGTGTCTTTTCCTTAGTCGGATCACAACTTACAAGTAGATATGGAGAAGGTGTCTCAGGAGGAATATCTTATATAATAATATAAAAAAAAAATTAAGAGAATTTAGGAATAAGGAATAATGGAAATAGAGATGAGACGAGGGAGTGGTTTCTTAATCAGGGCCATGCAGCAGAAGCAGGAGCAGCACATGCAGGGCCGGCCCGCAGGACAGGCCACCCAAGCGGTGGCTTGGGGCACCACAATTTGTTTTTTTTTTTTAAGGTTTTTTTTTTTTTTTTTTGGTAAAAAGGCCCATAAAATGAAAATATTTGGTAGAAACTAAAGTCTTTTTCGAAAAAAATAAATAAAATAGGGCCCAAACAATTAAATTTGAATGTAATAATATTCAAAATATCATTATTTTTGTATAATTTACTAAAAATAGGTCAAAAAAAAAATTTTAGCCCTAAAACTTATAAATATATTGGGCCTCATTTTATTTTTCGTGTAGGGCCTCACAAATGCTCGGACCGGCACTGAGCACATGCTCCATTTCTCTAACTCATCCACCATTGATTCCCTAAGATCATCAATCAGTATATATAGATATGTCTTTTCATGTTTACAATATATGCGTGGGAATATCGCGTTCCCTCCTGTTATTTTCTAGTAGTCCGGACGATACTGACACATGTGACATGTCGATATATGCTTTTTTTATTAATTAAATCTATGCATGGTTTCGTTTATTTCTACCGACGATAAAGATTTTCAAGAATATAATATCATCTTATCATCTATGGAAGTACTGTCCGTCTAGATTAAATGGGAGCTGTGATTGTTTATTCTTCGAATATAAAAACATTTTATATATTCGTGTTTTCAAACTAACATTTCCTTACATAAAGATACAATTTCAAGATGATGAATGCATGTAAGCGACATGATGATAAAAAGAGTACAAACCAATGAACCATATCAGAAAAATCAACAAACCAGTGAAGATTCTTCATAATAAAAATTTGTATATATTAATAGCTTTGATATAGTTTGACATAAAAAAAAAAAATCAATACCTTCGATATTGGTTAAACTGTGTGTATTCTACTCTGATTCTATTAGATGTTACATACTCTTTACTACATAGTAAGAGAATAAATATAAAAAGTCTTGTGGTCTCCTGCCGGCTGCCACTGGATATAAAACTATATATATATATATTCTAAATCAACTTAATATATTTTCCAACGGATCTTTAATAAAATCTCCTTTTTATAGCAATGTGCACTGGATAATGCGGTTGCGGCCACTTTATTTGAGATGACCAATTAAGCCATAAAACCAGGAAATTTTATTTCTTTTGAATTGTTTATATACATCAAGCATAAACTATAGTGCTACGTTTCTTTAGAATTGCATTCTTTAACATTTGATACCATCAGTGAGAAGAAAAAAAAATTGATACCATCGCATTATGTCAAGACTCAAGACTAACGCTTTTTAATAAATTATAATTACAAGATGCTTTAATTATGAAAATTATTACTATATGATATCCATAATAGTTAACAAACTCATCATAATATCTTCACCAACTTGCCTTGGATATATAAACCATTATATGTTACCCACTGAATGAGCTAAGAGAATAATTAGCATGTGTTGAGTCATACATCTCTACATGTAAATTAATTTGGAATATAAACATAAATATTACCTCAAAGATTTATGACAACTTTTTTTCTAGGGGGTAAATAAGAGATCACAACTTATTACAAAGGGAAGCGATTCCAAAGGCATATCTTCCGTTCTGTCTAATCTTATTCTTTGTTTAAAACCCCTCTCCATGCATTCTTCTTGTTTACATATTTATTGCTTCCTCTCTAAGTTTGCTGAGTCCTAATCATCTATCTATCTAGCAATCTGAGTATACGTAAGTATAAATATAGAGAGAGAGTTCGAGTAGAGAAATGGGTTTGGGCTCCTTCATCTCTACCATCACATACTGTTTGTTCCTTCGCTATCCACACAAGAAGCCTAAGCACAAAAGTCACCTCAACTATTACCACACCATGCCAAGGGCTCGTCCACTTTCTTTACAGGTATTCTCTTTCTTTTTCTCTTTTAATATTTCATGTTTACAGTTTAGTCTCAGTTCGACCCTAAGATCATGATATCAGTTTTTCATAACTTAAAATAACTTTGAATAACAATATCTGTCAAACCGTTCTTATTCGGATACATCATACATGCCTAATGGAACGAAGAGTGCACATGCTTTTTGGGAAGAGATGAGTGGAATAAATTTGTTAAGTTTGTGGTGATGGTAAAGGAGGACCAGCTAGAGTTAATTAAGTTGTTTTAACTATACCTAATTAAGACTAAACTTAGAAGCCTCTCTTTAATTATTAACCTTTAATTTAAGTTTGTCAATTTTGTGAGGAAAAAGGCTAGATACGAAACAAAACTGGCAGATCAGATTCTCGCAGAAAGAATATCACAGAACTGTTTTCAAGTTTTTTTTACCCCTGTGTTAAAAAAAGACTTTTGGTGTTTTATTGATATGTTAAGGGGAATCGGACAAAACTGTAATGGATGTTTCTATGGTTATAATATACTTGGCTGATTCAGCAGTCCTTTAAATAATTAATTGTTCTTCAAATTACCTCTTTATTTTGAAAACGTATCACATATTAATACCAATTATTTTGTAATATATGAATGGTGCTAACAGACGATAGACCTGAAAGTAAGGAAGTGCTGCAGTGGATGCGAGAGAGTAGTCAAGCATGCCATTTACAAGCTGAGAGGTAACGTCATAGTTAAGTGTGTTTTTGACAAATAACAAATTAATTAGTATTTCATTTTTTTTTTTGTATAAAATGTTTTGGTTAAATACACACATCAAAAAAAAAAAGTGATACTGTATAATATAAATGCTAAAAGAAAAAAGTTATTTTTTCATAAAAAATGGTAAAATAATGAAAAACTCTAAAACATCCTATAGAAAAAGATGGATTGAGTACTATTTGTGAATGTCAAAATAGTAACTAAACGAGTGTTGTGTTGGTGGTAATTAAAGGGGTGGACTCGGTGGAGGTGAACCTGGAGATGGAGAGAGTTACGGTGGTTGGTACGTGGAGAGGAAGAAGGTGCTCAAGGCAGTGAGAAGAGCCGGTAAGCGAGCCGAGTTCTGGCCCTACCCGGACATGCCTCGCTACTTCACTTCCTCCGACCATTACTTCAAAGATACCACCCGCGAGTTCAGGGAGAGCTACAACTACTACCGCCACGGCTACAACCTTAGTGACCGCCACGGTCACATTCACGTCACCAACCGTGGCGATGATAAAGTGAGAAACTTTTTCAACGACGACAATGTCCACGCCTGTCGCCTTATGTGATGATCTTCCTCTTTTTTTCTTTTTTCTTTTTCGCTATCTGTGTTGATACATATTGTATCTTCTTTAGGGTTGCTTAACTAGTTTGTATGCATAGGCGGGAGAAAAAAAAGGAGCTTTATAAAACAAGAAAAACGAACCAAAAATATATCCGTCTTCCAATGATACATAACGACCAAAAAAAAGTAAATGCTTTTTTAAAAAGGATACCGATGTATTTTCCAGATGCAATCCAAACTAAGGCCTCCTATATCTCTCCAAAAACAAAATTCAAAACTTCTTTTCCAAATTGAAAGTTCAAAAATTTGGCCAGCGCTCTGTTTTCTTTATCGTAATGCTCTGTTTTCTATTCCTTGTCAAATTAATGCTCAAAACTTATATATCTTCTCGGAATCATATGTTGATTTTAGTCGGCAGGAGAACGACTAACCAAAGTATGTGATAACTGATGGTGCAGCAGGACGACTAGTTGTGGAACACAGCTTGCTAACAAAGAACAGTGAGCTGCATCCATGTGTGAGAAGTCAGAGATGACGTGGCAAAAGAATACACGTTGCGTGAGCAAACGTTTGGAGCGAAGATTTGAAGATATTCACTTCACCAAGATAAGGAAAGGAATTAGATTGAGGAACAAGATAATTCCAAACATGAAGATTGCGAGATCTAAACAATATGATTTTCGCAAAAGGGGGTTATATACTGATCCTAAGGCCATAAGCCGCCACACACAAGATCAGAGAGTTTTGAGAAAGCTAAACAACATCGTCTGAGTGAAAGAAAAATAGCTTAGGTGGTGAGAGTTGTGTGAGTTTACTTTTCTATTCGTCTGTTCTTGAGAGGGGGAGCGTAGGATAGAAAAGGGTGAGAAGTACTTTATTGCTGGGTAGACTAAGTGGGTAGCTTAGGTTATTCAGTGTAATCATTTGTTGCTAAGAACTAAGTTTCATTTGATTAATAAAGTATTCAAACGTTTGTTGGGCGCGTTCCAAACAGTAAGCTGTTGTGTATCTGTCTCTATACCTGTTTCAATAACACCAACACGCTTTTACTCTTTTCTTATGCCTAACTTGTTTCCTATATAACCTGAAATGTTCGTAGCATTTGCTTGCATCTCACTAGTAGTTGCTACATTGTAATGCAATACTAAGTAAGGCTTCGTGATTTCCTCCTTGCGTGTCTGTTGGAATTGTATCCTTTGATTGGTCCTGCAAAAGAGAAAAGCGTCAGTGAGAAGAGAAGAACCAAAAGCTAAGAAGAAGAAGTTGTCGTGAAGAAGGGTCAGCGACAACAAGAAAAAAGACACAAGTCAACAGAAGAAGCAAGTTGGGCTTTGTGTGATTTTGTAATAATGTTACCATTGGGCTGGAGGAGAAATTAGGCCCAATGAGAAAATATGTTTAGTTTGTCTAAGTGTTAGTTGATGTCTAGTGTCTAAGTTTTAGTTAAGCACTAAGTAGTAGAGTTGTGTCAACTTGTTAGAGTCCAAATGAGTAATGGTGTTGTGTAAGTCTTAGTTAAGTCAAGTAGAGTTGCTAAGTAGTAGAGTTGTCATGATTAGTTAGAGTCCCAACGAGTGAAGTAGTGATGTTAAGTGTTGTTGTAGTAGAGGTATGGTCTTGTCTAAGAGTCTATAGTAGAGAAACCACTATATGTATGTGTGTGTTGTTGTAAGAATCAAATCCAAGCAAGTACAAATGTGGAAGACTAAAGAAAAACATTTCCTTGTTTTTCTCTCTAGAACAAAAAAACAAAACACTAAAAGAGATAGAGAGAATGAGAACTAACCTTGAGGGTTAGTGAACGTGAGAATGCCAACAGTGTTGCTATCGGAAAGGTTGTAGTCGTTTATTGTCCCAACTCCCAATGGTTCACTCACTCTTAGTTTCCAAATAATGTGTATGCAGTTTCATATGGCTTTCAAAAAAATTTTGGCCTATGAAGCTCCTTGCCCCAAAAACTCTTGTAAACAACTTTTACTTTTGGTAATAATAATAAAAGCATGACGAAGCCGTGTTTTTGAATGCCTCGCGTTGCACATGACAAGAGGCCGTTTTTTTTTTAATGCTTTTCGCTTATGGACGCCTAAACGCAAGTGGCAGACTCCATTCTTACCCATTATTAGTAGTATATTTTATGCGCTATGAATCATATCCTGTAGACTGAAGTATGCCTTACCAATGCAAGCCTTACCAATGCAAGAAGATCACTTAAGATGACATAATTTTCTTTTAGCGTGGAAGATTTCGGACACACAACCAGTGTCTTGAGGATTACTTGACAGTCATTACCAATATTAGGGATCTTAGATTCAGACAGCTTGGAAGAAACATTAGTAGCCTATCCAAAATGCAAAAAGTAAGACTTGCTTCCAAATGGAGCAGGTTGCAAAACTGGGGTAATGGCATCATATCCATGTACTACACACAAAAAAGGGAGATAAGTATATTGACATATGAAAGAGCATTATATATTTATATATGAATTGCATAGACGTGTATCCCAAGAAATATGCGAGAGAGGGATTCAGATCTCTAACTCCAGATTTACGGATTTGATCATTATAACCCTAGCGATGAAACTCGCCAAGAAAATTGACCTTGTTTAATGAACCCAAATTGGTTATGGTTTTAATCATTGACTACAAGGTTATCAACCTCCTTATCATCCTTGGATTGTAAGATATAATTTTATACCAAGACTGGTTAGTGTCTGAGTATGCACTCTTAAATATTTAACATTATCATCTACTGTTCTATCAATGGCCAAATCTTCAAGCACGGGGCAATATGAGATAAGCGACTCTAAACTTGTCTCAATTGAATATACGTTGAGTTCTAAACGCAGAATCTTGAGATGAGGTAATGATACAGATGATTCCTCAAAACTAGTACTAAACAACACTCGACGGAGTCTTAAGTAAAGTAACGTCCGACAGACAAAGAGGCTTACAGGGATCACTTCCAAACACAAAGCACTCAACACCAAGATGCTTAAGTTTACGCGTAGCCACGAGTGTTTTATATCTCATCCGGTGGATTTATTTCTGGGCTTCAGTTGGGCCTCTACAACCCAAATCTTATATAAGGCAAAAGGGGTATTGGACGAAAAGAATTTGGTAGAATCTGACTGAATGAAATCCTTTATATAATAATAAAATCATAATCACATGGCCAATAAAATTATATATTTGGCCGGATATCATGAAATCATTCCTTCAATCTCCTTTAAAATGCATAAATTCAGTTCCATAAATTGACCCAACTAGATGAGTCAACAGAAAAACATCAACCATTAAAAGGAGAGTAATAGAGTATCGAACAACTCGAATCAAATGCACCGCTACGATACACCACATTCCAACGTCAATATTTTGTTTTGTTTTCATTAATTTAATAAGACTACATATAAAATCAGAAATTTACGGCCGTCAAAAAAAGAGAGGATATTTTGGTAATTTTGGTAATTTTGGTTTAATTGAAATATTTTGATATAAGAAAAAGCTTCAAACAAGGCGTAACGCAGCTCCAGAGTCGGTGGTGGTCGAGATCCGGCGTCGTCGGATCCGAAGAAGATGAAGATTTCGAGCGGTGTGGTCGCTTCTGTCATTGCCGTCTCCACCGCTGCCCTCTCTTCTTCCTCCACTCTTCCTCCAATCTCCCCAAAGGTTTCATTTCTTTTTTTCTTTCAAGATCTGCGATTTCGATTCGATTGCTCTGGTTTGAATTGGAATGTGGATATGAATTGATCAGGTTTGGGAATCGAGGAAGACGAATGGGTCGGAGAATTTTGAGCCGAGGTTTGATGGGTTAAGGTTCATAGAGACGCTGGTCACAGCACACAGATAGATTTCAAATACCATTCATTTCACTTGGTGGTGCAAAAGCTTTTGTTTTTGATACAGAAGCGTGAGTGCGTCACTTGGGTCTTTTTAATCTCATCATTCATCTTCTCTTGTTGTCTTCTATTTACTCTTGTATTGATAATTTATTAACATTCTTTTGCTTCAAGGGATATGCTAAATTGAACTCTTTTGTTGTGGTAAACTTTGTTTCATATTTTTTGGTGTGTACTCTTTGTTGTGGCAATGGCACTGATTGGTGTTTGGAATCATGGCTTGTTTTTGGTATAAAGAGCAATTCAAGGTCAAACCTAGGAGGATTCAGTCAATCTGGTTAAGTCTAATTGTATTGGAAAGACATGAGTGGTGCAATAGTCGAGAGAGAGAGAGAGAGAGTATTAGTTGGTGTTCTGTCTCCATGAGAGCACCAAGAGAGAAGAAGACAAGAATGATCTGTCATGAGACAAGTGAGAATCCGAGAGGACGCAAATGGCAATTAAAACAAGAAAGATGCTCTCTCTGCTTCTGCTGCTCCAGAGACACTGACTTCCAGCTCATCCAAACCAACATTACTCTCTCTCTCTCTCTTCTTTTCATTATTTCTTTATTACTATTTTACTTTGAAATTTAGTGAATCCTAACGCTCTGGTCCCATCTTCCATCATCTTGCTTACAACCACTCACTACTCTTTCTCTCTCTCTCTCACTTCATCCATGGCTTCTCCTTCTTCTCAGTTTCTCTTCTCTCTGTTGTGCCTTGCTCTCCTTTCTCTTCCTCACATCGTCTCCTCCATCGGCATCAACTATGGCCAGGTCGCTAACAACCTTCCTCCCCCAAAAAACGTCATCCCTCTCCTCAAGTCTGTGGGAGCTACAAAAGTCAAGCTCTATGACGCCGATCCACAAGCCCTCCGTGCCTTCTCCGGCTCCGGCTTCGAGCTCACCGTGGCCCTCGGCAACGAGTACCTGGCCCAGATGACCGACCCTAATAAAGCCCAAGCCTGGGTGAAGGAGAACGTTCAAGCATACCTCCCCAACACCAAGATCGTGGCCATCGTGGTGGGAAACGAAGTCCTCACCTCCAACCAATCAGCCCTCACGGCGGCCCTCTTCCCGGCTATGCAGGGCATCCACGGCGCTCTGGTTGATTGTGGCCTGAACAAGCAGATCTTTGTGACGACGGCTCACTCACTGGCCATCTTGGATGTGTCCTACCCTCCCTCGGCCACTTCCTTCCGCCGCGACCTTCTCAGCTCTCTCACTCCCATCTTGGACTTCCACGTCAAGACAGGCTCACCAATCCTCATCAACGCCTACCCTTTCTTCGCCTACGAAGAAAACCCCAAACACGTCTCTCTCGACTTCGTCCTCTTCCAACCAAATCAAGGTTTCACCGATCCTGGCTCTAATTTTCACTACGACAACATGCTCTTCGCTCAGGTCGACGCAGTCTATCACGCTCTTGACGCTGTCGGCATCAGCTACAAGAAAGTCCCCATAGTCGTCTCCGAGACCGGATGGCCTTCCAACGGTGACCCGCAGGAGGTTGGAGCAACCTGCGACAATGCTCGCAAGTACAATGGGAATCTGATCAAGATGATGATGAGCAAGAAAATGAGGACGCCCATTCGACCTGAGTGCGATCTCACCATCTTTGTCTTTGCTCTCTTCAACGAGAACATGAAGCCTGGACCCACCTCCGAGAGGAACTACGGTCTCTTCAAACCTGACGGAACTCCGGTTTACTCTCTTGGGATCAAGACTTCCTCCACTCATAGTAGTGGTAGCAGCAACTCCACTGGTGGTAGTGGTAGTAGCAGCGGCGGTAACACTGGTGGCTCTTCCGGCGGTGGTGGTATCTACCCGCCAGTCACAGATAACCCATCACCGGATTACATGTCCATTTCCTCCGCCAAGGTAAAATTTTCGACTTTACACTTCATTTGTTGTTTTACTTTGACAATTTTGCTTCTCCCTTTTTCTTAGACTGTTAAGTTGCATACTTAGTCGGATGAAACCATCTCTGTCTTTCACTCTCTTTATCTGTTTTGTTTCGTTTTAAAATAAATTGTTAGTGGTAAAAGAAATTACAAAGCTCGAATAAGGAAGGATTAACATTGGGGTAAAGTTGGAATCTTTTTTATAAACTCGACAAACTGTGACAATGTGTTTTGGATTGGTTATCACGTGGAGATGACTCTTGTTTGGTCACTTTTGTCTGAAAATATAATTGATATTGAGTGCCTCACTTTTTGACTTGTTGACCTTACTGAATAAACGATTTAAGGAGTGACATAGGCAAACTTGTTGACGTTTTTGCAGGGAAAAGGCAGATTCGTTGAGTGTGTGTTGTTCTTCTTCCTGCTTTGCATCATCAAGCTTCGGTTGTAAAAGCTTCCCCACTAGATCTCGTCGGCTTTGTACTTTTACTCCTAAATTTAATTTAATTAGTTTTGTGTTGGTGTCTGGTCGGATGATGATTTAGGAAACATACCATCTTTGTTGTGCCGACCTCCTCTCCAACTCTTTTTTCCATCCATCTCTTTTTCTTGTTGAAGCATAGATATTTAAATAATGAATCTTAGTTGATTAGTATTTTCTAAAGATGATGATGATGATGATGATTTTCGATAATTATAACTTGAAGACATTTGAGGCCAGAGTAGTGGCAGACAGAATCTTGGCACAAGTAACAAGTGCTAATTATTCAAGGTAAAACATGTGTATCTCCTTCAATAAATCACCTCCACATTCATACACCTAATTTCCGCCAAACTTTTTGTATTTATGTGACCAATCAATGTATGGTCCACCATAACCATTCAATGTTAATCTCTTCCACCTCCACACACTATACCAATTCTTTCGGCTGTCACTTCAGACAAAGATATAAATACAGATCCAACAAGGTAAATAGTAGTGAACAAAGTTTGCCTATTTTTTCAAGTTTGCTTCCTTAAGCAACTTTTCTAATCAGTCATTTTGTCTATCAAATTAAAAGCAAAGACTCAGATTAAGTATAAAGAGCACCAAGCGTTTTATGTTACCAGTAATACACATACTATGCATTGGGGATAAGACATTCATAGAGTCTATATAAGTATCCTAACAATTCAAGTAAACAAAACAGGTATTGCATTCTAAGAAAGATAACAGAAGAAGAAGAAAAAACCAAAGAAGAGAAGCTGGTTTACCAGGCAGGTGATGATCCGGTTTACTCAAAATCATCCTGTCAAACAAAGTATGTTACTTTACTGACTCACACCTCACACGATTATTCCAGTGATGACTTACAATTCAAACTCGTCTTCAAGCTTCAGGGCCTCAGCTGCAGCCTCTTCTTCCTCATCATCAACAACAAAGTATGGGTTATGCACCTCTGGCCTGAACTTGTAGCCAGTAAACAGATAGAACGCAAGTGTGGCTAACTCGCTGGCAACAACACTAGTCCACATATACTTGTAAGAGGTAATGGTCTCCAGTGCATACACAACAACACGAGTAAAGTAGATGTAGCAGATAACCACAATGTAGTACTGCCTAAACAGAGTTAACTTAACCAGGTTCACAGCAGCCTTCCCGTCAGTCTTAGCGGCCTCACGCAAGTTTTTGATGGACCAGACAATGGGAAACAGAACAGCACAGCAACAAACGACATCAACAAGCAAAAAGATCTGTTTCCATGTGACCCAATCTTGGCCATATGGTCCAGTCTCATCGATAACTACCTGAGCAAAGTTAGCCACAACCTGGAGAGGAATCACAATCATCAAGACCTTCTTTTCCTTGTCCTGCAAGTAGGGCTTCAAGAAAGACCAACCCGTGCCGATCAAGACGATCAAAGTGAAAAGAGTGATACCCTTAAGGAAATTGAAAATGTAGAACAAGACATCCCAACCATGAGCTGTTCCAGTTTTCTTAATATACGACTTATCCTCAGCCTCACAGAGAAGGTTCAAAGCTTTCAAGACAACAACTCCCAACATGAAGAAATGGATTGCGAAAACAGTGAGACGTTTCTTATAGAGAACGTAGATCCACGTCGCAGCGAGAGAGAAATAGATAACAGAGAAGAAGAAATAGACCTTTGGAAGAACAGTTCTTCCAGCAGAGAGATAATCACGACCACCCTTTTTACCTTCAAGGTTATACATAGCAGATCTAACATCCATACTGATTTTGACCTGTTGGAGGCAATTAGCGAAGACGAGAGAGTACTGATCGGCATCGTTCTCGGTGAATACGGTGGAGAATCTGCTCTTATCTCCCTTGAGATTGTTGAAGGTGAAGACATGCTTAACGAGATCTGATTGTAGAGCGCATGTGATCTCTTCTTCTTCAAGCTGTTGGATCACATGAACCCAAGCGTCTCTAGTGCAGAGAAAGAAGCCGACTTTGGATAGATCTAGATCGGGATTGGTGTTGGAAAGCGAGATCTTGGAAGCGTCAAGCTCGAGACGACCCGTGTGAGTGAAACCGAATTCGTCTAAAGGGATGATGGGTCGGTCATCGGATCGGATCTCTGATTTGCGAATCTCACCAGAAGCTATGGAGATGGAGATCAAGAGAAGGAGAACGATCGATGAGAAGCGTGAAGAGAAATCCATGGAGAAGAAGGGAACTAGTGTTTCGTTTCACAGAGAGATTAATCAAACTCAGATGTCAGATCCAAACACAAATTATTCTAACTTTTTCTTCTTCCGATCAAAACGGTTGGGTGGTGACCAAATTATTATTTTTTTTCTTTTCTAAGGAACAAAATAAATACTATTTTTTTTTATTAACAACAAGAGAACTCATTTTCCTTCATCATTAAGGGAATCAACCACCATCTTTGACGGTTTTTAGTGGATTCTAGAAACAAATTAGAATTTTCAAAGATATTTATGCAGAAGAAATTGGTTTAGTGATGAATTTCGTTGTGAATTGGTCAGAAATTGGATGTATAGGTTGAAGAAGAAATCATCCACAAATTTCAACCATTAGATGCTTTTTTCATTGATTTCTAAAATTTATTTTTTCGAACGTTTTTTCTTCAATCTCTACATCTCGTTCAGATTGTTTGAATGTCTTACTCTTATCCTCTCTGCACAACCCGACTCTAAGCCAACATCTTCCACACGCATATAATGAAAGACATAAGAAATAGTAGACGAGTCGACTCTTCGAATATATAATTGATTTTAGGTATCCGACCAAGTCGCTCTTATTTAAGCGATGGCTATAGCTGGAATGGAACAAAATCTGGCAACTATTCTGTTAAGACAGGATATTGGGCTGCGCAGGAACTTTCTCGCCCTACTTGTGACCATCCTTTTCAGGGATCGGGGATCACTTCCCTTCTGGCACAAGTATGGAAGTTAAAAACTACACGAAAGCTTAAGCATTTCGTGTGGCAATGTTTATCAGGTTGTTTGGCAACAAACCATACTATATTCTACCGACACATCGATAAGGAGAAGCACTGCCTAAGGTGTGGCGCTGAGGAAGAGACAATTAATCACCTCCTCTTTGAATGCCCACCAGCGCTTCAAACTTGGGCTCTCTCACCAATCCCATCATTACCTTCCTGCTTCCCTAATCAGTCCCTTTTCTCAAATTTTGACTTCCTATTCTGGAGAGCTAAAGGGATGATGAATAGAGAGGAAATTGGGCATATTTTTCCATTGATACTTTGGTATCTATGGAAGGCTCGAAATAACTTTATTTTTGAAAATATTCGAGAGTCTCTTCAAAACACACTAGATCATGTCTTTCAAGAGGGGAAGGAGTGGAAGGCGGCAAATACTAAGGATGCCCCCCCCCCCCCTCGTTGAAATCGTGAGGCCCCCGCTTGATCCTACAATCACAGAAGATACTCCACCTGAATGCCCAATTGATGGTTCTTGGCATGCTTCTAACACTCTCAGTGGACACGGGTGGATCGTTATGGATAATGAATCCCCTATCTTGCTAGGAATGAAAAGTTCTCGTCGGGGATTATCGCCTCTGCAAGCAGAATTTGAAACCCTTCTTTGGGCAATGGAATGCCTCATCTCAGAATCGAAGACGAGTTTTGGCTTCGCCACAGATTGCTCCGAGCTAATTTCTATTTTGGATAACCCATCTGAATGGCCTACCTTAGCTGTAGAATTACAACTTTTTAAGCTTTTGAAGCTTTCTTTCCCTTCTTTTTCTATTAGGTTTATTCCTCGTTGTAACAATATCCGTGCCGATTGCCTCGCAAAAAAAAACAAGAGCACGAGGTTTTTTATTTTCCCATGTAAGCACATCGGCTCCGGATTGGTTCTCTCTAGAGTAAAGTCTCCGTCTGATTACTTAATAAAATGGTGTTTGGCGGAAAAAAAAAGAAAAGTAGACGAGTCTTAGAGATTAAGTTCAAGAATCGTAATTCAAAAAAATCACACAGCAAATCAGTCGTGTGACCCTTGCACGTATATGTCTCTTAGAAAACTAAATTTATACGGATGTTAGGGTCTTAGGGAGACATACATCCCATAAACCTAGGAAAATGACCATTTAATTCCCCAAGTTTTGCAATGTCTCACAATAATTCCAGAACTTTTACGTTCGCAAAATAAATTCCATTTATATGTTGACTTCACAAATTTAGACTCCAAATTTGTCAACGTTAAATAATAAACGTCCTCGTTAATAAAACACATTTATGCTCAATTTCTTCTTTCCTTCTTCCCCAAAATCTCCTTTTTAAAACAGAGAAAGCCCTAAATTCATTTCCGGCAACGGCGACGTTGGTGATTCTGGTGTTGAAGTTCAGTATCGAGCAAAACAAACCTTGTTTCTATCTCAAGCTTTTTTGTTTTTTTTTTCATTTAGTTCCAATGAAACCAGACTTTAGTTTCATTTAGTCACTTTAAGAATCCCCATTGCTATTTGTTTTCCTCTGAAATTCAAATTCCAATCATATTTGCAGAATCATAATTAGATTGACATGAATATGCAAGTACAAAACAAGAACTTGACATCAATTTTGAATTTTGAATAAGCAAGAACCGATGCCTGCAACATTGTTGCTAAGTCTATGTTGATTAACTAATATGAGAAGTTATCACAATATCAAATTCATAGACTTACATTAATAATCTCAAAGCTACCAAATAAAATCACACTAGTGACCAAATACAAGTTTGCAGAGGCGATTTTTTTGCGAACGTTGACAAATTTGGAGCCTAAATATGTGAAGTCAACGGGATTTATTTTGCGAACGTAAAAGTTCGGGAATTACTGTGTGATATTGCAAAACTTGAGAAATTAAATGGTCATTTTCCCCACAAACCTAAAAATAAATACATAGCATGTCACATTTTCCAACCTCATTTTTATGAGTTAAGTTTTTGTATAAAATTAAGATAATAACAACAATTTTTAAAAATGTCTGAACTTTGAATAATGAGAGAAAAATTGTTGTTATTATCTTAATTTTATTCGATAGCATATCATAAAAAATATAGTTATTTAAATTTCTTAATTTTCTTAACATCTTTTAATTTTTTTAATTTATGTTTTTATTTTAAATATGCTATGAAATGTACGTCATTATTTTTGTAGTTATTATGTAACAAAAAAATTAACTATGTTTAAGTTAGTATTATTTTATTTTATTTTAATTTGTAATAAATCTTATTATTATTAATATAAAATTGAATTAATTTTAATAACATATACGGCAACTTATCCTATAAAAAAAATATATACTGCAATTTTTAAAGCACAAGAGTTACAAGTAACTTGTTTTGATCAGACTGATAACTCATATTTTTACAACAAATTTACTACATCAATCTGCAGTTTATACCGCATAAATTTTACTGCAAATCACATCAAATTATAACATTGATTGTAGTTCAACCTTAATAACATGTGTTACCGATCGGAGCCATCGAGTAATTGTTTAGTTGCATGTACTTAAGTAAAAGACCTACTAGGGCTAATGTTATGGTATCACTTTTTTTTTTTGTTTTTGACATCAAATAATGTTATCACATTTTTACTTTTTTGACATCCAATACTATGTTATCACCTCAATTATGTTTTTAGATTGTTGTAAAATTCACCCAAACGTATAGTCCACAATTTGGGATAAATAAGCTCTTTTGGGGCCCATTATAGGATTGTATAAACTGTTGTTTAAACTTATTCGACAATTTGGTTGTCTATATTAGTTTGTTTTATTAAAATTTTAGTCATGTATGCTTGGAGGATAAACTCCAATAGAATGTGTATCTGAAAACAATTTTATGTGACATACTAGTGAGATTTTGTGGGTTTGTATTTCTCATCATGAAGAACGTCTAGAAAAGATATTACTTCAAAAAAGAAAATCAGTTTGACGTAATATGAGTGTATACATTTAAATTTTCAAAACTAGAGTCATTTTGTTGTTTAGTGTCATTCTTTCGAATAAACAATCATAATCCTTAACGTCTCTTATCTTTTTTTGAATCGCCCAATCTATGGACCGTTGGCTTATAGGAGGAGTAATGAGGATGTTCGTGGTCTACATTGAAATCACTTTTCTCTAAGTGATAATCTTTTTATTCGAATTTTAAAGTATTGTTTAGATTAAACCAATTCACATTTTTTTTTTATTAACAAGAAAATCGACCTTGTTATATTTGTATGGTTGATCCTCCAATAGTATTATCATTTAATTTACCTGGTTAGAGATGTGGAATATTAAAGGGATTGGTTGTATATATACAACACACCTCGTCGTTTTTGTTTTTCTTTTTCGTCAACTCCGCGTCGTTTTTAAAATATCGAATAAACATCATGCCGTTTTTTCACATTTTCTTTGGAAATAAAAAACCTTGTATTGGCTTTTTTATATAAACCGCTTTCTTCCCCTTTACTTTTTCCCAACACTAGCAAATTCTTCTTCATCGACTCAAATTCAAAAACTCATCTCTCTTTCTCTGGTTCCATAGCTCACCGTCGCATCGCAGATCTACACCTGCCGGAGTAGATTTTACTGGCGGAGGTATCAGATCTCGCCGATCTGTTCTAGCTGCTACTGTATTTTGGGTTCTTCATTTGATATTGGGGAAACGAGGAGTAGAGAACGATGGAGAATCTCATCTCTCTGGTTAACAAGATACAGAGAGCTTGCACGGCTTTAGGAGACCATGGAGACTCCAGCGCTTTACCTACTCTTTGGGATTCCTTACCTGCGATTGCCGTCGTTGGTGGTCAGGTTTGCATCTCGATCTCCTTCCCCTTTCGTTATATGCTTGAAGATCTATTTCACCATTCCGAATTGATATTGAGTTGAGGAATTCGAGATGAGTTTGCCTTAAACTTGGTGTGTTTGCTTATCAACACCTGGATCGTGAGGAATTAGAGTTGAATAGCTTCTACTATGTACTAGTTTTGCAAGCAATTGGTATTGGGGAATGTTGACTTGGCTTTGACTTGGATCTTTTTGTCACTAGTTGGTCTTAAACCATTTAAGCTACGATTGTTGTGGAGAGGGGTTTCTGTACTTTGATATTTCTATGTAGCATTAAGTTTATGTTGTATTCTTATTGTGTTGACAGAGCTCAGGGAAGTCTTCAGTCCTGGAGAGCATCGTGGGAAAGGACTTTTTACCTCGTGGATCTGGTAATTACACTGTTAACACTTGTTGCCTTGTTTTAAATTGAAATTGCTAATTTTTCTTGTGTAATGACAATATGCATTTGCGGAAACTTTTTGTAGGCATTGTTACTCGAAGGCCCCTTGTCTTACAGTTGCAAAAGATCGATGATGGAGCCCGGGAGTATGCAGAGTTTCTTCACCTCCCGAGGAAAAAGTTTACTGATTTTGGTGTGTTTCCGTTGTCTCATTTGCAGTTCAAGTTTTATCTTCTCCTATATTGCATAATTCATTGATTAATGCTTACTTTAATCACCTCTTATAGCTGCTGTGAGGAAGGAGATTCAAGATGAGACTGACAGAGAGACTGGACGCAGCAAGGCTATTTCTAGTGTTCCCATTCACCTTAGCATATACTCTCCCAATGGTTAGGAGAACCCAAAATCTCTTTCCAATTGTATGTGCTTTATGTTTTCCTGACATGTCATTCTCTAATTTTTTATCCTCTTTGCTATGTGTACAGTTGTCAACTTGACACTGATAGATCTTCCAGGGCTTACAAAAGTTGCTGTTGGTAAGTTACATTAACCGCACTCCATGCTGGAACAGTAGAGCAAGAAGTTTTGGTCTACTTCTCTAGCGATGGAGCATGAGGCAGTAGACTTTATTCTCTACCATACATAATTTAGCATGACACAAAAATTTGCTTTTGGTTGATGCAGATGGACAATCTGATAGTATAGTGAAGGACATTGAAAACATGGTTCGGTCCTACATTGAAAAGGTAAATGAAAATGCTTACTCCCAGACCCTCTAATGTTTTATATATCGCCAGTTTAAATTAGGTTTGGTAATATATAAGTATTCTCCCTATATTTGTTTTGTTTCCGTAGCGCAAATGAGTTGACACGATTCTGTTTTTTTTTATTAATTAAATTTCCTTATAGCCCAACTGCATCATTTTGGCAATCTCACCTGCAAACCAAGATCTTGCTACCTCAGATGCAATTAAAATTTCCCGTGAGGTTGATCCATCGGGTGAGCATTTTACAAACAACTCATTTTTCCACCAAAGAGACCCAAGACATTATGCTGTCATCCTATGTCTCTTATAATCTTGGTGATCTTCACAGGGGAGAGAACATTTGGTGTCTTGACAAAGATTGATCTTATGGACAAGGGGACTGATGCAGTGGAAGTAAGTTAAATTCCCAGTTTATAGAATAGTTGTACTATAATCTCGAATTACTGTGAATACAATGTGTTGGAAATGCAGAATGATTTATATTTGTAAATAGTCTATAATATGATGCTGGAGCTATAAAATGCTAATTTGTGTTGTAACATAATACATATGTTTCCTCATTAATGTTTATTGCTTGCACCGCTACTTACCAAATGATATTTTTTGCTCAGATTCTGGAAGGGAGATCTTTTAAACTTAAATATCCATGGGTTGGTGTCGTCAACCGTTCCCAAGCAGATATTAACAAGAATGTCGACATGATTGCGGCTCGGAAAAGAGAGAGGGAATACTTTTCCAATACTACTGAGTATAGGCACCTTGCTCATAAAATGGGTTCCGAGCATTTGGCAAAGATGCTCTCCAAGGTATGTGCTTTCACGGGGATATGTGTAGTTTTCTTCACCAGGGTCCTTATAATAAGTAGAAATTGGCATTCTGAAATTTGTTAGGACTGGTAAATAGGAGTTTCAGGGCTAGTGTTTTCACGATTGGTGCCAATTTTCTTAGCAGCCGACAGAAAATACTAAGAAACTAGGAAGTTTTTGGCAATGCTCAGCACGTTTCTCTATATACAACCATCAGCACAGAGCCTAATTGCAACATTTTTTTTTGTTGCACAGCATCTAGAACATGTGATCAAGTCGAGAATTCCAGGCATTCAGTCACTTATTAACAAAACAGTATCAGAGCTGGAAACTGAACTAAGTCGCCTTGGAAAGCCTATTGCAGCTGATGCAGGGGTAAGATTGTGTATTCTTTTATTTTTGATTGAATTGCTAGCTATAAATATTTACTTACTGTTTTGGTGCAGGGGAAGTTGTACTCAATAATGGAGATATGTCGGCTTTTTGATCAAATATTCAAGGAGCATCTTGATGGAGTGTACGTTTTGACTCTTTTTGCTTCAAATGTTTAAGATTAAACCATGAGTTGTTATAGCGTCTGAGTTGATATTTCGACTGTTAACCATCTAAACTACAAAAGGAAAATTGTAATTCTGAGCCTATGGTTGATTACACAGGCGTGCTGGTGGTGAAAAAGTGTATAACGTGTTTGATAACCAGCTTCCCGCGGCTCTGAAGAGACTCCAATTTGACAAGCAGCTAGCGATGGACAACATCCGGAAGCTGGTCACTGAGGCTGATGGTTACCAGCCTCACTTGATTGCTCCTGAGCAAGGTTACCGTCGTCTCATTGAGTCTTCTATTGTCTCCATCAGAGGCCCTGCTGAAGCATCTGTTGACACCGTATGAACTCTTTACTTTCATCTCTAAAAAAAAGGCATCAAAACCTAACAAAAAACAATAAGCTTCTCTCCTGTTTGGTTTATTTTCCTATGGTTAAATATTAGGTTCATGCCATCTTGAAGGATCTTGTTCACAAGTCTGTGAATGAGACTGTGGTACGTTATTTTTTCTTTTAGTAATATATATATATATATACCTCCAACAACTTAGTACTTTTGTACAATGTTATAGACGGTTTGAACATGTGCAGGAACTAAAGCAATACCCAGCTCTGAGAGTGGAGGTGACAAACGCAGCCATAGAGTCGCTGGATAAAATGCGGGAAGGAAGTAAGAAAGCAACACTGCAGCTGGTTGACATGGAGTGCAGTTACCTCACTGTTGATTTCTTCAGGAAACTTCCCCAGGATGTTGAGAAGGGTGGTAACCCCACACACTCCATTTTCGACCGCTACAACGATTCCTATCTCAGACGAATCGGTAAGGTTAAACCATATAAATATAGAATTATCTGGTGCGGTATATATTCCTATATCTCATACACCTTTCACATTTGGCAACAGGATCCAATGTTTTGTCTTACGTGAACATGGTCTGTGCTGGCCTGCGAAATTCAATCCCCAAGTCCATCGTATACTGTCAAGTCCGAGAAGCCAAGCGCAGTCTCCTTGACCATTTCTTCGCCGAACTCGGTACCATGGACGTAAGTTCTCTCCTTTCTTTTGCCTTAAGCATAAAGAAAATCTATTCGGGTAAATAGTATACTGAACAAAACTGATCAATTACAACAGATGAAGAGGCTTTCGTCTCTGTTAAACGAAGATCCAGCCATCATGGAGAGACGCAGTGCCATCTCAAAGCGGCTAGAGTTGTATCGAGCAGCCCAATCCGAGATCGACGCTGTTGCTTGGTCCAAGTGAACCGGCATCTCATGTCCACTGTTTTGCTCGGTTCTGGTCGGTGTGGCTCAGACTCGGAACAGAGATTTAGGTCCTGTAATTTTTATAAGATGGTCTTCCCGATACCATGCAATATCGTTTTATATAACATAATATTGTTTGTCCTACCTCTTTGTTTTTTGTCCATCACCCGATATGTTATGTAGATCGTTTTATAACATCCACATTGTTTATTCTACCACTCTGTTTTTTTGTCGATCACCCATTATTCTTGAGCTTGCTTGACCTATCGATCTTGTTTGTTATGGTGATAACTTTTTCTTTGCCTGGAATCTTGGTTCGAACCGGTGCAACATAATTGAGATTAGTACAGTTGTATCTGGTTACAAAGAAAATAGAGAAAGTCTAATCTAACTGATCAAACTGTTGATGGTTCAACTTAGAAAGATTAAGAAAGAAAACACAAAGATATGCGGTAAATAAAAGAGGGTTTTTTTTTAAGAAAAGAGCGTATTCTTTATCAAAATTGTTCCATAATCAGGCATGTTTTGCCTCATTAATGAAAATCGCAATTAATTGATTTTTTTTACCATAAGTAGGAGCGTACTGTAAATTAATTGCAATAGGGCCGTCGTTTTACCATTTCAGTAAGTGTTCTCTTCGCCGACAAAATCACCGCAGCCAACGGCGGAAGAACTTCGGGTAAAACTACGCAAAGAGTCTTCTTCAAGTAAGCTTTTTTCGCCTAAACTAAGTAAAAAGTTGTAGTCTTTTTAACCTCACTCACAGTTCATCTTGTATGTCGCATTCGACAAAAAAAAAGATCAAGCTTTTAGGGTTTATCCATTTGCTGGGTTTATTGAATCACCTTCTCTGTTAAAAAGCTTTCTCCTTTATTGTTGTCTTCCATGTCATATTGTTGCTGCTACTGTTACCTTCTGCAATTGAGATCTAGGGTTTCTCAAATTGCGAACATGGCTTTGTGTTTTCCGATTGAAACCCATAATTTAGTTTGTTTCTATTTGAAGGTATTGTGGTGCTCATGGATACAAGAAAGGTTCCAGTGTTCTGTTATTGGAATGGTTGTATTAAAGATGGTCCTGATGGTCCATTTTACGAGGGGTCAAGTCCAAGAGTGATTAGAGTTGAAAGCAAGATTAAATTATCCACATTGTTGGATGGTCTGCATCGACTTACTGGATTCCAAAGGGGAAAGTTTCATATTGATTTGATTGGTAGGTACCCTTCCATTGTTCAGCAACCGATGGTCAAGTATATGCGTTTACCCATTGTGGATGATTGTAGCCTTGAGACCATGCTTGAGGTCCCAAGCTACAATCCTTCTGTCAACAATGTGGAATTTTACTTAGAGATCAAACCGGTTGTTTCTGATCGCTCGCTATTGGCAAATCATGCAACCCGAAAGCGTTCTCGGCAAGAGGATGCTAATGTTGATGCACATGGAAATGTGAGTATGAGAAATACTACACAAAGAAGCCCGCCAGAGGATAAAAATGACGGGCGGGTTAAAGATGAGAAGATTATGGATGATGGTAATAATGAGGCTGTAGAGAAGGATTCAAAGATGAAAAAGCTAAGTCTAACCATAGACCTCTGCGTTAGTGTCCCGAAGCAGATGATTCTCTCTAGTACATGGCTCGATGAACGTGAGTTGCATGTTGGGATGGTTTTTGGAGATAAAGATGAGCTGGTTAAAGCAGTGAAGCTGTACTCTGATAGAAGGCAAAGAAAGTACCGTGCAGACGAGTTTTTATCTACTTTTCAATGCAGTAGAGGCTGCATATGGGTTCTCAAGGCAGCTGAAACGAAGAGCAATGGCTTCAAGATAACAGAATATTCAGGTCCACATACTTGTCAGCCAGCAGATGTGGGCTCAGATTTTCTGGCAGGTGAGATCCAAGGTCTCATAAAGGCTCAGCCCTCTCTCTCAATTGCGGACCTGTTCGCGTGGGTAAAAGGAGACTTTGGCTACACAGTCTCGCATTCTATTATGTCGGATGCTAAAAAGAAAGCGACTGTTGCAATCTTGGGAGATTTGGACAAGAGTTTTAGCGTACTGCCCAAGTTAATGGCTGCTCTCTGCTCATCTAATAAGATGGTTTTAGATTGGCAATACGATAGTTTTCCTGATCCCAAGGATGCATCCTTCCGTTCTGTGTTTTGGGCGTTTCAGCAGTCAATTGAAGGGTTTTCTCACTGCAGACCTCTCATTATAGTGGATACGGTAGACTTGAGCGGTAATCACCCTGCAAAGCTATTGGTTGCAGCGGGACGTGATGCTGAAAGCAGGATATTTCCACTTGCCTTTGCGATTATCACCCAAGAAAGTTTGTCAGCTGATAATTGGCGTTGGTTCTTTGCATGCATCAGAGAGAAAGTAACTCAAAGGAATGGCCTTTGTCTAATAACAAGTCTGAATCCTGACATAGTTGCAGTTGTTAAGGAACCTGAGTGTCAGTGGGCGCAACACCGATTTTGTCTTAGGCATCTGTGCTACAAATTTTATGATGTTTTCAGTAATAATCTCATGACAGAGTTTGTTTTCAAGGCTGGAACCACAACGTACGAACCACTTTGTGATTACTACTTGGCGAAAATTGAAGGGATGAATCCGGATGCTCGGAAATGGTTAGACGAAATACCTCTGCATCAATGGGCTCTGGCTCATGATGATGGCGGGCTGAGATATGGGATCAGGACAACGAACATAATCTATAGGACATATGATTTCATAAACAAAGCCCTTGATCTTCCAATCACAACCTGCATCTTGCTAATCTTTGATCACCTGGCAGAGCTTTTCAAATTTCGACGTGGTCATCCTGGGGAATCACTCAATGGAAAAGACTTGTATGCGGAACAAGTCATGACACATTTTGAAGCGTACAAGGTAGCTTCTACAACGCATAATGTATTGCCATTAGACTTCACACGGGAGAAGTTTGAGGTCACGCATCAAGATGGAAAATTGAGTTTTGTTGTTCACCGCAGCGATCGGCTTTGCACTTGTGGGAATTGGCAACTTCACAAGATTCCGTGTTCGCACGTGATAGCGGTTTGCAGGAGGCTGAACATTGATCATATGCAGTATGTTGATGACTTTTACCGTACAGAAAATTTTCTTGCAGTGTACGCGACTGATTTCAATCCGCTTCCAGGCGTCGCAGATTGGCCTGAAGCTTCCCAAGTTCCAAGATTGTTTCCTCCTGGAAGTAGTCCGATATCAGCTGAGCCAAGAAGAAAGGTTACCGGAGAAAAAAGACGATCCAAGACTGGTAAAAAGAAAAAGGAAAGGTCTGAAGTGTTGAAAACGGAACCAGAGCCAAATCGTGAAGACGTTTCGGTTTGTTAACTGATTTTACATGAATTTAGTTTGGTTTGGCTTGTTTGAGTTTAGGGAAAGGCTAAAGAAGTTGGTGAATGTTGAAACAAAACATTAACGATTTTTTTTTGTTGGTAAGATATGTTTAGCCTTCCCTTAAACATTAACGATTATTTTTTGATGGGAGATTGTATTGAGTATTAGTTATCTCACTAAACACTTGAAAAACGATTTCCAAGAGATAGTTTAGTCTAAACAAACAGTATAAACCACTCTAACATAAGAACAACCGTAGTTTTATTAACTTGATTAAACCAAACTGCGAAGATAGTTTGGTAACAGAATTCACATCGGTTTTGGTGTGGTTTGGCGGATAAATTTTGGTAGAGAAGTTGGTAATTAATGAACCATTTTTGTATATGTGGACTAAACTGTTTGTTTAGACTAAACTATCGGTTTAGACTTGAAAGACGATTTCCAAGAGATATGGAGTTCTTGTAAAGTTGGTTTAGGTAAAAACCAAAACAGAATTCACATATCGGTTTTGTTTCATTTTCATTAAATTCGGATTAGTCACTACTTTATATGTAATTGGAAAATGGCTCTGACGATTATCGAGTGGGTGAAGTAGAAAGTTATGGTTAAACCCTAAATTTTTTTGACTCGTGTCTCTCCCGCTTCATCTTCTCCAGTTATGGCTATTGTACCCAACAATTGCAATCGCAATCGCACCATCTCGTTCCGACATTCCCCAGTTTTGAAGGCTCGCCCGGACAAACCAGTTTCTTCGTCTTGTAGTAATACTACAAGAACATCGAGTCTCAGACAAGAATTTCACGCCAGTTGCAAAGGGTTTCTTAGATTCAAATTGTGGGTTCGTGCTTCAGTGTCATTAAAAAAGAAAGCAGCAAGATGTCTTAGAGATGATCATAAAGATTCACAATCTCAACAAGTTGTTCAAGATGATGATAGGATTGAGGAACATTCTTCTTCTACTAATAGGGGTTTTAAAAATGGCAACAATTTCTTAGTATCATCAATAGATAAGAAGAAGCTTGCTGAGGTAATGATTCTAATTTAATACTCTTTCTTGGTGGATGCAATGCAAGATTGGTTTCTAAATTGCAATCATGACTTGTTAGATTTCTGTATATGGTGAACCTTTCCTACCACTCAAAGAGGAGGAAGTAGCTCAAGTTGAGAGTGCCTTCTCTGGGATAAATAGGTATTTATATATATTTTCAGCATTAGGATATCATGTGAATGACTTGATTGAGAATTTAACCACTTGTGTTGCTTTGCTATCTCAGAATGAAGATCTTGGTTTCACATAAAAAATCCAATATTGATATCTCTGGAGAAACTTTACAATGCCTAATGCCGAATCAATGGCTTAACGACGAAGTACCTCAAGTCAAGAGTTCCTTATGTTTTTTCCATTATTAGTGTATCATGTTTTATGTTCTTCTTTGTTTTATATATATATAGGTCATTAATCTCTATCTCGAGTTGCTGAAAGAGAGAGAAACTAGAGATCCCCAAAAGTACTTGTTCAAGTGTCATTTCTTCAATACCTTCTTTTACATTAAGGTTTGCTTTCTTTCTCCTTTACTTCTCATGCTTCTTTAAATACAATTAAGCTCTATGTTTCCTCATTTGTTCAGCCATGACTTACTTTACATTTGTTCAGCTCGTAAGCGGCTCCCGTTACAATTACGAAGCTGTCAGTAAATGGACTACCAAGAGAAAGCTAGGATATGCCCTCATTGACTGTGACATAGTGAGGTTTTCCTTTTTTTGTAAAAAAAATTCAAATATATATAATCCAATTTGATTGATGATGAAGCTGTGCAGATATTTGTTCCAATCCACATAGGTATACATTGGTCCCTGGCAGTGATTAACAATAGGGAGCGCAAGTTCGTGTATCTTGATTCATTAGTTAATGAAGTTGATCCTACAATTTTGAATGCTCTGGTATATCTTCTTGATCATAAAACTCTGTCATTTGCATTTTTGGAGATTATTGAACCAGTATTTATTGTTTAAGGCAAAGTACTTGGTGGATGAAGCAAAAGAAAAGAGTAAAAAGAATATTGACGTTAGTTCATGGGACATGGAATACGTTAAAGAATGTCCTCAGCAACTGAATGGGTACATGATTCCCATTTGGCTATGTTATTCATCTCACTTGTAAGGAATATTATCTTAATTACGGTAAGAAATCTGACACTAGTCTTTTGCAATAATTCGCAGGGACGACTGTGGGATGTTTATGCTTAAATACATTGATTTTTACAGTAGAGGATTGAGTCTACAATTTAGCCAGGTAATAAGAGATGTCGTCAAGGTCTGCGTTTGCTTATGAATCCGTATCAATAGCTGCATTTTAAAATCGTGAAATAGCAAATTACTATCCGGTTCAAACTAGAAGAAACATTACTTGAGCACATGATTTTGCTTAGTAACCTTTTAGAGCAGATGATAATTTGTTGATTATGGAATTTGATTAGGTGGTGGTGAAACATGTGTTAAGACTGGTACTATAAAATATGTTTTTTCTTTTCTTTCATTTTCTCTTTTATTCATCTATCTTTTGCAGAAAGACATGCCATACTTCAGGTTAAGAACAGCAAATGAGATACTGAGACTGCGAGCCGACTAATAGTGCCCCCTTCTTGTTGACATCAGCTTGCTATTTTACAAAGCCAACAATGATTCATATTAGATAAGCTGTGGAGAATGCTAGATATCTTAGTAGCGTCCTCGAAATATTTGTTCAATTTTTCATTCTTTTGAAAAACATAGAAGAATTGAATGGTTATAGTTGTTGAGAACCTTTTAGAATTCTGTTTTATTGTTTAGTGAAGGATGAATCTTCATTTTTTTTACCATGACCGAGGAATAATAAGCTTGGTGGCTAAATTGCAGATTGTAATGCATCTCTTAAGTCTTGACCATAATAACCTCATGAATGAATGTGGTAACAGTGGTTGCAGAGGGTGTAATTACAACTGCTTTGTGTTCTGTTCTTTAGTGAAAAAAGAATCTCCATGTTGGCTTGAGTGATTGCATATTTTGTGATGCATCCATCTCTTTGTCTCTAGACTAACCTGAGGTGACAAACGCGGCCACAGGGTCGCTGGATAAAATGCGGCTGGAAGTAAGAAAGCAGCATTGCAGCTGGTTGACATGGCTTGCAGTTACCTCACTGTTGGTTTCTTCCCAGGATGTTGAGAAAGGTGGCAACCCCACACATTCCATGTTCGACCGCTACAACGATTCCTATGAATTTGCTATCCAACTGTTGATGGATCAACTTACAAAAAGATAGGGGAGGCTGGGAGGGGATTCTATTGCTTAATGCATATTAAAAGTGCAGAAGAGAACTCTTAACTGATTCGAAACCGAATACTAAGATTGTCGGTTCGGTTTAATCGGTAAGGGAAACCAAAAGTCTTTGACAGATGTTTCTGATCCACGTCAGCATGAAATTCTAAACGACGTTTCAGCGTATCTCTTCCTCATCTTCTTCTCTTGTATAACACTTTCGCTTCTAATTAGGGTTTATCGTTTGCATCGCTCTTGCCACTATCTCCGGAGTCTGTTTGATTAGTTTAATGTGAGTGAGTGACACGATTGATTTTAGAATGATTATTTATCTATGGTTTGAATTCTTGTTTACCTCTTGTTTTGTTAGCTAAGGTTTTATCTTTTTCCATTAATTTAGTATTTGCATATTATAGGATTAGAAAGAAGGGTCTCTAGCTACTTGATTTAAGCAGTGAATGTTTGTTTACACCTAATCTCTCTTAATCTTGGAAACATACTCTTCTCTTAGGATGGAGGAATTAAGCCAAATCTTGAAGAACAATAGGACCGATGATCTCACTTGGTTTTGCTCTCTCTCAGAATCTGAACTGGTAAAATATTGTTGAGGCAAGCCATTTATTCTCCTTCTTTCTTCAGTCAAGCTAACATTGATCAATCATTTTCTTCAGGATTTGCTCATCAGCTTAAAGCAGCTAGTCATTCAACGCGCCAAAATAAGCGGTCTCCAAGATTTAGTAGCTGACAAATTTGATCTTAAGATGCTCCTAGCTCTCGGTTCTCTTCTAACTTCCGACACCTTTTTTTTTTGAAATCCTGAAATCTGTTATTGTGAAGCTATTCATCTTTGATCTTGTGACACAAGTATATGGTATCTTGCAGGGCTTGTGCTAATGGAGTATGTAAGAAAAAGGGTAGAAGATGATACTTCTCTTGACCCAAGTGTTGTTCAACAACTTAGCCTTTTGGATAGTTGTAACTTGTTGAAAACGAATGTAGATGATACTGTAGACATTGAGGAGATTCTTACTGAAATCTGCAACAAGAATTCAAAAAAGAAAACACGGAAAAGGTTGTAATTGGTACAGAGTCTAACGACTTAGCGGAAGGTCCTTGATGTATTCCATGCTAAATACTTATATGCATTTCTTTCGTGTTTGAAGGAGTCGGTAAGCCTGCTGCGATGGAAAAATATGACTGGTGGACAAGGAACAGCGAGAGGAAGAAATCGGAATGCTCATCAGCAGGAGCACAAGACTAATGAGTATCAAGATTAGCTACTTTGTGGTCTCTGACCAATTTTTTTTGAAAGATGTAATTTTGAGACTTGTTTGGGACATATTAGGCTTGTTTTTGTGCTTTTTGACCAAATTTTTTGGTTCTGTTCAGCCTACTCTAAGATGTACTTATAATCGATGCTCAATTAGTAGTCTTAGATAACAACAATAAATCATAATTAGAGGATTTTTTAAAAATTACTTTCTCCATTTTTAATATAAAAAAACATTATAGCTAAAAACACTTAGATTAAAAACTTAACTACATGAAAACTTGGAAGTAGTAACAGTGAATTGCAAGTGATTTTTGGTTTTTATTTTTTATTTTTTTTTGTCAATTTAATACTAAAGAATAAGAGTGTATTTTTTGCATAGAAATACGAGAATTTTTTTTGTAACAATATTATAATATTAAATAAAAAATACCAATAAAAATTTAAAATAAATTTGTAATGTACTCATTTTATTTTGCGTTTCTGATTTTGTGGCCATTATCTTCTCAGACTCTCTGCACTTTTAGCTCACAGAAGAAAGAGAGATGGCGAATTCCATTTCATCAATATCTCTTCCTCGATGTTTCATCTTCAACAATGGTAGTCACAAATCAAGGCCATGGCCAAGCTCAAGCAGTCTCATTCTCAACAACTCATCAAATCATCATCATCATCCATTACTCTCTCTTTCTTCTTCGCCAGCTTCCGTCGTAGAAACTGGCGATGACGACGACGACCTCACTTTCAGGTACCCTTTTGCTTCTCTTCATCGATTCCATTTGAAAGATTAAACCTTTCCCAGCTAATCCAATTTCGTTGACATTTTAAGGATTTTAGAGTTAATGATATGATTAGGGATTATGTTCTGTTGTTACCCTGTCATAGTAATGAATCTATTAGTCTCTATACAATAACCTCATAAATATGAATGTTTTGTAACAATGTCATTGTGTTCTGTTGTTTAGTGAAAGATGAATCTACATGTTGGCTTGAGTGATTGGATATTTTTTTCATTTGTGATGCATCCATCTCTCTATAGTCTCTAGACTAACCTGAGGAATGAAACAGTGGTTGCAGAGGGTGTGGGAAAGAAGAGAAAGAGAGTGGGTGTAACGGTGACGGACGGATTCAAGGTGGCATTGCAACTGTCCCTGGTTTCGGTTGGTGGCCCATTAAGGCTTACAGGCCTTGTCCCGCGTTTGTGGAGGCCGGAGGTAGATACCGCCGCATAGGACAGAGCATGGACGAGGTTGCATTTGGTCGTGGTGACTCTAAATCCTTCACTTCTATAGACACCGGTGATTCACTACTAAGGTATGTAAAATGCAGAGCAACAAAGATCGTCTTTTCGCATATGCATTCAAAAACGTTCTTTAACTCCTAATTTAGCATAACAAAATTGTACGAGATTTTCAAAATACTTTGAGAACCTTGCAAAGGAATGAATGATCATGTTCTTCTCTCTTTGTTTGTTTTGCAGCAATAAAGAAAAGCCAAGAAGTTCTAGCAAGTGAAGAACGTTTTTTGGAATTTGTAATGGTACATTAATTGGGCCTAAACATATTATCGGCCCATTTATAAGTTTACGGCCAAATAGTGAAGAAACCCTTAAAAAAACGTTAAAATCCGATTTTTTCATTCAGAAGAAAAAAACAAAACCCTTATTAGGTTTCTTTGTCGGCGAGAGATGACATCAATGGAGGAAGTAGCGAGAGAAGAAGTAGAGATCGACAAGGATCTGCAGAGGAAAATAGAGAAGACGGTGAAGAAGATCTTGGAAAGTTCGAACTTGTACAAGATAACAGAGATCAAGGCGCGAGAAGAAGCTTCACTTGAATTGGATCTTGATCTCTCTCAAGATCCTTACAAGGTCATCGTGAAAGAAGTTGTTGAAAGTTTCCTCGAAGAAGCCGTAAAGGTAATCGGCAATAGAATTGCGATGCTTCCGCAGAGGATAGAGTCGAGTATTTAGATATTATTAATCAATCTAAAAGGAGTTATTTTTATGTTGATCCGATATTGGATAGTTTTATGGTGAACTTATGTGATTTCTCAAAGATTGTCTCCCGATAAGAAAGATGTGTCTTATTAATTCGGGGAATTGGTAGATGGTGAGATTTTTAAGCCGGATTGAATACAGCAAAGAAACTGCATACTCCAATACTAAATCGCACAAATGCGAAATTTTGAATAGATGGTAAAACCAAATTCGAGAACATACTATAACTTACAAAAGTAAGAGAACATAGTCGAATATGGACTAGTAGGAAGGTAGCAGAGACTCTCTGAACTGAGGCAGGAGAAACGTGAGAGGCTGCGTGGACAACAAGGGTCCGGGCCATACAAGCAGAATCACTAGGATTCATGGGCTTTACTCCCTTGGAAGCCATGTGCAGTGCTCAGGGAGATGCTGACGATGGAAGGGTTAAAGCCCACTAAGGGAATCTTGGCCCAAGCCCACTTCAAAGCCAATGCGGAGGAGAGGCAGAACGAGCGGTTTGGAGAGGAGGCAAGAGGAACCGACATGAACTCGATTCCGGCATAGCTCGTTTAGTTTGGTATATTACGAGTGGCTTCGTTTTTTTTTTGTCGTACGGCATTAAATGTAAAACGCAAAAGGTCCAAACCCAATGTCAACAAAAGTTCAGCCCATCGAATACAAATCCAAACGTGCACCGTTAAAGCGTGGCACAAGCTGGTCCGCATAAAGCGTCGAGACGAGTCCATGTGTTTGTTCCACTAAGTGTGAACGCATGAATGATTCAAAACAAAGGCCAATTCAAAGTCTTCTTTTATATCCGACAATAACATTATCTAGTCTCTCCACTTACCTACGCTACGTCATCTTTTCTTTTAAGTTTGGGATCTATTTCTGACATTTTCTCCTATGGTTAGAGAATCTGGCATAAGAACAAAATTAATGCCGACGAAGAAAAATTAAACAAATTGCGAAAAAAAAACAAAATTTTCTTTTGATATTTTCATGTTACACTTTCATTGTACACTTTTCTTAACGTGCTTTTCTCTAATCAATTTGCTGCTTCAACTAATCTTCCCCACATTGTTTTTCCCAAAGAAATTGCCATTTGAACCAACTTATGAGAAAGATTTTGTGCAAACAAACGTAAATAATTCCGAATAATATAAATGAAATTCAAGATAAAATTGGGTAAGAAGAAGAAGAGAGCAATTATACAAATATCAAACACAAATTGATAAGAGTTCATCATCTCATTTTCCCCCTATTTTGGGGTTGTACATATGTTATTTTATTTAATTTACACAAAAAAAAAAAAAAACAAAGTGGAGATGAGATCTATTCTTCATCCACCCACACAAAAATAGCACATCTTCTAATTCCCCATATACTCTGGGAAAATACTTTAGAAAGAAACTGTATAAACTAGTAAAAATACCATTTCTTCAGACAATTATTATTAATACTCCTCCTTTATAATCATATATGTATAATGGGGGGTATATCTCTCTTTCTGGATTTCAAGTAACAAACCACTATTTTTGTGTTCTTCATTGGTATACCAATTCAAGGGTTTTGGTCAGCAAAAATGTCCAATAGAGAAAGCACCTGCCAACAAAAACACAACCAAAACTTAAGACTCTGAATGAAAAAAACAAAAAGTGGTTGTGAACTGAAGAAGAAGAAAAAAGTACCTCAGGGACACTGAGTTCGAGCCGAAACTTAGGACCGTCGTAGTGGTGCAAAATGGGTCGGAAAGAATCTTCTTCCAGTGGCAAACAAACTTTCCTCGTTATGGCCCTAACCTTTATTTTTATTACCCCAAAATTTTGTTAACATTTAGACAAAAGCAAGAGCTTAAAGAAACGCAAGAAAGTAAAGACTAGTACCTGAGCAGGGAAACGAGATTCGCCAGGACATTTCTTGTCTTCAAAAGCATTCAACTCAATGTTGGTTCCTCCGAAGCTAGCTGCTTCGTAGATTCCATGAAGTTGGTGAGTGGAGTAGTTGTAAAGAAACAGAGGAAGTCCTGGAGTTATCGCTCTCACCGAGTCCCTGTATCTTGGTGGCAATCCTAAACAAATTTCCATCCCCAAATCAAAAACCAAAAACCAATCGAAACAGAGTAAGAAGAAAGATGTGTTGATGAATACCGAAAAGCTGGCGTTTGAGATTCTCTTCCATGGTATCGTTGTTGCAGACAAAGATGTAACCACCAATGGTTTCGTTTCTTGGCAAAGCCTCTGCTGGAGGAAGAGTCTTAAACCTCTTGTCTATACCATTATTCTTGTCGTCTTCGTTCCTCTGGTTATTGTTGTTCTGATGATTCTTTCTGTTCTTCTTTCCACCTTTCTGAATCTGATGATGATCTTCATCGATTCCTTTGTTCTTGTTGTTGTTGTTCTTTAGATTCACGTTGTATCCATACTTGTTCATCGACGTGTAAACCCCTTTGTTGAAATCTCCGTTAACGGCGTTTGACGGTGAGTAACCGTTAACGTTAACGTTGACTGAGTTGAATTTCCAGGTGTCGTTGAACGGTGTGTTGAATTTGTCGATTGGGTTAAAATCGACGGTGGATTTTGATCCCACGGGTCCGAAACCTAAACCCATGTCGTTGTTTGAACCAGAAGACTTCCAGTTCCAGTTGGAATTGATGTTGTCGGAAATTGTCTTCTTCTGATAATAGTCGATCTGGTTGTTCTTGTCGGCGATGTCCAAGTTTCGACGCTCTTTGAAGACAGAGTTTGTGCTCCAGATCGAGTCGTTGAGAGACAGATTCGCTAGATTTGGTGTCTGAACTCTCAACTGGTCGCTAAACTGCCAAAAAGATTGCTGATTGTTGTTATTATTCTCCATCTCTTCTCTGATTGATCTGGAAAAAATCTGATTTTTCGATCTGGGATTTTCGAAAGTTGAAAGCTTTTTTGCGATTTTTAGGAGGTGAAGAAAATCTTTGATGAATTTTGTGAGATTTGGGGTTGGTTTTAAGCAGAGAAATTGGTGAAAAATGGGTGAGAATTATATAAAAGATGGAGAAAAAAGTTGTAAGCTTTTAATTGGAGCAACTGTGTCATCCAGTAGAAATTTCCACGAAAGTCACAAACCATTCTTTATTTCTTTTGTTTTTTTCAAGGTTGCGTGTGAATATGACAAAGTGGATTAGTAAAAAAGTAATTGATTAAACAAGGAAAACTAGTAAATACAAGGGATAATTACACCCCAAAAAATATATTTTTCAAAATTTACCATTTATTAGTACCTCTGATTGATTTTTTTTTTAATATAAAAATTTGCTTAATAAAATTGAACGAATGAGACCATGTAACAGCAGAGACGCGGTCTAGAAGAGCAATTGCAATTATGACGTGGCAGACTTTTGAGACGATATTTATTTGTGGATAGTGACAAATATTTAATTTTGAGATATTATTTTCAAACTTTTTTTTTGTTTTGAAAATTTGGGTTGATTTGTCTTAGATGCTAAGGATTGTGGACCAAACACCAAAAACGCGTAGACGAGAAAGAGAGTGAGTGTGTCAGCATTAAGTTTGCGACTTTGTTCAACACGTATTAAAATCCCGGGAAGCTTCTATTGGGCTATGTTACCACTTTAAGCCCATTAAATTTGAGATTAAAGAGGCCCATTTACAGCCCAAATTAGAAAACGCAATCTTGTTCTTCTTCTTCTTCTTCCTCAAGCCAGTTTCACAGAGAAAGAGATGGATCCGCAACTAACGGAGGTTTCTCAGCAGTTCGAGAGGTTTAAAGCTGCGTTTATAAGAAAAGATTTCGATTCATGTACCAATCTCTTGTCTCAGCTTAAGGTATTGTATCCTTTTAACCCTAACCCTAGTTCTTTTTGATGAGTAAATCCTAACTTGAACCAATTGATTTAGAGTTGGTCTTCTTATATGTCAGGTTCTTCTGACTAAGTTCACAAGTCTTCCACCTTTGTTTGAGAATACTCCTAATGCAGCTCAAGAATTGACAATTGCTAGTAAGCTTTATCTTTGAGTCAATTTTGGTTAGAAATTCTTTAGGTCATTTGTGTTGATTAGATTTACTTTCTTTATCAAGTATTGATGTTGTGGAGGATTTTCTGATTATGTAAACTGGCAACTTTCAGGGGATATTTATGAGTATGCTGTTGTTTTAAGCGTAAAAACGGAGGATCAAGACTCGTTCGAGAGAGATTTCTTCCAGTTGAAACCGTATTATGTTGATGCTAGGTGACTAAGGATCTTGTGCTATCATCATTATCTCATTGGATGCTAATGTGTGTTCTTTTTTCTATGTACCAGGAATCGTATTCAGTCATCTCCGCAAGAGAATCTAATCCTGGGGTTGAACCTACTGCGACTGCTTGTTCAGAACAGAATTGCTGAGTTCCACACTGAGCTGGAATTACTTTCGTCTGCAACCTTGGAGAATCCTTGCATCAAGCATGCAGTGGAGCTCGAGCAATCCTTCATGGAAGGTGCGTATAACCGTGTGTTGAGTGCTAGACAAACCGCACCTGATGAGACTTACGTGTATTTCATGGATCTCTTGGCAAAAACCATTAGGTAAATAAAATGCATTGGCTTCATTGACCCTTTCTCTTGTTTAGCTCATTGCCATGACTTTATCTGTAGAGATGAAATAGCTGGATGCAGCGAGAAAGCGTACGATCATCTCTCAGTCAGTGAAGGTAGTAAGATGTTGCTCTTCTCTTCTGATCAAGAACTGTTAACATATGTAAATGAGGAGCACCCGGAGTGGGAAGTAAAAGACGGGTTAGTTGTGTTCCAAAAAGCCAAAGAAACCGCACCGTGCAAGGAGATACCGTCACTTCAACTCATCAATCAGACTCTCAGCTACGCCAGAGAGCTCGAGCGTATCGTGTAATCCCATTCTTTGAAACGTTTCAATTTGGGTCATAAACTAGAATTTCCCCAAACAGTTGATTTGATTCATTGGATAGTTTAGCTCTGTTCTTATTCTTTTTTGTCGTCTGGTTATAATGCAACTTATATGTTATGGTCACATGAATGATTTCTAGGCTCATAAAGGCAACTCCATTAAATGAGTCCGTGATTGAATTTTGATTCTTGTGTCCCACTTCTTGTAAATATATGTATTTTCTTTAGATTCATTTTTTTCAAGAAAGGGACAAAGAGTATCAAAAATTGTTGAGAAGTTGTTTTCTCTTTAATTAACAAAATGTTAAATAATTCTTTCTTCTCTACTTTCTACTCCATAAATTTTCCAACTACAAATCTTCCTTCCGATATTTGTTTTGACTTGTGTATTTAATAATTGATCGAATCATTAATGATTAAAATAATTTCATAAAAATCATTTTAGTAATTGAAAAGTGTGTTTTAAATACAATTTTCCGGGTCATTATGTTTGATTTGTCGACTACTTTTTTTAATTTATAACCCTCTAATATATTCTTTTTAGTTAATAACATTCAAAAGAAAATAATCAACTTGTAAAGAACGTATGGAATGTGTTAAAGAGTGTGTATAGTGTCCACTTGGATCTTTCTTACTTACTCCATTATCTTTTTCTCCTTCTCTCTCTCCCTCATCTCATTAATGGCGAGCTCTACATCTTTAGCGATAGTTCTTCATCAATCTTCCAATCATGACGAACTCTTCATGAAGCAAACTCTTCAATTCTCAGAAACTCTCAAGGTTTGTTTGATCCTTCTCTCTATCTCTCTTTCTCTCCTCAAACATAGATTGATCAATAGGAAATTGTGAGTTTTGTCTTCATTCAAGATTCATCTTCTGTTCTGTTTTGGTGTTTTAAGGATTTAAAGAATCTGCGGAAACAGTTATACTCAGCAGCTGAGTACTTCGAAACATCTTATGGCAAAGAAGAACACAAAGAAACGTAATTGTTTTACTTGTCTTTCTTGATAGTAACGATAATATTTTACAAGTCCATGTGTTTGTTGTTGTGGCGAGTGAATTTGATGAATGATTACAGAGTGATAGAGACATTGAAAGAGTATGCAGCAAAGGCAGTAGTGAACACAGTGGATCATCTTGGTTCTGTCTCTGACAAATTCAACTCTTTTCTCTCTGATAACTCAACCCATTTCTCCACCACTCATCTTCGTTTATCTTCACTTGAACAAGTAAACACTCAGTCTCGAATCTTGAATCTTGATTCTTGAAACTGTCTCATATACTCTGTGTGTGTTTTGTGTATGTAGAGGATGAGACTATGCAGAGATTACATGGGGAAGAGTGGGACTCATCAGCATTTGCTTCTATTTCAATATCCTCGCCATCATAAGCGTTACTTCTTCCCTCGTACGTATAACCTTTTAACCTCTTTTCCCCTACACAATCATTATCCGCCCTTATATCGATGATCTTTTATCACAGAACAAGGAAGAGGCACAAGTTTCTCTGCAGGAGATGACTCGCACCGGTTCAAGAGTGGTAAATCCGTTTTCTATATCCGATTGTATAGTTTGCTTATGTTTATATGATATCTGAATCTTTCTCGTGATCTGCCTCAAAGCTGTTCGAACAACAATACTAGAAAACCTCCCAAATACTGCAAGGTAGAATCTTGATTCTCATCTTCTTAATCTTCTTCTTCTTCTTGTTTGTAATGCGATTGGTTTGTAAAATGCAGGAAAGCTAACAAGACAGGAAGCTTCTCTTTTGCACCCATCATACACAACAACATCAACAACAGAACACCAAGTACTACTACATTAACTAAACAATGATTATTTCTTTACTTGGCTTTTGTCAGATTAATTTCAGACAAGTAAGTGTGTGTGTGTAATGTTGCAGATAAAAGAACAAACTCTCCTATGAAATTCCCTCTTCTACGTTCAGGATCTCTACTGAAACGTTCAAGCTCCCCAAGCCAACCAAAGAAACCGGTATATATAGATAATAGCACTTACAAAGATTACTTTACTTCAATTTCCAACATCTTTGTTTAGTTAATTACTCTTTCTGCTATCTTATATGGATTATAAAGCCCTTACCGGAACCTCAAAGAGCGATATCTATGTCGAGAAATACAGAGATAGTGGAGATAAAGCAATCTTCATCGCGAAAAGGAAAGAAGATTCTGATGCTCAAGGCATTGATGAGTATGAGCAAGTCCAGAAACTAAATCTCTCCCCCTTGTATTTTGATAATGACAAGATTTGTACAAAACTAATGTGAAATAAGAGAGTAATGCTCATTTTGTCAATGTTGGTGCTTTTGTTTTTAGATTCCACAGAAACATACGGAAAGTATGTTCACTGTTAGTTTCTTCACTTTCTTCTACATTACACTCTCTCTATCTTTGATAGTCCTAAGCATTCGGTTATCCGATCGGTTATCGGTTCGGTTTCATTCGATTTCGGTTCTAAAATTTAGTATCCATTCGGGTATTTTGAAATTTTAGTTCGGTTTCGGTTCGGTTCCGGTTTTTTCGGTTTTAAATTTAGTATTTATTCGATTATTTTGCTCTGGATATTTTTGGATATTTTTCTGTTATTTTCGGGTATCTTTACTATTTTTATAAATTTTCAAGTATTTTTGATTATTTGGTCTATAAATAACTAATATTTTTGAAAATATAATTCAATTTCGGGTATTTTCGGTTACCCGAAATATTTCGGTTACCCGAAATATTTCGGTTCGGTACCGATTCGGTTACGGTTCTTTCGGTTATAGAATATAGTATCCATTCAGTTATTTTCAAATTTTCGGTTCGGTTTTTTTTGCTTCGGTTTCGGTTCGGTACATTCGGTTCGGTTTATTTGCCCAGGTCTAATCTTTCTTGTGTTGCCTTGTCACGTTTGTTTTGGTATAAGTAGCTCTTACTTTCTCAAGGTAAACTTACATCCAAAAAGAGAGTACGAGCCATAAATTTTTCAATAATGAATCATCGAGTGAAATTTTCTTTGTTAATGATGATGCTAATAGGCTGTCAAAAAATAATAAAAAAAATGATGATGCTAATAGAAGACTCGGGAGACTGGGCCCAACAAAGGCCCATTGTCTAGAATTAAGAAGAAGAAACGAAGTAACCAACGGCCACGATAACTCCAACACAAGACCAAATCTGATTGGTTGACATTATAGATCGTCGGAAGCTGATTGGTCCACGTAACCTCCGATGACATAGTTAAATTTCTTCGTCTTCCATAAAAAGCGACTACTTCACCATCACCTTCGGGCACTGGACCTATTTAAGCATCACAACTTCTTCTACAACCAGAAGAAAAAAAAAAAGAAGCTCTCTGTTCAAAAACAAGTTTCTTCGATCTATAGAGACGAAACAAAGAGAGAGAGAGAGAGATCGTACGCAAAAGTTTCCGATATGGCTCGCTCGTTCGGAGCAAACGGCACTGTTGTGCTGGCGATCATCTTCTTCGGTGAGTGATTTCTGATCCTCTGCATTGTTGCTTGATCTTAGAGCTTTAAATCCGATGTAATGTTTCGTTGTTTCTGGATTTGAATGTGTTTTTTTACAATGTTGTGTTGCAATTTCACGATCTTAAGTTTAGATCTCGATTACAGAGACAATCACGATCTTAGAGATTCATTTCATGGATAATAGAGTGATTTTGGTAGTTTTATTGACGATTGGAACTTTTACGATTCAGGATGTTTATTTGCGTTTTCAACTGCAAAAGAAGAGGCTACGAAGTTGGGAACAGTTATAGGGATAGATCTTGGTACGACTTACTCTTGTGTTGGTGTTTACAAGAATGGCCATGTTGAAATTATAGCCAATGACCAAGGAAACCGTATTACACCTTCATGGGTTGGTTTTACTGATTCTGAGAGACTCATTGGTGAGGCTGCTAAGAATCAGGCTGCTGTTAATCCAGAGAGGACTATTTTCGACGTCAAGAGATTGATCGGCCGAAAGTAATTACTTATCCTGAGAGGACTATCTGTTTGTTTCACCTTGATTAGAATGTTGATTTAATTCTCTTGTTTTTTGTTGTATTTGGCAGATTTGAGGACAAGGAGGTTCAAAAGGACAGGAAACTTGTACCTTACCAGATTGTGAACAAGGATGGTAAGCCATACATTCAAGTCAAGATCAAGGATGGTGAGACTAAGGTTTTCAGTCCTGAGGAGATCAGTGCCATGATTCTGACTAAGATGAAGGAGACAGCCGAAGCTTACCTTGGAAAGAAAATCAAGGACGCTGTTGTCACTGTTCCAGGTTAGTTTGTTGTTAATTTGGGTTCTGTTATATGTGGTGGAGTGATATATTTTTCTGTGTTGGTGATTGATTGTTTATTTTGGTGTTTGACTATTTGCAGCTTACTTCAACGATGCACAAAGGCAAGCTACCAAGGATGCCGGTGTTATTGCTGGGCTCAATGTTGCTAGAATCATCAATGAACCTACTGCTGCTGCTATTGCCTACGGTCTTGACAAGAAGGGTGGTGAGAAGAACATCCTTGTCTTTGATCTTGGTGGTGGTACTTTTGATGTCAGTGTCTTGACCATTGATAACGGAGTGTTCGAGGTTCTCTCCACAAATGGTGACACTCACTTGGGAGGTAATATACTTGTGACCACGAATGAATTGTTTTGAATTACATTGTGTTCAATAATAGACTGTGCCAATGGAATCGTCCAGATATTCTAAACAAAACACAAACAATAGCATGTGTCAGAGTGGAGTTTATTATCAAACATTGAGGGATTGCTTTAGTGTGATGTTGTGCTAACCTTTTTTTGTTGTGATCTGTGCAGGTGAGGACTTTGACCACAGGATCATGGAGTACTTCATCAAGTTGATTAAGAAGAAGCACCAGAAGGACATCAGCAAGGACAACAAGGCTCTTGGTAAGCTCCGAAGGGAATGTGAGAGGGCAAAAAGAGCTCTAAGTAGTCAGCACCAAGTCCGTGTAGAGATTGAGTCTCTCTTTGATGGTGTTGATTTATCTGAGCCACTCACCAGAGCTCGTTTCGAGGAGCTGAACAATGATTTGTTCAGGAAGACCATGGGACCTGTGAAGAAGGCCATGGATGATGCTGGTCTACAGAAGAGCCAGATCGATGAGATTGTCCTTGTTGGTGGAAGCACCAGGATCCCAAAGGTTCAGCAACTGTTGAAAGACTTCTTTGAAGGTAAAGAGCCAAACAAGGGTGTGAACCCCGACGAGGCTGTTGCTTATGGTGCTGCTGTTCAGGGTGGTATTTTGAGCGGAGAAGGCGGTGATGAGACCAAAGATATCCTTCTTCTTGATGTTGCGCCACTCACTTTGGGTATCGAGACTGTAGGAGGAGTGATGACAAAGCTGATCCCGAGAAACACGGTTATTCCAACCAAGAAATCTCAGGTTTTCACAACGTACCAAGACCAGCAGACCACCGTCTCCATTCAAGTCTTTGAAGGTGAACGAAGTCTCACAAAGGACTGCAGGCTGCTCGGGAAATTCGACCTCACCGGAGTTCCACCAGCCCCAAGGTTTGCTTCCTCTTCTTTTACCACTTAGTAATGGTAAATCAGTCTCACATCTTGAACATCAAAATAATCGTCCTGATCTCATTTTGACAGAGGAACCCCTCAAATCGAGGTCACATTCGAAGTGGACGCCAACGGTATCCTTAATGTGAAAGCAGAGGACAAGGCGAGTGGAAAATCAGAGAAGATTACAATCACAAACGAGAAGGGTCGTCTGAGCCAAGAAGAGATTGACCGGATGGTAAAGGAGGCAGAGGAGTTTGCAGAGGAAGACAAGAAGGTGAAGGAGAGGATCGACGCCAGGAATGCCTTGGAGACATACGTGTACAACATGAAGAACCAAGTGAGCGACAAGGACAAGCTTGCAGACAAATTGGAAGGAGATGAAAAGGAGAAGATTGAAGCAGCAACCAAAGAGGCCTTGGAGTGGCTCGACGAGAACCAAAACTCAGAGAAAGAAGAGTACGACGAGAAGCTCAAGGAGGTAGAAGCAGTGTGTAACCCAATCATCACGGCAGTTTACCAGAGATCTGGCGGAGCACCGGGTGCAGGAGGAGAATCAGCGACTGAGGAAGAAGATGAGTCTCACGATGAGCTCTAGATGTCTTTTTTTGTTATTGTTGATTTCTTAAACCATTAGAGACAAGTTTTGAGGATGAAAGAAAAAGAAACGAAGTCTTTTTTTTGTATGTTTTTGGTTTTGTTTTTATGGATTTTTAGGAAAGGAGAGAGATTAAGTAGTGTCCCTTCTGTAGTCTCCCTTCTCTTTATGTTCATCTGATACCTTTACTTCATAACAAATACGTTTTCTTCTATCCAACATCAGATACACCTCTAGGCAACAAAATTACAATAGAAAGATTCCGAAAATAATTTCTTTGATCCATGAAATTGTGTGAATGTGTATGGGTCTAACTATGATTTGTTTAAATTTATTATGATTTTTAATCACACCATGTCCATTTAGTTTTATAACTGTAAATTTTCTAGTGTGTATTTAATGAATCGAAAAATTCACGAACAAGCATGATAAGAACGCAAGTGATTCCATGTGGCATGAGATTATTGTTTGCAATGAAACACCGACTTAGTGCGCAAGAAAGTGTTATGTTGACAACACAACACACACGTGTCACTTGCCTTCCCATCTATAAAAGCCAACATTTGCGCTTCTCTCCTCACTTGTTCTCTGTCTAAACCAACTACCACCTCCAATCATCGCCAGTCGCCACCACCACGGTAATCTTCTTTTCCTTCACTTTTTCAATCATTATTTAGTTTATGTAGATTTTTAGGAGGTTTTCTTTATTTTTCTCATGTATTTTGATTGATTTATAAACTTACTAAATTAAATCCTCAAATAGTATGAACATAAATATAAACACTAATATCATACAACACAACGTTATACAACATTATTTTTTACAATGCCTACAATACAATCCTAAGATGTTATGTTATACATACAACAGTTCCTACGAATACAACCATCTAATAATCATACAAGTACAAACCGTCCTAAAAGTTATACAACTAGGCGAAGGGTTTTATTCATCTAGCTAGGTTTCTAAAGCCACTATTTTACTAAAAGAAAGGGTTAACACCCTACATACATTCGCCTTAGACCCACTATGGATCACTCATATCTATACCTACATTTCCTACACGGACATCCTACCCTAGACCAGTAGTCTTCTACGACAGTAGATGTGGATGCTTGAGTCGTTGCAGGAGCAATTTGCCGAGTCGTTGCGTCCGATGGCCCCACCATGACCATTGGACATTCACTAGCATAGTGCCCAACCTCATTACATAGTGTACATCGGATCACCGGATCTTCATACGGACGGTAAAATTGACACCACCTCGGGTAATGGTCCACTTCACCGCATGTGTAGCAATACGGTTTCCACTGTGCCGGTGTTGGAGTCACAAGCGCCTCTGTATCAGCCCTCGGAGTCTCTCCCCGTCTGATAGTATCATTCTCCCGCAAAAATGCTGCAAGTGGATCGTCCGGGAGGGATGGATAATCGAACGATGGCACCATGGGCGATATCACCGGTTCATTTGGAACAACTTGATCCTCAACATCAGACACCACTACCGGATTAATAATGGTTCCAAACCCGGGAAGGGTCGAGTCAGGACTGTCCGGAAGGATTAGATAATCCTCCCATAAGTCGCTTCCGTCTCCCGCTCGGATTCAACCATTTCGTAATCATCCAAGTCAATGGTTAGAACAGGTGCCTCCAAAATCTCGATCTCATCAACAGAGCTGTTCGGGATTGAAGATATCATACCACCATCCTCGCGCGGTCCGGTCTCGCTATCGAGAGTGCTCTGTTCTGCCACCTTCCGCGATGGAAAAGGAGAAATCTCACGATCAAGCGCCGGAACACTTGGTCCCGCCTCAGCATTCCATTGCGACAACTCTGAGAAACTTGCCTGCAAAATAGGCCGGTACTCAAATCTGTCCAATGGTGGACTGGAGTTCCTTCCACCTCTGGATCCACGACCACGGCCTCGTCCACGGTCCTGTATCACAATCTGCAACACCAAATAAAAGGTAAGTCTTAAATCCCAACTACTTAATAAAGCAAATGATCATACCAGTTCCTAACAGGTTTTGCGACACATTTACTCGATAAAACGATAAAATATGATTTCCCCATGAGCATAAATTAACTATATTTTATCGTTTTATCGAGTAAATGTGTCGCAAAAGCTGTTAGGAACTGGTATGATCATTTGCTTTGTTAAGTAGTTGGGATTTAAGACTTACCTTTTATTTGGTGTTGCAAATTGTGATACGAGGCCGTGTTCGTGGATCCAGAGGTGGGAGGAACTCCAGTCCACCATTGGACAGATTTGAGTACCGACCTATTTTGTAGGCAAGTTTCTCAAAATTGTCGCAATGGAATGCTGAGGCGGGACCAAGTGTTCCGGCGCTTGATCGTGAGATTTCTCTGTTTCCATCGCGGAAGGTGGCAGAACAGAGCACTCTCGAGAGCGAGACCGGACCGCGCGAGGATGGTGGTATGATATCTTCAATCCCGAACAGCTCTGTTGATGAGATCGAGATTTTAGAGGCACCTGTTCTAACCATTGACTTGGATGATTACGAAATGGTTGAATCCGAGCGGGAGACGGAAGCGACTTATGGGAGGATTATCTAATCCTTCCGGACAGTCCTGACTCGACCCTTCCCGGGTTTGGAACCATTATTAATCCGGTAGTGGTGTCTGATGTTGAGGATCAAGTTGTTCCAAATGAACCGGTGATATCGCCCATGGTGCCATCGTTCGATTATCCATCCCTCCCGGACGATCCACTTGCAGCATTTTGCGGGAGAATGATATTATCAAACGGGGAGAGACCCCGAGAGCTGATACAGAGGTGCTTGTGACTCCAACACCGGCACAGTGGGAGTGAAATGGGCCATTACCCGAGGTGGTGTCAATTTTACCGTCCGTATGGGGATCCGGTGATCCGATGTACGCTACAATACTCTTTTCAATCTCTAATCACTTAGGTATAAGAATGTGTTGAAATGATGTCAAGTCCATTATATATAGTTGCTTACCTTTCCTTTTTTTTTTCTTTTCATTTTAAAGGTTTTAGGTTTGGAGCCAAGAATGGATTGGGACCCAAATGATCCCAATGAACCACGGGTAAGAATCGTTGTCCTCATGCTTTTTACCTTTACAGATTCGTTTGAAGCATTTGAAACTTGCCGCGTGACACCTTTCATATTTTTAGTAACTCTTGTTTTTCATATATGATATACTCAGGATTTGAAAAATATATCTTATTCATAAGAACTAACCGATGTTTCATGGTTAAAAGTATCTAGTTCGAGATTATGAATTTTCGGGAAACATAGTAAGTGATCAGCTGGCATGACAAATGTGTTCTGAAATGCCTAATTATTACTTGTAATTGTACACAACACACGGTCTTTACCTCATTAGATTAAGGGCAATTTCTCAAAGCCACAAAAATAATAAGCATTAAAATACCACATTTTATTCAAAACTTAGATGTGTATTTAGTTTAATATTATGTATTAGAGTTTTTTTTTGTTTGGATGGTTAACTATGTTATTTATAGTAAGATAGTTGGTTATAAAATTTGAATATGTAAGTTTTTTTTTTAAACGATTTTATAGAAGAAAAATAATGAAATTTGTGCTTGAAACATTTATATTATCAATATTTTTTTCACGAAAAATATCTACTATCGTAGAAATCAAAACTATTCTATATTTTTCAAAACTATTTTATAATTTTTTTTTATTGAAATTGCCTCAAGGCTAGGCTTAACCCCCTAAGCACGGGATATTAACTTTTCTCTAAAACCCGTCCTCTCTCTCTAAAACCGGAATTCTCTTCCGCCGTTTGTGGCTTTTGTTTGTAATATATTCAGTTTTCCGACTGTAGTTGGACTGTAGTCGGATTTTGTCTTTCCGTTTTGTCGGACCTTTCTTTCTCCGGTTTTAACCGGATCTACTATCATCCATCTTAGTTCTCTAAGTTTGGATTGTGTTTTGCTTCCTCTTTCTACAGGGATTCAAACAATATCCTTTGCGATCCATTGATCTCCCCGTCTCACCGTTGGCTTGACTCCTCTCTTCAATCGGAGTAATATCTTCGTCGTTTCATCTGACTCTGTTTGTAGTCGGCGACCTCTTTAGGTCATAGGCGGAGCTTCCAATTCAAGGGATCGGGTTAAGATGTGAAGATCTTTGAAGTCTTCTTAAGCTTCTATCAGACGGAACCGGTGGTCTTCAATCTGGATCGGCAAAAGCGAAATCTGTAGAAGGATGGCGGTGGTGGATACTCGAAGCCGGCGGCGGTGCTGTGTCAACTCTTGGAATTTGACGGCACCGACTGTTTCTGTTTTCCTTCTCGCGTGCTAACACGTGGTGTTGCACGTGGCACCTTCTCATCCTAGTCTTTCACTAATTAGTTTAAGATTAGGCAGCTTTTATTTTAATTAGGGTTGCAAATGTTGGAAATGGGCTTCTGTATTTCACCTCCTTGTACTGCCCATTGGGCTTTTACCTTAATGGATTGGCCAACAAAAAAAAAAAAAAAAAAAAAAAAAAACCCCTAAGCACGGCAATTATTTGTTTATGTGTCATCCAGCTAGCTGACGAGGATTACAAAGATGTTGGGATATTACAACTTACTTAGTATATTCGGTTATATGAGCCTGGTTAAAAGCCATGTTCATCCGAAACTGAGTTTTTCAAATGTTTTCAAACATTTGTGAGTTTAAGTTAGAGGATGTTGCTAAACACTTGACTTTATATGAGCAAAGGCTTAGTTGAGAATAAAAGCTAATGCTCTTAATTTCGAATTGCAGTATCTACGCCTTTTAGGTACCCTTATTCACAAAGAGCAACCCAATAGAATGTGTAATTATCAGAGTACCAATGAGTCTCACCCAGAAGATCCATCTAATGAGTCCCCGAAGTCGATAATTCCTGAGCATACTCTCACCCCTCCGTATCTTCCAAACCATCTAAAAGGAGAGGTTCGAGCTCAGTCTCCTCAGTGTCGTCCTAAGCAAGAAGAACGAGCCCCAAATTATCTTAGTGTCTTGAGCCATATGAAAGATGTGGATACATCATTATTCTTAGGAGGCGCAAACCCCTTGGAGGCTGATGAATGGATCAAGCAGTTGAAAAGGAACTTCAACTTGACTAGGTGTCCCTTAGAGTTTAAGATGGATGTTGCTGTGCATTTCTTGGAAGGGAATGCTTTTTTCTGGTGGAAAGAAGTTGAGCGTGGGAGAAATGTGAACACTTGGACAGAGTTTGAAAATGAATTTAGGATGCAGTATCTTCCACCGGAGGCTAGGGATGGCATTGAGCTGCAGTTTATTAAGCTAGAACAAGGAAGTAGGTCTGTTAGGGAGTATGAGTCGGAGTTTCGTAGGCTTTTATGTTTTCTTCAAGAAGATTATGACAAGGAGCAAGCTGATATTCGTAGGTTTACTAGGGGGTTGAGACCAGACATCCAGACATGTCTAGCTGTTAGAGAGTTTCATCGGCTAGTAGATCTTGTCGAAAAAGCTGTTCTAGTAGATGAATGCATTCAAGAAGAGAAGACAACAAGGGCTGCAACCTTCACGTTTGGAAGCAAGGCAGCACATCCATCATGCACTCATCATGAAGGCACCTCTAGAAAGAATAAAGGTGGATTTGGAAAGAAGAAAAGCCGCGAGTCCGCTAAAGTTTGCTACAACTGTGGTGATCTAGGTCATATTGCCCGAAACTGTAAGAATGATGGTGATATTGTAGGTAGAATTGTCCCGGACGTAACTTGTTTCCGGTGTGGCGGAAAAGGACATTACGCCACATCTTGCCCCGAGCCCCATAGGTTACCTCCACCCTCAGATAGACCAGTGTCAATGCCTCCCCCAAAGCGTCAAGCCCTCAATGCTATGGATGCTCCCGTTTCTTCTTCCGGTAACAAGGACCCGATCACGGGTTAGAAAGTCTGATCTAGTGTAAATTGAAGCCTAATCTTTCTGTTTGTACGATATTATCGGCACTATAAGAACCTGATGCTACCCGCTGTGTGACTCTTTCAATGTCCGTCACTACCTTGTTTATTACCTGAACACCAATGTTTAAACTTCCTCCCAATCAATAAAGTGCCTATCTATATTTATCCTATATTTATTGTCTTAAAGGAATCTTGATGGTAGGAAAAATTATCGCTTTTGTTTAGTTCAAGTGTGGTGCTACGTATAGCTTCGCTAGGACATAAGAGTGCATCAAATTTCGAGGCAACCCACAGTATTTTAAAGGACCGACCGTATTTAAGCTTATGGTAGTCATGTTAACTACCATTTGTCTTTTTGATCATCTCCTAGAAGTAGAAGGTGATGATCAGGTTGCATCTTCCAATATGCAGTACTATGAAGTTATCTTAGGAGACAAACAACATTAGAACTCCACTTACTAATTTGAAATGTATCGTTGTCCGAATTTCATTAGCGGAATTTTGTAGTGTCAATATGGACATGACATGGGTGATGGACAACGGTGAGCAAAAGGTGAATGCAAGCCCACGATAGAAGATTTCAAACCAATTATTGTGTGTCGAGATGGGAAATTAAAAGTGGCGTAATTTGATCTTTATGGAATTATTTGAGTATATTCATTGGAATTAGTAGCCCTAACTTAATTAGCTAAATATCCCAAAGGATATAGTCATGCTTAATTTTTTTGCCACTATAGAATAAATTAATTGTTTAGGTACATCACTCAAAAAAAAAAAAAAAATCTTTCCTAGGGGAAAATACCATCTCAACCTCCTCTTGGCACTTGAACATGTGATTGATAATTGCATATAAAGGTTTAAACAAGGACTACACAAACTCACCGGTCAAGGCATCAATGAGTTGCTTCTAATCAGCTTCAAAGATGACTAGTAACTAACAAATTAGTTACTAACAAATTATAGCTAGCATATGTTAGCCACAAACGAGACACAAAACTATGTCATGGCCAGTCATAACAAATTTGTGGCTAATTAGCTACAAAAAAATTATGTTTAGGGCTTGATTGGTTTTCTCGCTAGCGGTTGTTAGAGGTTGGTACCAATCATAGAAACTGCTCTATACCGTTTCGAACTGCTCGAAGCTGACCAAGCGTTTGCGGTTGCGGTTGGTAGCGGTTGGATTTTAAAAAAAAATCAATCGTTTACTTATAATTATTATAAGGGAGATTGACAAAAATAGCACTTAAATAAGTTTTTCTTCCAAAAATAGCACAACATTTGAAAATTTTCACAAATAGTACTATAAACTTTAGTTAAATCTTAAATTTGAATAATTAGTTTAATTAAAATAAATAAATAAATAAAATTGAAAATTTTCTGCCAAAAAATTTCCGCAACGTAAAAATATTTTTTTCGCCAAATTTTTTTATCAAAATTTATCCGCTAATAAAGTTTTCTCAGCATTTTTCCGCAAAAGCAAAATTGGTTGGCTATCTCAGTAAAGTGAGGAGATTAGGATGCATCAGAAACTGGGACCGTAGCCTTTTTATCAGTTCACGAGCTGAAGATGACATTCTTCATCCATTGAAGAAATTCATAAACACTAAAAAAAGGGAGTTTGATTTAACTCCTGATAGATTCAGAACATGTATGGATCAACTTATTGCGGTTAGTCGAGATAGCATAAGGTTTTAAAGCCATCAGGTTTTTGGAATCTCGAGAGAGAGAGAGCTACTGCGTCTCTACCCTCCAACAGTCTCAGAGCAAAATCTGAACATAAATATGAATCATTATTAATTATGCATGAAGAGTGAATAAGTAATTGAAAGCAACTAATACTAATATATATTACATGTGTTAAGTCAAATCTATATATATATATATAATAGGAGAGTCTTCTCTCCATCTAGCCTATCCACCTAAACAACACTATTTATTTTACATTAAAATAAATTTAAGACATTCATTTAGTGCATATTTATGCTAATATAATTAATAAAAAAATAAAAATAAAAAAACGAATTATATAATATAAATGAGATGTTAAAATAACAAAAAGATGCTTCGATGGGTAAAACAAGTTCGTTAAAGCTGTTCTACCAACATGGTATTATAGATATACATTTACACTAAATAATGTTCATGAAATTCGGTATATTCGCATTCCATATGTTATGTTCATATCAACATTTAATCATAAATAATATTTACAATTAGAACAACAATTGATAATTAACGTCAAACCTTTTAAAGAAATACCTTCATTGAATATGAATAAGAAATAAGCTATTTTAGAGATAAATGATCATTAGATGGTCTTCGACACCGTTTATTTTCCCGCAAAATTTTTAAGTGATTTTTGTTAACACGTGATATATCTCAAACTATTTATTTGTCAAAGAAACATTATAGTTGATAATATATGTTGTATATCGCTTCGTAAAATAAGTTTAGTGTTTATATAGATTTATCTTTTAAAATTTGAATTATTACATTTATGCTCAAATACTTTTTTAAATTTAGTGATTATATTTTATGCTTAAAAATATATTCATAGAAGAAATTTTAGATTAAAATCCCGCACAAAATCTAGTGCTGATAACTATAGAGAGTAATTGATTGGACCATAATGAGAAAAGAAGAGGATTTACGTACCAAACAAATTAGAGCATATGAGATTATGGAAGAGCTTTTCCAACATCCCATTGTTTAACAAGTTGAAGTTTGGTCTCTCGAAGAGAAATGAAACTGTTTCCATATGCCCAAAGATGATTGCAGTCAACAGAGGAAGTTTTCCGTTATTCTCAAGAATATGTACAAGAACAATCTATATAGCTCCTGCAGGCCCGTCTCTGGGGGGTGGCAAACTAGGCCAATGCCTAGGGTCCATTGTCAATTTCATAAAATTTCCTAAGGCTAAAAGGCCCAATTTTTCCAAAAAAAAAAATTAGTAAAAGATTTTATTTTATTTTGAGTTTTGTCATGGGGCCGATGATAAATTGATGGGCCGATGATAAATTGAGACAGGACTGAGCCCCTGACTGAGATGCAAAGATGAGAGCTGTAAGCCCATCTCTGTTTTCGAAGAGCCAAATCATTCCGCTGCATCCTCTCCAAAAGATTTCTGACAAATGCTACACGATTCGCTGACGATGCTATATGCAGAGGCGTCTCCAAATTGATAGTAATGGATGAGCGAACTATCGCGTTGCAACCATCAATTATTAGCCTAGCTGCTCTCCTGTCCCCTTTTATTGCCGCTTGATACATTGGAACACATGTATTGAAGAAAAACGCTGTCAAACACACAAGTAAATGAAGTTAAATTAGAGGAAAAATTGTTGAAACTCTTTCCTAATCTGTCATAACCTCTTAGACATATACTATTATCAGAGCCATTTTAGAACACTGCTACTAGTATATAAGACACTTGAAAAATTCATTCCTTGGACATATACTATTATTAGATGCCAATTGAAAAAGTATCAGTATTTAAGGCAAAGCAATTCCTAATCACTGCACTAGTTCAATGTGGTTCCTTCTTGAGCAACGTATACTTCTCCTAAGTGTCCTTCTCTTTATGTAATCTTCAATTGTCAATATCTGTTGGTCTAAGGGAGAGTGAAAATGGAATAATTCACTGTTAAAGGGTGTATCATAGTAGTTCAATGTGGTTAAGAAGACAAAGAAGTCAAGATCAATGTGGTTATAGTTTGCAGGTAAAAGAAAGGAAGTTTTCAGATTTGGTTAAGAGGCTTAAGGTGTTGGTAAAACACTGATCGTATAAGTTGCAGGTTTCTGGAAATTTAAGAAAGGACAGTGTATACAAGTGGCTCAGTGTGTTCTCTAGCGTAGAAAATAAAGGAGAAAAGTGCACGTTATGCAGGATCTCAACTCTTAAGGGTATGCACTTCAAAAGGGTTATAAACTGCTATGCATAAATCATGTTAAGCTAGAAAGGATGTGAATGCAGAGGAGAAAAAAGCTGCATTGGAAGATTAGAACTAGTGAAGTTCTAGATAAGAAGATCAGCTGGTTGAAGGGTGTAATGGATCATCGGTTAGACAGAAAACAGCAAGTAAAACCCGAGGATATAGGGTCGTTGTTGTTGGCTATATATATCAGTGCCGAAATGCATGTAAAAACAAAGGCTTATAAGGAAAACAGGAACAAGGAACATGACCTGATGTTGCAGTTTTCACAAGTTATAATGGAGCATTTCCCATCCACAGGATATAAACTGGTGTAAAGAAGTGGTATGCATGTTTGATTGCCTAGCCTAGTGGCTAGTGTAATACTATTGCATAGGGTTTGATAAGTGATATTTGAAAGAGCTTAAGGTCTAATCGAGTATGTATATTGGATCGATTTGCAAAACCGTATCAGTAAAAGAGATGATTTATACTTAAGAAATCTCAAACAGTTCAAATTCCTACAAAATGGGCGTAAAAGAGATGATTTATACTTAAGAACTAAATTTCACATATTCAATAGTAGGATTTGAAACAGAGAAATGAACATATCATCAAGGGGAAAATATAGGTAGGTAAAGGAATTTACCATGGGTTTCAAGGCTTCTAGGTTTTTCAAAAGCTCCTCAGTGGTTGCTTTTGTGTCTATCTGATAACTCTGTATCAGCCTTACTAGCATCACGCAAACCCAAACTCCGTTCCCATACACCAAAACCATTGATGTTAAACAGCGTCCGTTTAGCTACAACAATAATAGACATGACACAGACACGGGTGGGAAGCCTGAGCTCGTTCTTCGACAGATATAACTCGCTAGGCATCGTCCAGTTCTGTAAGAGATGCACCTGCTCAAGAACCTTATCCTCGGGAATAGACAACCGCTTCAGATAGTTTGAAGCTATACCACAGAAATTCACAGGAGGCGGCAAAAGCAAACCAATGATATCAGCAATGTAAGCGGCTTGAGCCTCCATCTAACTATATCCGTAGGTAGAATTGATGAAAAAGTGTATTTTTGTTTTATAACGAGTGTTTTACACACACACACAAATAGATCACTATACAAATACTCGTACCAATTAAATGCAAATGCAAAGAGATCCACTTAGTTCTTGATTCCTATGTGCATATCTTAAGGCTAAGTGAGCTCCAAACAAAATCAAAGAATGCTGCACTAACACTGCCACAATTTTTCTTCAAATTTACATGCTTTGCTTCGGTCTTTAGACTCGAATTGGTAAACCGTAGTTATGGAACACTCTGATACTACCGTCCCAAGTTGCTGTCACAATCACAAGCCCCCACAGGTGAGGCGTCGAGCCATTAACGTTCTGGCACACACTCTTTAAGAGCCTCAACTTGGATCTGCTGCTGACTGTTGCTGAAACCGCTGCTGCAGCCGAACCAGCTACTACTCCAAGCTTCTCTTCCGGCCATGTAGTTGCTCCTTTCATTGGAGAGAAATAGTCCATGGGAGCCGGGAAATGAGCAAAACTTTTTTCCAAATCGGCTATGATAGTCTCCTCCTTCCCTTGGCCAAGCCAAGGTATGGCCACAGACACATTTTGTGAGAGAAATCCCTCATAAGATCTGATGGTCTTTGGTTTCTGAGAAGACGCCTTTTTGTTTGGTTGAGAGTAGTCCCAAACATGAATGCCTGAATCTTCTATTGTTGAGACAATGTGTTTCCCATCAGACGTGAATGAAGCAAATGTTGGGCTCATCAGAGTTGTTCTAAGACTTGAAGCTGCAATATATCAACCAAATCAATAACAAACAAATTCACAGCAGCATTCACATATCTTGAAGAAACTTGATTAGTACCTTTTTTAAGCTTGCAGATTGTATCCACTCCGCAGATTATTCGGATTTGAGAATCAGCAGAAGTAACCATCACTTTGTCCGAATCACCAGGAAAAAACTGAAAACCGGTGATTCTTTTGTTAGGAACCTTCTTCTTCCCATGTAAACTGATCTCTCTATCCAGTTGCAGCTGGTTATCTGAAATTCAGAAGATGATTCGGATATCAAAACACAGATGATTCTAGTTGCGGGTTTCATAGTTCGCAAAGTAAAAACATACCAGTTGTATGGTAAAAGCGACATTCGCCAGTCATAGAACCGACTACAGCACCCTTAGCATCAGGGTAATAGCACAAAGCTGTAACAATCTCTCTTATATCTGTATAGTCAACAACTCGGAAATGAGACACATCCCATATACGAACTATGCCATCAATCGATCCGCTTATAAAGTAATTGTCATCCACAGGATTAAATGCCACACAAGTCACTGTAACCAAGGAAGAGAGAATGTGCTTAAGAAGACATACCAAAAATAGCATTGAAGAAGACAGATCGAGAAAGAAACTAACCAAAACTCTTATGAGAGAAAACTCTGATACATTCATCAGAAGAACCAACTCGCCACAACCGAACAGTCTCATCCACTGAAGATGACAGTAGAAACTACAAAACATTCACAAGTTGTTAGTACCATACTACCATAATTTCATCTTACCATAAAAAGACAGTATCGTTTAAAAACAAAATCAGTAGTAATTTACCCCTTTCTCCGACCAAGAAAGATCCAAGATTTCACCCGTATGTCCTCGGAACTCGTGCTGAGGGGTTTCAGATATACTGAAAACTTTTGAGGGCAACACAGCGCAAGTCGATTCTGACTTCTTCCTCAACAATCTTCTGCTCTTTTCGATCTTCTCATTCTCAGTCTTGAGAGGCTCAATCTGTGACTTGTCATTCATTCCAAAGTAGACACAGCTTGAATCAGACTCCGCCACTTCAAACTCATTGTCTCTTCTCTCGTCTTCCGTTATGTTCCACACTCGCACAACACAATCTTCACCAGCACTAGCCAAGTACTTCCCATCATGAGAAAACTTCATAACCACAATTGATCCATCATGCGCAGAGAACTCTTGTCCGATACAAAGAGACGAAAGCTCCTTGAACTGCTTTTTAAAAGACTGAACTCGAGTTAATTGTCTCCGTATCGATGATCCCATTGACTCACCATCAGTGCACTCTTCAGTTTTGTCAAGAATATGAGTTAACACACCTAACTTCTTTATCCACCCTTTAGCTACTTTTTTAGGCGAGTCTACATAACGACTCATTGGAGAGTTCTGCAGATCTCCATAGCTATCAAACCTACTCGAACCAGATTCACTCAATCCCTCAGCAATGCTACTGCTATTACTGGAATAATCTCTTGTCAGCAAAATCTGATCATCAATATTCTTGGCACGATTCAGAAATGCACCTCTGAAACTAAATGCCTCAGCCAAAGAAGAAGTTGACATTGATGAAACAGAGGATCCAGAGGAAGTAGATTCATTCCTCAACAACTTCTCCTCCTTCTCTTCCTCCTCATGATCAGTTTCAGACACAGAGTTCAACTGTTTCGAAACCGGAATATGGTCGGAACTAGAGTCTCCCAACAGATCAAGATCAAGATCAAAGTCTCGTTTTTTGAAACTAAAACCCATAGATTGAAAAAACTTTTGTCTACGGTTGGTAACACTCTCTGGATTCATAGTCCAGAGATCTAAATCACCAGTTGCTTGAACAAATTCATCGGCGACTTCAGAGTTACAATCAGAAACAGATGAAACCTCTTCACGAGCATCACAAAACCAATCATCCTCTTCCTCGTTCCCTCGAGTACCCATCTCACAGCTTCTGATCAAAAACACACAGATTTCGTCAGAATTCACAAAGTCAAAATTCAGAGCAAATCGGACAAAATTGTTTTAAAAGGACAGAAATTTGCAACCATGGTTCGAATTAAACTAAACTACGCTTAACACCAAAGGAATTAGTAAGATAAAATCATCGCAAATCAATACCATCGGCAAAAAAGGAGATTACTTTAGAGTAAAGCAAAGAACCCATTTCGTTAGTTCAACAACACAAACATTCAACAGAGAAAACGAAGAGTTATTTTTAGAAATTTACTTACATATCTTCAACAAAACCAAACCTTTTGAAACAAAGTCTTGCTCTTTCCTATATATAGTCTTTGTCTGGTTAAAACTATTGCATAGAAACGAAGGGGTTTAAAACTCTTGCGTCGATTCGGGTCACGCTCTTTTAAGTCGCATCTCCTTGCGAAGGTTTATAAGAAAAAGGTTTGATTTTTAAGAGAAAGAGATTTGGAGAGGTTTAAGAGCGAGATTTTCGGAAATTGAGAGTTTTGTTTCTTCGATTGTACGAAGAAGAAGAGAGGAAGAGAGAAACAAATAAAACGAACAAAGATCCTTTCCTTGTTTTGTCTTTTTCTTCTCTCTCGTTTTTTGCTTTAAAAAAAAAAACTAATTTTGAAATGGTCAAATATTGTTTGCACTTACTTAGTCAACTTGAATATTATAATCCTACTTTTATTTCAATAATCATATGTTGAATTTTCTTTCTTTAATAATATATTTTTTACTTTTCTTCTCTAGATTTGAGATAAATAAAATCATACTACTTGAGTTAAGAAAATTGAGTTGGTCATTGTTTGTGTTTTGTTATTGCCTATTGATATATGAACAAATGCTACTTATTGAAAAAAAAAAAAAAATGCTACTTATTGTGTGAGTCAATTCAGATATATCATATATGTGACCCACCTATTCTCTAAACAATTAGGAACGAGCTGATAACTCACGTCACAAATGGACGAAATTTTTAAAATAAAAATTCCCTATTGTTTTAATTTGGTTTTATGTGTCATATTATTCATTGACACACTAACAATAAACAATTTTTTTATTATTATTTTTAGGTGGTGGGAACACGATTTTGTCAATTTCCCTTTTGACCTAAATACCTTACCTCACGTGTATTAAAATGTCTTTTGTTACTAACATAATTTATCAACAACCACAACAAAATTACAAAATCATCTGTTTACACATATTTGATTAATGGTTTTTCGTACTTATTTAGATTATGTATTGAAAAATAGTAAAAGAAAAGCTTCCACATGTCATTGGTGTGAGAGTTTTACAAGGATTCGAGCACCCAACATAACCTATGTTGCATGTAGTTACTAAACTGTGTCATTGCTTTATTTCACTGGTCTTATTCACATTAACCAGTTTCTTTCTCGATTCTCGTAAATTGTACAAGAGACAAGAGAAGATATTGTCTCTTGATTACTTCTCGCCTTGGTAACAAAAATACCACTAGTGCCACATTTCAAATCATGGGTTTTTCTTTTGGGTTGAATAGTTGTTCGATTTCACATCTTAATAATCAAGAATCTATATGTCAAAAACGGTATATATAAATAAATCTTCCCCAACTATTCATTCAAACCCTAGATTACTCGCTAAACAACTTTCTGTTGTAACCAGTTTTGGGGTTATACAAATAATAAACTAAGACAACCACATAAGAGATCAAATATGAATTGATTAGAAGCCCCAAACAAAGAGTAGAAAGGTTTGAATAAGCGATGATGGGATGTGACCAAATAACACATTTTTTTTCTCCGGTTGGGATTCAATGTCTGTATAGTACAGACATGTTGAATGACGATGGCATTTGTTGTTGGATTCCACATTCCAAATACTTGATTCGCATTATACACAAACCTTTTTCTTTGTTTTCTCAAGTTTTTCATTGATCTCCATTGATTCCAAATATGCGGACCTTGTGCATGTGCGGGAATTTCGCAACCACCATGACAAATACAGCCAGTGTGTTGAGAAAGAGCATCGGGTGCTGATAGTCTGTTGTGTGAGAAGCTATCAAGTACCTACATGCAAAGTTTGATCAGATTTTTTTATCACAAAGATCCAATCATTGATTACACAACAATTGAGGTATTCCACTACACATAATCTAGTAGTGCTTCTTTTAAGTGAGATTCAGCAATCTTACAACAGACCTTATGTCTTGTATAAATGTCTAAAGGACATTGCAAAAAACCCTAAATCCAAGGTTCTTGGGCAACTAGCTAAAGTATCCTAAAAGCAAAGTGATATCAATCGTAATAGGGAACTGAGATCCTATAATCAGTGAATAGATAAGCAACACTTTTGAAGCAAACTCAACAAACAGAATTTCAAAATGAGGAGAATGTAAGGGACTTGTGTATATGCAAGAATATTTGATAGTCATGTCAAAATGTACACTTAGTTATGCCAATCAAATTGTCAAAACAACCACTCTACCTAGGAATATAATTGTAATTAGATAGGCAGAGATTAATAAAGCTCCTCGAAAGCATCTCTACATAACCAGATGTAAAATGAGCACCAAAACAAAACGAAAGCATCTATATTTCCAAACATCAACTACATAATCTGATGAACGAAAGCATCTCTACATCGGGATTCGCTACGAAACAAAACGAAAGCATCTATATTTTCAAACATCGACTACATAATCTGATGAACGAAAGCACCTCTACATCGGGATTCGCTACGAAACAAAACGAAAGCATCTATATTTTCAAACATCGACTACATAATCTGATGAACGAAAGCATCTCTACATCGGAATTCGCTACGAAACAAAACGAAAGCATCTATATTTTCAAACATCGACTACATAAATCTGATGAACGAAAGCATCTCTACATCGGAATTCGCTACGAGAAGACAACGAACAAGTAGGTAGGGAAAATGAAGATCAAGATCGATGTATATCCAAACATAACTTAAGGCAAAAACTACAACAAATCATAGGAACCGAGCCAAGCCAATTTTTGATTCTAAACCTAATGAAGGTGATGCAAACAAAATCCTCCTAAAGATTTGAAAGAAGAACTTACAAGACAACAGGAACAACGGTGAGAAATTTGCGATTACGTGTAAGCTGTTTGCCATTATCAATCTGTTCCCACCAAGTCAATCTATTATAGATTCCTTGATCATCACCAAACGGTGTTCCCTTCTTCCAATGAAACGAATGATACGTGACCTAGAAAAACTCAAAAACAAAATTCAAATCTAGAAATCGAACAAATCGGAAACTGAAAGGAACCAGATCGGAGATCGGAATAGTTACGGTGAAATGAGCGAGATGAACAATGGTCCAAGCGATGCCAGGAGAACAATGGAAGACGGAGAGAACAAGGAGCCAAGAGAAGAAGAGGATGAGAATATAAGTAGTCCAAACACCTGGATATGTGAACCACTCTGTGTTTCGATTCACATCCGTCGTCGGAAGTGCTCTTACGTACATCGTCTTTTCACCGGAGAGATTTGGAACAAGATCGGAGGAGATCGGAGATGATGATGATGAAATCAATCGTTGAGCAATTTTTCTTTCTTTAATTTTGGGAATGTCTCTCTGTGTTTTTTGGGCTCTTTCTGGGCTTTTTATTTTCTTCGATTTTAAATTAATAAAAAAAGAGAGCATTAAATTAGAATAGGAAGGTGGTTGGGTGGCTCACCGATCTTAGCCTAAAACAATGATTATCAGTAACTCTGTCTCTCTCAACAACGCGTCGTCGCTCGATAAACCACGACGACGACTCATGTTTGTTTTATTGGACTTAGCTTTACATAGGCCCATTATCAGTTTTTGGTTCTTCTCATATTTTCATTTTGATCAAAATAATAATCATATTTTGAGATGAGGATTAGATTTAGATCACAAACTTAATAAAAACTACAAAAAAAAAGGAGAAGAAAAAATAAAAAAACGTAAAAAATTCTCTCTGCAAAAATAGAAGATGGCGACGGCGCTAGGGTAGTGACCCGACTATGCGCTTGTTTTCTGCGGCGACGGCGGATCGGGATTCATTAGGGAAGACGGAGATCTCTCTTTGGGTGTATGACGGAGGTTTCGATTGTGGTTTTAAATCGGTTTCACTGGTTAATTTGGCAACAGAGGTTTATTGCCGACGGTTTCAACGGAGATTCTTGATTCAGGTGATTCTTGAGTCAAAGTGGAGCTTCAGTGTGTGGATCTATGGGTATCGAAGGTTTTTCAAGGTTATGGAGTGGCTCTCGATTAGGGTTGATGATCGGAGACTCTTGATCCGGTTGTTTATCGGGTCAAATGGGATTCCCAGAGGGTGGATTCATGGGTATCGATGGATTCTAAAGGCTACGGAGTCGCTTTCGATGATATTCGGTGACCTCTGTTTAGGATTGATGATTGTTTTCCGGTCTATGAGGATCTGGAATCAGGAAGAATCGGAAGGTTGTTGTGTTTTCCGATTTGGTTTCAAGGCTAAGCAGTGGGGTCTGGTCCCGGGGAGAGATTTGAAGGCATACGGGGCTCTTTTGGGATTTTTGATTGATGTTTTGTTGGCATTGGGTCTGTGTGCATTGGTATGGTTAGACATGTTGGTTCCCGGTGGTGGTCGCTATTTGTTTAGGTTGACGTTAGTTTTCCGTTTGTATTGGGAGTTTGAGTTTTTGGAATGGAGTCTCAATGGGATATATTTTTCAGATTGCGACGTGTTGTCGGATTTTGAGTTTGTTTTAGTTGCAGTTTGGTTTTGGGCTGCGGATCAAAGATTCTTTCGGTTGAAAACGATCGAAAAGAGACGGTTAGATCGAGGAGTTTTTAACAGATGGTTGTTCAATAATAGGAATGGGAGGGCTTTGATTTCTTTTCAAAGGGCTAGTGTGGCTGGTCATAATTTTTCTAAAAGGTATGATGTTGGTCGATTGTGTTTGGATTTTGAGTGTATGGAGTTGAGTTTCAAAGGTTTTAACAAACGGTTTTACTACGGTTTGATTTCCGGTTTTTTATGGTTGGTTATGGATACTATAAGGGTTAAAGTATCTAGATTCAATTTTGATTGGGTTTCTTTAAAGAAGAATCAAAGGAATGAAGGCTATAACCCGATGCACCATGGTTCGGTGCATGGTTTAACGGGTGGACGCAACCCACCTAAACCAAAGTTTAATAAATGAAGGTTTTGAGTTGGAATTGTCAAGGACTTGGAAATAAGGCAACTATTGGTTATCTTCGGGATATATGGAAACAACACCGGCCAGACTTTTTATTTCTTTCGGAAACAAAACAACCTACTTGGTTTATGGAAAAATTTATCGGTCATTTTGGTTACAAAAATTTAAAAACGGTTGATCCTATCGGTTGTAGCGGCGGTTTAGCACTTTATTACAATAATGATTTTAATGTTTCAATTATTTATGAAAGTAATCGTTTAATTGATGTTGAGGCGGTGGTAAAAGGAAAAACAATACATCTTACTTTTGTTTACGGTGATCCGGTTCCAAAGAATAGAGATCAAGTTTGGGAACGGTTAACACGAATCGGTTTGGTTAGAGACACACCTTGGTTCTTAATAGGAGACTTTAATGAATTAACCGGAAATCACGAGAAAAGAGGTGGTAATTTAAGAAATGCATCTTCTTTTATCCCTTTTAATTTAATGATCCAGAATTGCGGACTTTTGGACTTTCCATATATCGGAGATTGGTTATCATGGCGGGGTTGGCGGGATAAGAAACCAATTCGGTGTCGTTTGGATAGAGCTTTAGCAAACGAAGATTGGCATGAATTATTCTGCAATTCGTTTGTTGAATATTTACCAATGGTAGCTTCCGACCATTCACCGGTGGTAGCTACGCTTATGGATAAGGTTCCACGTGGAAAAAGAAATTTTAGGTTTGATAAAAGATGGATTGGGAAGGAAGGATTACTCGAGGCAATTTCAAATGGTTGGAATTCTGACTCTGCGTTAGGAGAGGGAAATTTTGTGGAAAAATTGAAGAATTGTAGGCGGGCTATCTCGCAGTGGAGGAAAGATTTATCTCCCTATGGGCGGCAAACAATTGAGGAACTAAAATCGGAATTACTTGTGGCACAGAGAGATGATAGGAGACCAAGGGAGGAGATTACAGAATTAACCTTGCGGTTGAAAGAGGCTTATCGAGATGAGGAATTGTATTGGCATCAGAAAAGTAGGTGTTGTTGGATGCAATTAGGGGATAATAATTCAAAGTATTTCCATGCACTAACAAAACAAAGACGGGCTAGGAATCGAATAACGGGGTTACATGATGAAAACGGGGTTTGGTCGGCAGAGGAAAAAGATGTTCAAAATATAGCGGTGTCATATTTTAAGGATCTGTTTACTACAACTAATCCTGAGGTTTTTGAGGAATCTTTGGCAGAAGTGCAAACTTTGATTACGGATCAAATTAATAATTTTCTAACGGCACCCGCAACGGAATGTGAGGTGAGAACGGCTCTGTTTATGATGCACCCGGAAAAAGCGCCTGGACCTGATGGTATGACTGCTTTATTTTTCCAGAAGGCTTGGGTTACTATTAAAACAGATCTTCTTTGTCTGGTTAACTCTTTTTTAGAGGATGAAATTTTTGATAAACGGCTAAATACGACTAATATTTGCCTAATTCCAAAAACGGAAAGACCAACACGGATGACGGAATTACGGCCTATTAGTCTTTGCAATGTTGGGTATAAAATTATATCGAAGATCCTTTGCCAAAGACTCAAGACGGTGCTACCAAAACTGATTTCGGAAACACAATCGGCTTTTGTAGAAGGACGTTTGATTTCGGATAATATTCTCATTGCACAAGAGATGTTCCATGGGTTGAGAACTAACCCATCTTGTAAAGGCAAATTTATGGCCATTAAAACGGATATGAGCAAGGCTTATGATAGGGTGGAATGGATTTTCATCGAGAAGGTCTTAAGGAAGTTGGGCTTCTGTGAAAAATGGATTAAATGGATAATGTGGTGTATTACAACGGTCCAATATAGAGTTCTCCTTAATGGACAACCTAGAGGACTAATAGTACCAGAGAGGGGTTTACGACAAGGAGACCCGCTCTCACCTTATTTATTCATCCTTTGCACAGAAGTGCTCATTGCAAATATTCGGAAAGCTGAACGGGAAAAATTAATTACGGGCATCAAAGTGGCAAATGCAAGCCCTTCGGTTTCACATCTGTTATTTGCGGATGATAGTTTATTTTTTTGCAAGGCTAACAAGGACCAATGCGGGGTAATTTTAGGGATTTTAAAGAAGTATGAAGAGGTCTCAGGACAACAGATTAATTTTTTAAAATCCTCGATTCAGTTTGGACACAAGGTAGATGATGATATCAAGGAAGAAATCAAATCTACCTTAGGTATCACTAATATCGGTGGTATGGGTTCTTATCTCGGATTGCCGGAGAGTTTAGGGGGCTCCAAGACAAAAATTTTCTCTTTTGTTAGAGATAGACTACAAACAAGGATTAACGGATGGTCGGCCAAATTTTTATCAAAAGGGGGAAAAGAAGTGATGATTAAATCGGTAGCTGCAGCATTACCAACTTATGTTATGTCGTGCTTCAGACTACCGAAAACAATCACTTCTAAACTTACTAGCGCGGTAGCAAATTTCTGGTGGAGCTCAAATGGTGACTCCAGAGGTATGCACTGGATGGCTTGGAACAAATTGTGCAATAGCAAATCGGAAGGGGGGATAGGATTTCGGAATGTGGACGATTTTAATTCAGCTTTACTAGCAAAACAATTATGGCGGTTGATTACGGTTCCAGATTCTCTATTCGCAAAAGTGTTTAAAGGACGGTATTTTAGGAAATCCAATCCTTTGGAAAATATAAAATCATATTCCCCATCGTATGGATGGCGGAGTATATGTTCAGCTAGATCTCTGGTTAATAAAGGACTTATTAAAAGAGTCGGATCTGGGACATCCATCTCGGTGTGGGAGGATCCCTGGATTCCAGCTCAATTCCCGAGACCAGCAAAAAGTAATGGTTCAGTTGCTGACCCATCTTTAAAAGTTAAAGACCTTATAGATAGTCGGTCAAATTTTTGGAATATTAATCTCTTAAGAGAGATCTTTAATCCAGAAGATGTCGCTCTAATAAGCGCCATACCTGTGGGTGCGCCAACAAAAGAAGATTTTTTAGGTTGGCATTTTACAAAATCCGGAAAATATACAGTCAAATCGGGATATCATTCTACACGGATGGAAAAGTCGGAGACCAATTTAAACTTTTTTGGCCCTAACATCAACCCGTTAAAAGCATATTCTTGGCAAGTGCAGTGTCCACCTAAGATACGCCATTTCATATGGCAAATCTTAACGGGATGTGTACCGGTTACGGAAAATTTACGGAAAAGAGGAATTGATTGTGACACGGGATGTGCCAGATGTGGCGCATCAGAGGAAACGATCAATCATACACTCTTTCAGTGCCACCCGGCACGACAGATTTGGGCGCTTTCACAGATTCCTACGGCTATGGGGATTTTTCCTACGGAATCTAATTTTACTAATTTGGATCACTTATTTTGGAGAATACCTACGGAAGTTGATTCATCAGCCTTCCCATGGATTATTTGGTATATTTGGAAAGCAAGGAACGAAAAGATCTTTGAAAACATAGACACAGACCCTTTAGAAGTATTACGATTAGCGGAAAAAGAGGCACAATTGTGGCAGTCCGCTCAAATTGAGCTCCATAATGAAAATCATGGTTCTGTGCACTTGGTAGATCGAATTCGAGTGAGGGATGTTTCACTTGAGGCGGAGTATTCGGGATACCGTTGTTTTGTGGATGGATCATGGAAAGAAAGTGATAAGTTCTCCGGTACAGGCTGGTTCTGTACATCGTCAAATGGAGAGCCGCCAACCATGGGAGCTGCGAACCTCCGTAGAAGTCTATCTCCACTACATGCCGAATTCGAGGCCCTTCTCTGGGCGATGAAGTGTATGATTGGTGCAGATAATCAAGAGGTAGCGTTCTTTACAGACTGTTCAGACCTGGTGAAGATGGTGTCTTCTCCAACCGAATGGCCGGCGTTTTCAGTGTATTTGGAGGAATTTCAGAGCGACAAGGAGGAGTTTTCATCTTTTTCTTTATCTTTAATTTCTCGTAGGGCTAATGTTAAGGCGGATAATCTAGCACGAAAAGTTCGTACAGAACCGCTTCATATCACTTATGTAAATAACATTCCTCAGGAATGGCTCTTTTGAGCTTTAATTAATTTCGGATGACAAAAAAAAAAAAAGATTAGATTTAGATCATTCACCTAATGATTATAATATACACGATTAAGCCTTGTTTTTTTTTAAGAGAAACTTACAATTTTTTTTTTTTTTCTTCATCACACACTCTGTCTCACCAACTTATTCAATAAAAGCAATTGGACTTTTAACACAAATATATTATTCAACGACAAAATGATTTAGATTTCGTATTAATGCTATACTATCCAAGATTCATTAAATTTGAAATAGATATTTCTGTTATTAAATTTAGAGAATTTAAATTCCACAATTTCTTGATTTCCATGCACAGAAAAAAAACTTTAAATAGTATATTTTAAAAGTTATATTTTGTTTAATATCATACGATATTTTGTTAGTTTCTATGCAAATTAAATGTATTTGATAATTTGTGTCATTTCTATTATGTAATTTCTTATGATTAGTTAATTTTTTTAAAATTAAATATAAATAATATTTTATATTATTTAGAGGATAAATGAAATGAAAAAGAGTATACATCAGTAGAATAATCTCAAATATATTTATTTTTGGATCGTATGAGAAAGTGCGTTAGTTGATAAAGACAGATAATTTGACTTTCCGATTTATTTGGCCGCCAACTTTTTTTTTTTTCCATTTCTCCGAAATTCCTTTCTTTGATTTCATCATCTTCATCATCAATCATCCTTGGTTTTCTCAATATCTAGCAGATTCTTCGAGGGAAAACCAAAATCAAATCATGGTGGATCATCAATGGAAGGATTTAATCGGATAAAAGAGACGCGACGGAATCACGACGGGAGAAGAGATCGGGAAATCGGAAAATCGGAGATTATGGGGATTCCTTTCGCCGCCAAACTCCGATTCCGATCACGATTTCGATCTTCAATCGATTCTTATTGCTTCGCTCGTGAGGCTTTCTCCGATTGTATCGTCCCTGTCTCCTCCGTCAATTTCTTCTTCTTATAACCTTTTCTTGTAATAACCTCCGTCCTCTTCAGCTTTCTTTCTTTCGTTTTCAATCTCACCTCGAATTCTCCACTTTTTTCTTTCTTCTTCGTCTCTTTTCGATTGGTTTGTTTGTTGTGCATACATATATGGCTTCTGGTTCTGGATTTTTAGGTCAGATATCGTCCATGGAAGAGGCTGATTTCGCCGAGAAAGATCCTTCTGGCCGTTACATCAGGGTACGTCACCGTTGCAATTTTGTCTTCGTTGGTTCAATTTTGTTTGGTTCAGTTTTTAGTCGTTGAATTATGACGAAATCGATCAGAATTTGAGCATTTTGACCTAGCTTGGATGAATTCTCTTTGTATCTCGACCTAATGAGAGCTGTTACTTTGATCGTATGGTGATGATTATTGGCTTATAGCATTGTGTGTTTTGGTCATTGGAACAATCAAGCTTAAGATCATGTTGCATTGCTGATTTTTCGAGTATTTATGGTGGAAAACAATATAGTGATTGATCGATTCGTTTGTTTTTTCGTTCTTTAGTATGATGATGTTCTGGGGAGAGGAGCTTTCAAGACTGTGTATGGTTTCTACACCCTATTATGCTTTTATGTTTTAGTTACGAAGGGAAATGATTCTGATTTGTTTGTTAACTCTCGTATAAAATCAGATATAAGGCGTTTGACGAAGTAGACGGGATTGAGGTTGCTTGGAACCTAGTTTGCATTGAAGATGTAATGCAGATGCCTGGTCAACTTGAAAGGCTATACTCTGAAGTTCATTTACTAAAAGCTCTAAAACATGAAAACATTATCAAACTCTTTTACTCCTGGGTTGACGAAAAGAACAAGACTATTAACATGATCACTGAGCTTTTCACCTCTGGTAGTCTGAGGGTGTAAGTATCTCATCACTTCTCTTCTGTTTGATTATCCTTCATTTTTTTTTTGTGTATCACATGGTTTGACACCATTTCATTTGATGTGAAGATATCGTAAGAAGCATAGGAAGGTCGATCCCAAGGCCATCAAGAACTGGGCAAGGCAGATTCTCAAAGGCCTACACTATTTGCATTCTCAGAACCCTCCGGTAATTCACCGGGATCTAAAGTGTGACAATATATTTGTCAATGGAAATACTGGAGAGGTCAAAATTGGAGATCTCGGGCTTGCAACTGTACTGCAGCAATCCACTGCTCGAAGTGTGATAGGTAATACACCATAAAACATCTTCCTTCCTAAACCCTGGAAAATCTACTGTAACTGAAATTTTGAGCATATTTAGGTACTCCTGAATTCATGGCGCCTGAGCTGTATGAAGAGGAATACAATGAGCTTGTGGACATCTATTCTTTTGGCATGTGTATGTTGGAGATGGTAACCTGTGAATATCCATACAATGAGTGCAGAAACCAGGCTCAAATTTATAAAAAGGTCACCTCGGTAAGTCTTTCACAATCTTGACTTTTATCAAAATTATCTTTGAAGCCGGGCTCCCCTTTGAAACTTTGCATTTGCAGAACATAAAGCCTCAGTCTCTCGGTAAAGTTGATGATCCTCAAGTTAAGCAATTCATAGAGAAATGTCTTCTTCCTGCCTCTTCTAGACCAACTGCCCTTGAGCTCTCAAAGGACCCATTCCTTGCAAGAGATGGAGGCAAGGACTCTGCTCTACTTGCTTCATCAAGCACATCATCTAAACCTGTGAAACCACCACAGCTTGAACATCTTCCCATGGATGTGGATCATAACGAGAATAAAAGTGTTTCAAGCAACGAAGACTACCCATGGTGCCAAACCATTGAACTTCAGAGGATTGCAGAGAATAAAGAGTTCAGGTTGAGAGGAGAGAGGAGCGATGATGTCACAGCGTCAATGGTTCTGCGTATCGCTGACCCGTCTGGTTCGTCTTATAAAATAACATATTCTATCCAATTCATTCCTCTCTCAGTTTTCATTTACTGAATCAATTCAATGCCCTAATACAGGTAAATGTAGAATCGTACACTTTGCATTCTATCTGGATTCAGACACAGCAACAGCAATCGCTGAGGAAATGGTTGAGGAACTGCATTTAACTAGCCAAGAGGTTATTGTGATAGCTGATATGATTGATGACTTGATAATGCAACTTCACTCTGACCGGACCTCGTCGCATCATAATCAAAACTCTCCACGTCTAACCAATGATGAGGATCATGAAGCAGCAAATCAGAAAACTGTGAACTCGAAAGATGAAGAAGCGGCAGGACAATCAATGAAGTCAGACATATCAGCAGACTACTACTTTCCCTACTCCTCAAACAACGGAAATGCTGCCACGGAAGCTGGTCCAGATGCAGAGTCGATGAGCTCGTATCTGGATTCTTGCTCAATGATGTCAACCATCTACAATCTTTCCATTTCAGACAATGATTACCCAGAAGATCTCAAGACAGAACTAAACCTGATCGAGTCACAGTTTAACCAGTCCTTCCAAGATCTGCTGAAACTGAAAGAGGATGCTATAGAGAACGCAAAGCGAAAATGGATTACGAAAAAGCAAAAAGCAGTGATCAGCTCCTAATTCAGAAGTTCTGTTTTTGATTTTTTACTCTCCTTTTGGTCTTCTCTTCCCTGAGATCGGTGTGATATACATTTGGTGTTTTGGATATATTTGATTTGATTGATGTAAAGGATTTTTTTTACTTAACAAACATAAATAGTGTTTTTTGACTTATATCATTTCTGACAAATCAAACGCACAAAAAAAAACTGATAAAGATGCTAAAGTTTAGAAGGTAGACAGATTTTGGACATAATGGTTCCAGAGATCAGATGCAATATCATCTCTTAACCTTACACTATCTTCAACTTCTTCCGGTCTAAACCCATGTTCATGTCCCTCTATCTCTCCTTGTTCTTCCTCTAATACCACTCCTCTATCTTCTCCTGCTTCTGCCATAGTCTCTTCTTCAAACATCCTAAACACTAAATCATCTGGTTTCTCCAAGCGGATGTAATTGTGCAATGCGCACGCCGCAATCACCAGTTTCACTTGCGTTTGTAGAGGATACGGAGGAGCTGATAGTAGAATCGGAAACCGTTCTTTCAAAGCTCCAAAACTCCGATGAATAGCTCGATGCAACAACTTGTGTCGCTCATTGAACATTTCCTTTGCTTCTTCTCTTTCGTTGGTTGAAACACCGTGATACGGGGCAATAAAGCCAGGAAGATTCGGATACTTACCGTCAACAATGTAGTATTTTCCTTGAGGAACTTGTAACTTGTTACGCCGAGTCAAAGCTGCTTTAAGAACTTGTTGATCAGAAGCTGAACCTTCCCAACCAGCTAACACGTAACGGAATCTAAGATCGAACGAAGAAGCCGCAAGAACATTCTGAGTAAGAAGTCCATTGCTGTTTCGAAACGGACCTTGCTCATCGACACCAACCATAACCGGAATATGAAAGCTATCAACAACACCAACACAGTCTTTGAAATATGGATCATCATTCTCTAAAGCTTCAGAATTTGGATTGGATTGAAAAAAATCCATAGAGATTGCAATAACAGCATTCAAAACATTATTGAAATGGCGGCTTATGGTTTCACCGGAGTAACAGAACAATTCTTGAACAGCTCGAGTTCGAAGATTATGACCAATGATGAACAAAAAGATAGCTAATTGTTCCTCAATCTTGATTCGATTAGTGTGACGCAATAAGCCTCTGGTTTGAAGAAGATCACAGAGTTTATAAAAGACAGGCTTATCCATACGGAAATTCTCAAAACATTGTTCGTTAGGACCATTTAGGATTTGGTAAACGAACTTGTTACCATCTGAGATTGAGACATTACTTACTTCTTTGGGGAGAGTAACAGCTTCTTCTTTGTCTTCTTCGCCGGAGATCTCCATAGATGCTTTAGAGAAGAAGAGATTAAGTGGGTTTTCGATGCAGCTAAAAAATCTTGATCTCGAAACTATCTGAAGAAGATTTTGGAATCAAAGAAAAGTGAAATCTCCGAGTTTGGAGGCAATGATCATATAAATCTTGTATTGCCCTCTATCTGTTCGACGATATGTCAGTTTAACGAAGTTATGAATTACAGTATGTCCAAAAAATTTTACAACAATAATGTCAAATTATAAGTAAAAATTAAAAAATAATATTTTGAATTTTCTAATCATAAATAAGAAAAGTATAAATATTTTCTTTTTACTGTTAGACTTCGTGATTTTATTGCCTTGATTGTTTTAGGAATTCAATTTATTGCTTCCAAATTTTGGGAAGTTAATGGCGAGTTTAGCAATGATTGTTTGTTTTAAGGATTTACTCCACTCATTTTGTGACAAAGTAACTTATTATATCTATCTGATCGATAGTTTCAAATGGATCTTCTCTTGTGCAGATCACGAGCCAAGCCAACACCATAGTTTTCGAATGCAATAATGTGCCTCCTAGGATTTGATAACCACAACGATTTGTGGACGGATTCCTAAACACCGGCTAACCGAAAGTTTTGCATTCTGTGTCTTCCTCTTGTTTTGGTATATAATCTCTGAACTCTGATTCCGACCCTCAATAATGAAGCACCTCATATGCGCATTGAAGGTGTTCTTCTAACTATAGCTATGCAATCAACATCCTTTTACCAACTCGAGATAGAAATTTGTGCAGGAAAATAAATAAACAAGACACCATACCACAGAAATTACCTAAAGTTCAAGACACCAAGAAATTTATGCAAAGTTGAAGTAGTTTTTCTTGCAAATATCAAATAATGCGGGGTTTTTCCTATGTTAAATTATACAAGGAGAGGAGATTTAGAAAACAAGACACCACACCACGGAAATTACTTAACAATCCAAACCGAAAAAGTAACTTATTTGACCATTAATAGTTTATTATAAGATCCATATTTTCTTGTGCAGAGCCAAAGCTAGAGCTTTTGAATGCCATGGGCCACCTAGGATTTGATAACCTCATTCTGACCCTCGAGAATGAAGCATCCATTACGCTCATTGAAGCTTCGTTTAACAATAGCTATGCGATCAACATCCTTACCAACCCGAGACTCACAAAAGTCCTTGTACCTTATGTAGACAATCGCATTAATGGCATTGAGTGATGCCTCATTAGGTGGCTCCACCACATCTTCACAAGTATCTATGGCCACTTTCATAATCTTCAAGCCGGATAGATCATGATTTCTACCAGTGCTCCTATGAGTTGTGGCAACTGCAAGTTCCAAATAGAGACGAATCCAGTCATTGACTTGCAGCTCTGATTCCTCCACCACGTAAAACCGGTTACTATTTTCGAAAAGATCCTCCGGGGGGCACGTAGGCAAGCTACCTTTGACGTAGAAATAGTGTTCAGTTATCAACGATCCATCCTCAGTGTTTTTCCCTCGAGGTCTAGCAATATCGGACGTCAAAATAAACTTGCCAAACCGTTCTTCATCAACTTTAGTCTGGAAATTTAAAAGTTTGCTGCGAGCAGGATCCATAGCAACCAAAGTAATGTAGTAATTGCAAGCAGCAGAATGCGTACTCATATTGTATTTCTTTACGCGATTGAGCTGTAAATTCTTACCCTGATGAACAAACAAAAGAAATTGAATTGTGGTGCAAGCTAACAAGACATAAAGAAAGAAAGAGTATTGATTTAGAATAACCTGAAGCAAATTGTAACGATGAAGGCCCATCCTAGCATAAAGGCGGACTAAGGTACAACATGGTGACCACCTTTCATCACAGATGGATTTTTGAAGTTCAGGACCATATCTCGCGTCAGTGGTATCGAATCCCTAAAATCCATCCAATGATCTCTTATTAAAACCCTAATTGAAAAACAAATCTCTTACAATATATAAGAAGATGAAAAATTACCTCGTATTTCTTCACTCGTTTCATACATTTCGACCTCTGACGACGAAAATTATTATCCAAAGCCTCTTTGCTTTGAATCGGCAGCACAATCGGCATCGTCATCGGCAACGTCGTCTCCTTCTAATGATATAATCTTTGGAGGTAAGAGAGAGTTAAAAGAAAATTAATTTGATATTTGTATTACAAAATATTATTTCGTTAAAACATTGCATACTTTTAAAAATCAAATAAATATACATGAATATATAAAAATTAATCAAACATCTAAAGTAAAAAGGAGATAGTGTCTTTAGCTTGATTCTCTTATTGCGATGGTCGGAATTAATATTCTCAAGAAAAAAAGATTGAAATCGTGTCATTGTATGTAATATGTTCTATAATAACACCAAATTTAAAATTGATGTGTCATATTCAATAATACTAGAATTTATATTCATGAACAACAATTCAATGATACAAGAATTTTTAATTTGAATTATGCTTTAATTTAATTATATTAAATTCCATTATTGAATAGCATCCTTTAATTTCAGTGATATTTTCCCTTACCACCCCATTGATTCTGACAGAGTTAAGTATTTTGTAGAAAAATTATTTCCTCAAGAAAGGGACGTATTGGTTTCATCATCATTAACACATCCTCGTGTTGTACATGAACTAGAAGATAATTTCTACAGAATGAAATAAGTATTCAAAGTATCTCAAAGATAGTGAAGATAAAAATTCCATCCAAAAAAAGAATCAATCAAATATCAAATGGTCACTCAATAAAAACAGAAATTAAAGAACACAAAACAATCCACTCTCTCTCTCTATGGGTAATTAGGAAATGATTCTATTGATGCCGAGCCAAAGCTGAGTCAGAGAGTGAGTGCAGTTCGAGCCATGGATAAAGCACCGTCATACGATTGGTTTCCGCCGATAAAGCCACTCATGTGGACAAAGACACAACCGGGAATCTCAGCAGCTTTAGAGAGTTCCTCATCCCTAAGGCCTCTCCATTTCTCAGGGAGAGGCTTTCGGTTCTCAAACCTGTCTGGTGCAACCGCCACTGCTTGAACTCTCCATTGCTTTCCTCTCTCGTCCTGTTTTTTTGTTTTCACATTTCAAACCAGTTTTAGAGATCCATTATTTGATGACAGGTTCTATCTTAAAAGGTGTACCTGGTAGATGACGTATTTGATGAGAGGTTCGATCTTCATTTCTTGCTCAAGCTCGAACAAATGAAGCTTCCACTGCTCACAAGAGAACCAGTGTTAATATCTTTAGACTCAAATAGTACTAGCATCGACAAGAAGAATAGAGTATTGAAACACTTACAGGGCAAAATTTATTCAATATCATGATCTCGCCACTGGGATCTGTCTTGAATCTTTCTTCAAGACACTGCATCACAATTGATCGAGCCGGTAACCATGATCTTGCATGAAACTGGACACTCTACAACACAATGTAAAAAAGAAGCTACCATAAGCTTTAGTTGTTTCAGTAAACATGTTTCACCTTTAAAGAAAATACCATTGCAATGGACATAGAAAAACTAGAAAGCAATCACATAGTGTTATATAAGAGAGATCTTACTTCGAGGAACTCTTTCCCAGCTAGAGCCATTGCACGTTGGAAAGCTTCATTCTCCTTTTCTTGTGACTGGTCAGGGTCAATCCAATCCAGATTTAATCTTCCAACCCTTGCGGATAGATGTGTGTTGTTCACATATCGTGGAGGCTGATCAGTATCATACCGATTTATTCCATTGTCCACAGCATCAATTGCCTAACAAAATTAAGCAACGTAACGTCATCAAAACAAACAAGAATTGATATCCATATGAAGACTAACTAATCTGCACATATGCCTAGAGTGTGCAAGCCAACAATGATAGAAGGAAACTAAAAATTTTAATTTGGAAATGGATTAATCTGCAAGAACTGATATCGATATGAAGAATAACCAATATGCACTTCTGACCAGAGTGCAAGCCAACAAATGATAGAAGGAAAGTAAAATTGGATTGGAAATGGATTAATCTGCAAGTACCTCCATGAAGCTCTTGTAGACAGCTAAAAACAATCGTAGAACATCCGGGTGTTCTTGTTCAACATTTAGCTCCTTAGCTATAATCTCCTTTCCAAAATGCTGAAAGTAAAACAACAACATTCAGAATTCCATCTTTCATAGTGAGAATGAGAGCAAAGAACAACCAATACCTTGTAAACAAGACCAGCACTACTGAGCTTAGTGTTGAAGCCATGTCCAAAAACTTCTTCAAAACCTTTCTGGTGATGATCATAACGGTCATGCTCCGGATCATAAACACCTCCAACATCAAGCACTGCATCAAGATCTGCCAATATCTACATGTATCATACAACACTAATTAAGCCAGATTTACATAAAAAAAAAGCCCTAATTCCAAAACTAAGCAGTCAATTTCTAGCAACTAATAAATCTCGCAATGCTCATTTCCTATTCAAAAACACATAAAACAGTGGAGGGATTGATTGTATTACCTTAGGGTCACGAGAACGGACGATATCAGCGCCGGAGAATTTATCGACGAGGCGAATCATGAAGCAACCGAGAGCTTCGTCACAGTGAAAGCTTCCATTATGAGTACCAACTTTCTTAACGGAAAGATCTGAAGGAGAAGGAGAGGTAGCAGTAGAGTAAACCCTAACGACGCTTGAAGGAGCCATTGCTGCTACTACGAGAGGAGGAAGACGAACTTGGAACAAGGCCAAGTTTCTGATTAAACCTTTCGTTACCGAAAACATTTCACGAAAATGATAAAATGTCAAATGGGCCTCTTCTTCCTTTTTATACGATTCTTTAAAGTAAAGGCCCATGGGCCTCAAGTTTATTTATTTTGTTTTTTATGTCATCAAATGTTTTCCAGTCATCAAATACAGATTAGAGAAATACGTTGAGGTGGTTAAAAATCCAAATGTGCTAAAAGGGTTTGAATTGTTGGTCGTCTATACGAAATTTTAGAATTTATAAAATATGAAATATTGAGGAAATTAAATTAACGAAACTACTAGCTAAGGTTTGTTACAAATATTCATTTTTCCTCTTTATTTTTTGGGCTCTCAAGTTTCATTGTCACTGTCTTTCTCCTACAATGCAAAAAACCAAATCAAAACAACTAAAATTATAAATAGAATTTTTAAAATTTTTCTTTAGTAAAGTTACCTTGGAATGTTTGTCAAAATGGATTCTTTTCTTAGATGAAAAATCTTCATCAGAAGTGTTTCTGAAGAATGAAAGTGTCTCAACATCACCATTTGCAATGCTTGCTTCAAGCTACCCAAAAAAAAAAACAGAGGATAAATGATAAAATACCAAACTCTGTTGCAATCAAATAGCTTCAGAAATATTTGGTAATACATAATAATAATCAGAACCTGAACATGAATAATGCCCAAAACAATGCTTGTAATTGGTAACCAGCTCTCTTCTGGAGAAATAGACAGATTCGAACTGCCAAAACAACATGAATTAGAACACAACACTAAAACAGAACAACAGATTACCAAACTCACATAAAAAGACTAAACAATGTTTGCTTCTTCAAGATTACCTCAAATAAGGAAGAAGATAAACAAGAGCATAAACAGCATAACGAGATTTTCCAGTGTCAAGCCAAGCAAAGACCCAACTCTGATTTTAAATCATCAAAAAATTTCGAATTTGTTTAGGGTTTTAATTAATATTAGGATTAAGAGGAGAAATGAACACAAACCAGCCAATTGAAGTAAGGTATGAAGCTAATGATTCCCATGGCGGCTAATCTCATATCTGTTGACACAATTGCTGAGTTCTCTTCTTCTTCTTCCTCATCGTTGACTCGTTTCGCTGCCGGAAAAAACAAATGAACTGAGGATACACGCACCAATGGCGGTTACTAGTGGTGCGTCTTGTGAAAACTCAGCTCTGCAAATTACTCTCTCAATCTTCTTCCTACAAAGCTGAGAAATCAAGAAATGAACAAAGTTATTGGGATAAATATTATCGAGAGAATCATTGCTAGTTTTGATCGATCACCTTCTTAGGGTTTTGTAGAGGAAAGGTTAGAGGAAGCAGCGACGGAGAAGAAGAGACTAGTCGGGGCTTGGGGGAGAAAGAGGCGGAAGATGAAAGTCCGCAAATCGAGAGACACGACAGAGACGCCATGATTTTTGAGCTTCGAGCTCGGTGGATCCTCCGGAAAGTGACAGCGATTACGAGAATGAGAGTGAGAGAGAGGCGGAGTTTTAATGGGCCGTTAAAGCCTACGCACTTATGGGCCCATTAGCCCAACATCGTTATATTTGGAGTTTTCTTTTACAAAAAGAACAAATATAATAGTTGCCCAAATAAACACTTTGGATAATTCAGATTACAATTGGTAGAGAAATATATTTTTTGTAAGTTGTATTCGATGAAAATAAGAAAAACGGTCCCATAAAAAAGATCATCGCGTTTGAAAATGGGAATTTTCTGCAACAAAAATATTTCGCTAAGATCATAATACATCACAAAACTATGGATATAAGAAAGCAAAATAATTATATAAGTGAAGTATTTATTAACCGGTGATAATACCGGCTAAAACATCACTCTTCCCTCTCGCATAAATTGTGTAAACCAAACGAATTGCGTCAAGCCATCCATCTAAAGACTCCCATGAATCTGCAACCTGTTATGCAAATTCAATTGTTTCAATTAGTTTTGTATTCAACACATCACAATCAAAATCAAACCAACAATCCAAACCATAGCCGGTTCCAATAGTTCCTAAACCAAAGAAATCAGGATTGGAGACTTACCAAGAAAACTGGGCCATGAATGGTATCAATGCAGAGACCAGCACCAGGAGGTAGAGTGAGGTCAGCACAAGGCGTCACTGACACAATCTCTGTAATATTCACGTTTACCGTCTTCCTCTCCACGTTTGTGCTCATTGTCTCTGATTTTCCTGATAGGTTTCGTCCCATTTCTCTTGGTTCAGGTTTCAGTACCTACAAGCCAGCAGTGACTTTAAGATCTCTATAGAAACATTATCCATCATCTTTTGGCATAATCTCATTATTCAAACTGAGAGAGTACCTGTAGAAGCCTCTCGTGATTGAGTTCAAACTCTGTGCGTTTCCAATCACTGTGAGGAGCGAGTGAGTTTCCCACAGGTGCTGCGGTTAGATATCCAACTTTAAGATGCGGGAGAGGTAGCTGCCAAAAATGAATTCAATTTACTTTTGGTCATTTCCGCAATAAATCAACTTGATTGTGTAAACTGAATGGGATGTACCATGGAACGAACGAGCCTCAAAGCGCTGCTGTAAACCTAGACCAAGAAAAAGATCAGCCTAACCCAAAGATGTTGAAGCAATGAATCTTAGTCTGGCTCTCAATCTTATTTTATAGAAATATGACTAAAACATCTTTGATTCCAGTACAAAATGGAGATAATAGGCTTACTGAGTAACTTGGCTTCAATGAATGAGCTGCAGCAATGTAGATGGCAGATTGGCTGTATAACTCACCGGGAGGCATGTCTTTGCCGTTGCCTGAACCGCCAGTTCTAAGTGTGTCTTCCGCTAATCCATACTGTAAATGTGAGAAGAATTCACAGTGGTGTTAATTAACTGGATTGAAATTATAACCCTGCATGTAAAGAATTTATGTGAAAGGATTGAAACTGACCAGAACGGTTCCAAGGTTGTATATGGCTCGATGGAAATCAAATTGCAACCTGATCGCCGCCCGAAACTGTATGGTAAAACAAGTAAAAAGGGACAATAAGATATCAATCGTGCAGATCATATGCAAGGTTTACATTAGTTCGAAAGACGGATAAGCACCTTGCTAATGGCAGTTCTGACAACTTTTTCCTTCTCCCTAGCAGGAACGATTTGACTGAGTTCCTATTGATATAACCCAGGGAATATTCTAAGTTTTTAGCATCTTAATATTTAGAAAAACACATTTTTTATGTGATAACATATCATGGAGATTAAACACATGTCACTCAGTTACCTGTAGCGCCAGTCCCCAGTTGTTTAATGCCTGCAGAGATTGATAACTGGTAATCAAAAGACTGCAATATAGAACTAACCAATTGAGGACACAGGCTTAAAAAAGGACATCATATAGTTGACAAAGGTTTGATTCTGAAGAAACAGTATTGTGAAGTTCGTATATCATATGAAGTAGATGAAAAGACCATACCTGGGAACTGTTCCAATTGAGCTGGACAGCTTTTTCATAGTTATTAGTAGCCTGAAATCAGAAAGTTAAACATACACTTCTTTAGAATTAGAAGTTGAGATCAAACTACGATAATATATAGTTTTCACAATTAGCAGGATAAGGTGCTGTCAGTCCTGATGTTCTATGAAATATCACTTACCTGTTCCCATAGTTCTTCAGCCTCTTTTGTGCGACCACGCATCTTTGCTCTATCAGAGATTGCGATAGCCCAGTTGTAGTAAGCCTGTCAAAGAATCCACACACGCCATACATAAACGTTGAAGCCATTATATTGCATATTCAGTTACATAAACCAGAAACAAAACAAACAGATATAGAATCCTATTAATACATACATCATAAAGCGTCGGGCAGAGACGGGTTGCCTCATCGTACTTCTTACAAGCTTCCTCAAGCAAATCATCTTTAGAAGGTGAAACAGAATCTGCACTGACATTATCAGCACTTTCCTGTGGAGACATATGGCAAGTGAAGTGATGAATACAGCATTATTCCCAGTAAAAGCATATGAACGAAAAAAGTTCAGATGTCCCCAAAGACAGACACTTCTAAGCTCTTACAGAAATACTTTTATCTCATGCCCAGTGTTTTATGAATTTTGGATGTATGTTTTCGCTTCTTATTTCTGTTATCTTTCGATTCTTTCCTTCAACACTTTACACAACTTGCAAGCAAGTTCTAGGCAAATTCAAATTCACATCCTTAATTCACGTTCATTAACGAAAGCCGATCACATTTAAGAGAGAAAGAGCGACCAAGAAAGGGATTGAAAGAGAGAACTGCTAAATACTCTAAACGAAAAGAAACCAAACCTGGAGAATAAGTGCCCAGTTGTATAATGCATCATGATCATCTGGATTTCTCTCTATCGCACTTGCATACCTACAAAGTTGCAGCTTATAACTTCACCGCCCGAAACAGCACAAACATAACATACCAAGCCTACCAGTGAGCAATGATGAAACTATTTTACTAAATCTCTGTATCTATCAAGCCTGCCTATGAGGGCATAAGTTCCAAACAAAAAGCAACAATCTAATTCATTGGTCAAGTAATCAACTAACTTTCATTTCTCATGTAAACTTAAACAGGAGATCATAAGTGTTACATACTTGCGAGCAGCAAATGCAAGAACACGCTGGCGAGATCGACCCTCTTCATCGTTAACTTGGATCCTGTTAATCAGATCCATTGCAGGATTGTTCTCCGCTGGTTGAGAAGCACTTTCTCGACTGAGCAAAATCATAAGACAAAGCACAAACAAAGTTAACCACATTCCAAAGAATAGTTACATGATCAACAAGTTTATACAATTCAACTCAAATCAGCTGAAAATTAAAGAGAAAGAGAGAAGAAACCTAAAGGGAGAAGCAGAACTATGAGGAGTCCCATCTCCTTCCTCGCTTTTTAATTCGCTAAGCAACTCTCTCATGGTAAATGTCTTGTTCCCATCATCTTCTTTCTTCAGAATAGAAGTAGATTCCTGATCAGTGGAAGAAGATTCCTGATTCACCTCCCTAGACTGGATCGGGATCTCCTCGGATCCTCCCGGAGACAGATCCACATCGGTTAACTCCGGTTTCACATCGGTTACCACAGATTGTGCTTCCTCCGGCTTTACCTCAGATTGTACTTCCTCCGGCTTAACCTCAGATTGTACTTCCTCCGGCTTCGCATCGGTTACCTCCGATTGTAATTCCTCCGGCGTCGCATCCGTTTCTATTTCCGGAATTTCTCCGGTAAGTTTGGTCTCAGTTTGGAGTTGTGGTTCCGGAGTCAGATTTTGCTCGGTTTCGGACTCACCTGGTACCGCTCCATTTTGCAATTGAGGCTCTTCAACAGTATCCGCCATTGGAGAAGCTGAACAAAGATCGCAGTATGTTATAGTCCGAGACTGATCACAAAAGTCTCTCAAGATGAAGAAGAAGAGAGAGATCTGATGTTCTGGAAATTGAAAAAACAAAGAAATAGTTTGTTACGATTAAACCTCTAGGTCAACTAGAGGCTCCTAAAACCAAATAAAGTCAAATCCTTCTTTTTGCCTCAGCGGGTTCTCTTTGGCTAATTTCTACATTTGAATTTTAGCAATAATGAAGACATTTTGAAGCGTTATAGGACGATGTTTTTTTTTTTTTATCACATTTTATGTAACAATAACAAAGAGTGCAACAAACAAGTAAAGAGATAGAACAAGAGTGAGAGATATAAGTATTAGATCTTGTCGTGAAGTTTGACGACCAAGTCATGAGCATCGTCTAGAAGTTTCCAAACATCAAGATGACCAGCCATGCTGTTACATTCCTTCATTATCTCATCCATCCCACTGTATTTCTCTATGATTGTTTTTCTCCTCTGCAACACGCTCGCTGCTATCGCATAAAGTAACAAATCTTCTGTTGGTGGTGCTCGTAACCGGATTCTCCCAGAAGTCGCCTTTGCAATCCCAGTTCTTATTGCGGCTTGATCCGCCCACATTACTTCCCAGAGACACAGCGTCTGCTCAAAGGTTAGTTCTCGTCTGAACAGAACTACCACCATACGGTATACAAAGAAGCAGTCTGCTGCTTCAAGGTTCTCCAAGTGTCGGTACAAGTGAATGTCTTTAACTTTAATGATTTTCGATACCATTGAGAGTTGTCGCCTGATTCCAACCTCGTCTAGCCGGAAATTATGCCTTGCTTTACTCATGAACCCGACAAAGCACCAGAATGCTAAGACGTCATCTTCCATCACTGCGATTAAAGGAGATAGTAAGTCGCTCATCCCTTGACAGTAACCGATTTCTGGATCGTAGACTGCGTAGGCTTCAAGGATACCGACCAGGCGGGCTGCATGGAATATCCGGCAGGGTTCCAAGTGGTCATAGTCATTGAGACCAACCTGTATGGCTATTCCTCGGGCTTTTGTCTCAGAAACAGCAGCTTGAGACGGTGAGTAGGGCACCCATTCGTCATTTGCTCTCACGGCATCTAGGCGAATAATTCTCTGCCACGTTGACATGAAATCCTCCTCCGCTGCCTGAGATTTTGGCTTTGATGATGGAGACGAATTGTCTTTTTCTTGGTTAACAGTATTGTGGCTTTCTACTTCTTCGTTAGCTAGAAGAGGTGAAGTCTCGGTTTCGTCAGGGTTGGTTGAGTCTGAGTCATTACCAGCAGCATCTTCAGTGGTGACATCGCTCTTTTCACAGTTCTCATCCTGCATAATCGATTCAGAATTCAACTTCTCTGATTCTTCTACGGTGATGGATCTTGTGGAACTCTCGACTTCCTCAATATCATGGGAATCAAGAACCTGACTGTCTTCAGTGTTGCTGCTCTGAGCTGTCTGCTTTGAGTCGCAGCCATTTTCATTGCGTTCATGAATCTCACGACACTGTCTCCGCAGGTTTTCATATTCCGTCCTGCAGGATTTTCAGATATTAAAGAAGTTACTTACAAACTAACATGAAATCTAAGTGATAGGAGATCCAAACTACGACTTCTTATTCCTAGTTTTATCAACACATTGAGCAAGTTAATAACTAGCTGCCACCTAAGAGAACAGAGCAAAATGGGAAACGTAATATTGGTAGAAAGTTGAGAAGCCATTAAACTCTAAATAAGTATAAGCGAACGTACTGTTTCAGTTGTCGAATAGAGTCTCTTTCTTCTTTGGTGCTGTTTAAATCATACCTGTGAGAGGTAAGTAGAATAAGGTTACAATGTGTCGGGATGATAAAGAATACTAATAACTTACACAGGGTTCATTATCAAATTAAATGCAATGTAGAGCGACGGCTGGTGGAGTTTTGGTATGGCAAAACTAGGACTAATCTTATAAATCTCTTGGAAGAAAAACCTTAAGGAAACTCTCCCATCTCCTAGTTAATGTGCTTTGCTGTTGCACTATTTATTCAACCTTAAACCTATATAACATCAATAGCCAACCCCAAAGAAAAAAATACACTTGAACATTTAAGAACATGCATGAGTATGAACATAGGGCCGAACAGAAAAATCACCATGGCAGCGGCAAAAGATTCAAGTATACATATAACAAGGAAGAGTGACAAAGATGCTGATTCTTACACTCCAAGGAGAAACGGCCAAACTTCTGGTCTAATGCTTGGATGTACACCCTGAAACAAAATTAAGAATTAATATATCAAGGCATATGGGGAAATTTGGTAAAGATCAGAGTGTCACAAGGTTATCAACTACAGAAACACTCATTCATGCAGAATTGTTTTCTTATTTAGCAACATACCCCACTACGAACTTTCTTCAGAAATGCACCTCCATCACTGAGTCGCCCTTCCTCTGTGAAAAAAGCATTCCATTGCTTAGGTTGAAGAACACGCTTTCTTCTCCTCAGTGACCAAGGTGATCCAATGCCTCCTCTGAAGAAGTGGATGAGCTAAGAATGAGCAACTTTGTCCAGTAAATTTAGAAAGGAAAACATAAACCAAACCAAATGTAGTGACAAAAGCTTTTTTCGAACAAATAAGACAGGCTAAATCTTACATGTTATGTCCTATGTTCATATACGTTAAAAGAATTGCAAGTATCAATGGAGTTCTAACACACAACAGAAGACCTAAGACTCTTAACCACTTCATCGCTATATACAGAAACAGCCCAAGCGATGCCAAGAATTAGAACAAAATAAAAGGACCAGAAGACATAAATCTATATCAGGCTGCATTTATAAGATTTCAACTGTTCATGATATGCATATTTATTATGCAGAACCTATACAAAATATTTTCATTGCTTGGGTTGTAGAAAGAGTCATAACAATAAAAAGCGATTTCTGAGTTCGATGGTAAGATATTTAGCAAAAAAAAAAAGCTTGTGTGTCTGATAAAGTTACAAAAGAAGAAACACAAATACAAAGCTTGTGGAGTTGATTATCGAGAGTTCTTTAAGGAGTTTAGTTTATACATGGAAGTTTCAGAGTTCCCCCCTAAGAACCCTTCCTAGAAAATCACTCCGCTTGTTCTATACTAACCAAGAGAACATGACATACAAAAGACAACCCAACAAACAACCTAAAAGCAAACGTTAAACATCGGTTACATTTTCTCTCATAATACTATAATAACCTTTAGTGATTGGAGCCTCAAGATCATAATAAGCATCAAAGTCTATGAATACAGAATATGGCCAGGACAATGTTTAGCCAGAGAGTCTTACGAATTAGCAACTAACATTGGACCAAGAGCTCAATCACAATGACCTAACTAACAGAGAATTCTTCGAAACTAAAGGCATGAGGATCCAGTCTCAAATTGGCGAGGTAACAAAGAAGCAAGAACCAATCTATGGGTAACCAAATGACTACTTAACTAAGTAGTGAACAAGCTTTGCTTCTTAGCTTTGAAGAAATCGATTAGAACATAAATCAGATCTTTTTGTGTGTATACCTACGAGAGTAGACGGTGAAAGCAACGGCCACGGCCATGACGGTGACAGCGACAGCTAAACCAACATTAGAAGGAACAATAGCCGACGACCATAATCCGCCGTAGTAGCCATTTCTACCGGCGCCGCCACCGCTGCTACCGTCGGCAAAGACGATCCATTTGCCGGCGAGGATCGGGGAGAAGAAGACCTTCGTCAATCGTAGTCGTGGAAACATCATCCCAAAACTAGGGATTTTGTTCACCAAGATTTCTTCTTCTGATTCTCAGAGTAATCATAGCAATTTGCTAATGCTTGTTGAATTGAAGAAAGAAATTGATTATTGAAAAAGTCGAAGGTCGTTTATAGAAATTTGGGCCCACTTATTTATTGGGCCTTCATACAGTTGGGTCATTTCTTTTTTTTCCCCAAAATAATTGGTTTTTCTATTTGTTTTTGTTTTTTTTTCCCTTTCTAAATTGTAAATATCATATAAAATGAAATGTTAGGTATTACAGAGCAATTACATAAAAATAGAGTAATCTTGGCAAAATAAATAAAAACAAGATTACAATCCATTTTGAAAAGAAATAGGGAATCCAAGTTATCGAATCCAAAGAAACATAAGCTTCTTCCATATCTTTCTATGCTTTCTACCGGTTATAGAATTACAGACCTCTCAATCGATGAAACTGAAAATAGTGGAGAACATTGTTTATTTGCTTCTAAATGTGATAAATAGAAGTCTGTGCTGCTAGTAAAATGAATTTTTTGAGAAATCAATTATTGTAGCTGAAGTGCTACATTAGCGTGAATATAGTCTTGATCACCTGAAACAAATACGACATTAAATGTATTTGATGGTGTGTAACTGTGTATAAAACATTCATTATTAAGGAGTAGTAGATGAACAAAGATGTGTTTGAAAAAAAAAAGTTTTTTTAAAAAAAATATCTGATTTTCACAATCAAAATATGAATACAACTTGTGGAACTCACAATTGCAGTAGAAAAAAAGAGATAAGAGGGAGGATAGAGAGATAAATAAAAAGATTTTGTAAAAGTTTACAAACAATTTTGATTTCATAGTTTTATATGTTAATATAAGTTGTTCACACTAATAAACTTTAGTATTTAATTTTTATCTTACATGTTCATATAAATTATGTGATGTTATGACTTATCAGTGAGAAAAAAAAGTTGAACACATGTAAGAATAACTAGATTTTTACCAATCATGTTTTGATTTCAAAATACTTATCACCTAAATCTTATCTTTAAACTAAATTTTAGTTAAAAACGTTTAAAACTTGATGTTGTAAGAAAAAAAAAATGGTAATATTAGATGCAAAAGATTACACAATTTCTCAAAACAAAAAATCTTAATATCCGTAACGATTATAGTAAATTTTATCCATTTAGCATTATTCTTTTAAATAAAAAATAATAGTAATATAAACTGTTTAAAAAATAAAGAAAATCAATCGAACGGCTGTGATTTCCAGGCAGAGGCAGTCAAAAGCGAGAGATCCTTCCAACCAAGACGGAGGGTTCCATTCTCTTCAACCAAAGTATATCCATTCCTCGGTAACATACCCAACAACAAACCCGCTTGCATCGCCGGGTTACCCCGAAGCGAAACGGGTCTAAACCCGACCCGATTCAGCTCCTCTTTCCACTTCATCCTCCTCCTCCTCCCTCCGTGCGCCACAATATTCCTTATCTCCGTCGCCAAAACAATCTGCTCCACCGTGAACCTCTCACCACTCTCCTCACCCAATCCATCTCCAAGCGCGTCGAACAACGCGCTATAATAATGCAAAGCCTCCACGAATCTTCCTAAAAAGCTTCCTCCATCGTCATAGCTCAATTCTTGCTCCACCACCGTAATCAGATTCGGTTTCAACCTCCGTAGAATCTCCAACGTCTCGAGATCGTTTCCGGTAACGTCGTATAACCGGTGTTGCATCCAATGAACCACCACAGCTTCGCCTTGTCTCGTCCCGAGTTGACTCGGATCGATTAGGTTTCCGATTTTGCCTTCAATTGGATGAAATTCGAACGGAAGGTTTAACGATGATGCGAAATCGGCGAGTCTCCGGCCAGTGGAAGCGAGAAGATCGGAGGAGGAACCAAATCCGGTGATTCGAATTGATCGGAGTTTTCGAGGACGTGAAGCGAGGATGTGAAACAGAGCCGGCCATTGAAGACCTTGCATAACATCGAGATCGATGATATGAACGGAATCTTCACCGTCAAGCGCCTGAAAAATAGCTTGATTCGCCGTGAAATGTGAGAATTTGATCAGAGGACTAACGGAGTTAAAAGTCTGCAAGGCGGAGAAGAGTCTCTGAGACTGAACAACAGTGAGTGGTTTCTCTGAGAGTGGAGTACACGCGCCAGAGAGGTAAGAGCTGATCACGCGCGTTTGTAACGCTTGTGCGAAGTAAGCGACAACACGCTCCGGCGAAGAACCGTACGGAGAACATATCTCGGAGATTTCGGATAAGAGTGTTGAAGCTTCACGGAGATGATTAGTAGCAACGTATTCAGCGCATTGGAGGAGTAAGCTAAGGAGTTTGATTGCGGCAGCACCGTCGTTTTCGAGTGTTTCTTCGGGGAATTCGATGTCGTTGATACGGCGTTTAGCGGCGGAAGGGTCGTCGGAAGATGGGAAATCTCTGTCTATACGTTTTGTAGTCATGGAGATTTTGTGAGAGAGGAATCATTGAAGAGAGAAGAAGAAGGAGAAGATAGAAAAAAGTGGGAAGATTCGAAAAGAGAAAGGGTTCGAGAGAGTAATGACAGGAATTTTGTAGAGTGAAGACAAGATAGTATTTTGGATGGATCAGTTTCTTGAAAGTTTTTATCTTTTTTGCAAAGATTCACTGTTATAATCAAGTGCTGTTTGTAAACATAGATTACTCTTTTTGTCTTTTTTTTTTTTTCTATTTACTAAAACCATTTTTTATTTGTGAAGTTCAAAACCAACGAAACCAAATGTTATCTGGTTGATTTCACTTTATATGAAAATGAAAAAGTGAACGAAACCAATTGGAAAAGATTTCGTGAAGTCTTGTGTCGATCGTTTATGTGAACTCTCGTGCACATACATAAAAAATGTACCACTTATCACATACTACACCAACGTGACAATCACCTCCGGATCCGATTAGCTGGTATATGAATCCAACTCAGGTCTTCGAGACTGCCCTGCAATGTATGGTATATGGGAACGTCTGGTTCCTCCACGGTGGCGTCAATCCTTTTTCTCAAAGTCACTGTTGGAATGGTTCTTTGTGAATTTAGGTGAGAATGGCGATGTGGAAGGAAGGCAATGGTCGACTCTGTTTGCTATGGTGACTTGGTGGGGATGGAAGTGGCGTTGCGGGAATGTCTTTGGAACGAATGGTAAATGCCGTGATAGGGTCAAGTTTTTGAAAGATCTTGCGGAAGAGGTGACCAAAGCATACTTAGCAATGGAAGATGGGAATAGACAAATGGGGAGAGTTGAACGGTTAATTGCTTGGACGCCTCCAAGAGAAGGGTGGTTGAAACTTAACACCGATGGCGCATCGAAAGGGAACCCGGGTTTAGCGTCAGCGGGAGGAGTCTTGAGAGATGCGGAGGGACGTTGGTGTGGTGGATTTTGCGGTAAACCTTGGGATTTGTTCAGCCCCGTTAGCGGAGCTATGGGGAGTTTACTATGGTTTGTTCACGGCATGGGAATCTCGGGCGACACGAGTGGAGCTTGAAGTGGACTCTCAGATAGTGGTTGGTTTTCTCACGACGGGGATAAGTGATTGTCACCCATTGTCGTTCCTAGTACGTTTGTGCTATGGCTTTTTATCGAATGACTGGATAGTCCGAATTTCGAATGTGTATAGGGAGTCGAATCGTCTTGCGGATGGTTTGGCGAACTATGCTTTTACTCTTCCTTTAGGCTTTCATAAATTTGTTGTTGTTCCGCCTTGTGTGGCGTCGATTTCTTTTGAGGATATTAGTGGGTCTTCACGACCACGCTCGGTTAGGTTGTAATTTATTTTCGGTTATGAATAAATGGGGGAGACATTGTCTCCCCTCTGCTTACCAAAAAAAAAAAAAATCCAACTCAGGTTAGGTTACCTTATAAAAAAAAGCCTTATAGAGAAAAATATCTTTAAAATCTTCAATTTTCAAATTGTGAACGTTGAAACCCTCAATTTTCAAAATATCGTTTAAATGGTTAACTGATTAACTTATGTTGATTATGCTATTTGAGGTACGCCGTTAAATCGAGAGACCTAGCACGTTTACGTGTGATTTCAAAATACGGGGTTTATGAGGATCCAAGTACACTTAGCTCTTTTCTCAAAATCGATCAAAATAACATCCAACACCTTTTAAATCTTTAGCTCATTACGAATCATTCTTTATAGAACAATTAACTTACATTCATTCAAAAAAAAAATCCAATCATGGATTGACAATTAACCAGATTCATAACCATCTCCTTTTCATTTTCCTAAAATTTTCAAATCAAAACAATAAACCCATTAGTTAATCGTACTGAAAATTACCCAGATTGACACAAATCTGGAGATTAATAACTAGATTAACACTCTAATTTGCTAGTTTACTAGACTAACACAAATTTTGTGTAAAATGACCAAAAACCCATTTCAATTTTTTTAGTCTTAGAAAAAAAAAAAACTCAAACAAAAAACAAAAAAAAACAGAAAAACATTTTAACCTTAATTTTATATTAATCGTAGACTTAAGCTATTTTTTTCTCTGTTTCACCCGACAAACACAATCCCTAACTTTGTTTTCCCCGATTCCCACGAAGAAAAAAATCCGGCGCAATTTGTCTCCGACGTGTTGTGGCTGTCGTGGAAGATAGAGATGAAACAGTTAGGATAGCCCAAAACCCTAGGAAAATAAGGTAAGTTAGATTTTCTCGTCATTTATTAGTTTTCAGTTATGGAAATTCAAAACAAAAAAGTCTGTCGTGTTTAAAAAAGTCTGTCATGTTTAAAAAAGTCTGTCATTCTTAAAATATGTAGTCCATCATGAAAAGTCTGTCATCAAATAGGTATAAAAACTCTGTCATAATATGAATAAAAATTAAAATCTATCATTGCTTAAAACATATCTGTCATCACTATATGAAGTCATTCCAGCAATTTCTTTTTTCATCACTAAATCTGTTGTAATGTGACAGTTTTTTTTGAACTAATCCTAAATCTGTCGTAATGTAAATAAAATCTGTCATCACAGAAATATTTCATTTGCGATTGTATGTCAATCTAGCAATTTTTATTTTTGTATGACAAATCTGCTATCACTCGACAGTTTTTTTGTTTTAAAAATAAAAACTGTCATAACATTAAAAAAATCTGTTATCACTACAAAGTCAATCTAGTAATTATTTTTCCAAAAACAAATCTGTCACTTGATGACAGATATTTTTATGAAAATAAAAAGTCTGAGGCCACTAGAAACATAAATCTGCCACTAATTTTAATAAATCTGTCAAAGTGATGAAAGTTTGTGGTGTCATCAAAAAATAAGTCTGTAGTGGGGTAAAAAACTACAACAAAATAAATATCTGTCGTAACCTGTTAAATTAAGTCTGTGAGAGATAAAAAATCTGTCACAGAAAATCTGTCGTTGATAAATAAGTCTGCCATTGAAAATAAACCTGTCATAACGAATCCAACAGACTTTTAAAAAACCAAAAAAATTTCTGAAGTTTTTTTCACACGTTTTTCGAAAAAATGGAAGGGTAAATTTGACTTTTTTTTTTTCTTAACAAAGAGAAAAAGGGTATTATCGTCATGAAAATAACCCATCTAACCCCCAAATTTTATGAGACATTCTAGTAATTAAAGTCATTATTTGGGTCAATCTAGTAACTTTCCCCTAATCGTATCACTTCCAAATTACATTCGCTCCTAAGCAATACTGCTATTCAGGGCCTAAGTAACCGTTAACGGACTTGAGTGACTCCATTGAAAACCATATAAAAGCCCAAAGGCCCATCAATGACTACAAATTCAAAACTCGATTGTCAAATTTTCTTTGACCACTTTGACTTTTCCTCTGTGATCTTTCTTCTCAAATCCATGTACGCTCTCTGAACTTCATCTTCTTCGTGGGTGGTCCTTAGGGTTTCATCGTCCCCAGAAAGTTCCTCCAATTTTTCTCAATCGAACTTGATCTACATCGATTGTTTCCCTCAACCTCTCTGACTCCGTGATTCAAAACCCTAATTTGCGTTTTAATCGCGTTTCTAGTTATCGGTGATGGATCAAGCACAGAACACAATCGCCGGAATTGGTGGAAGCAATGAAATTTCAACTGTAGACGATTCAAAGGAGAAGCTGAACCAAGTCATAAACTCGAATCAGAAAACTTTAGTACTCCTCCATCAATTAAAACTCACCGTCTCTTCTTTCACACCTGCTTCTCAGCTTGATCTCCTCCAACGCCTGTAACTTTTCTTGTTCCAAAGATAATATTTTGATCCATTGTTTTGAGTATTTGTGTGAATGAGATTTGTTGTTATTCGCAGCAATTCTCTTGTGATGGAGCTTGATAATATGGCTAAGTTGTCTGATAAATGCAACATTCAAGTCCCCATGGAGGTTCTTAAGTAAGAGAACAACACCTTCTTAGACTCTTAGATTTCAACAGAAGATACTTCTTTTTGGTTGCTCTCTTATGTTATATCTTTGTTTATGTTAAGCTTGATTGATGATGGGAAGAACCCAGATGAGTTTACAAAGAATGTTCTTAATAATAGCTGCATTGCTAGAAATCAAGTTACAAAGGGCAAGACTGATGCTTTTAAGGTGACCCTTTTGTTCTACTGATTCTCTCAATTTGGCTACCTATGATTATAAAGTCGACATTTTTTGGTACAGGGTTTGAGAAAACATCTTTTGGAGGAGCTTGAACAGACTTTTCCTAATGAAGTCGATAAGTATAGAGAAATTCGTGCTTGTTATGCCGCTGTAAGTTGTTTACCTTCCTTTTTTTCTCATCTTAGAATGTCTCTACAACAGTAAGTCAAGGTGACATTTTCATTCGAATTCAGGAAGCAAAACGGTTGGCCCAATCGCAAAGTGTGTTACCAAATGGGGATGCTAAGGTCAAGAGTGAGCTATAAGAGCTGTGAATCTTGCCTTTTGGAATAAAAAATTTCATGTAGATCAACGAGGATGTAAACGAACAAGCCTTCTTGGAATTTCTATAATATCCGTTGGTTCTTTTTCAACTTGGCTGATATAGTTTGAGAAGTTCTCCTTAGCCTCTGAGGTCATGAAACTATTAAATAGTCACACATAGGTTACAAATAGACTAGTCTCTTAGTTCTATCCATGGTTTTGTGGATTTGGTTCGTGCCTAGTATGTGGTAGATTCCTATCCGCGACATAAGATTTGCCTATTTCTAGGACGAGTAATCTTGGTTCTGTATAAAATAATATTATCTCCCGAAAGAAGAAGTGATCTCGCTTTGTATTGAGTTGGCTGCAATTTCAATTCTCGTATTGTCTTTTGGTTAAAGAAAGCTTCTCACTGTCTTTAGCTGTAGTAATGTTAGCTACACAAGCCTCATCGTGTTTAGATTGGCTTCTGTGTAACCACTCTCCACTAGTGGGTGGTGATTATATATTGATGGTCTGTGTTTTAAGCATTGTATTACTAATTCCAATAGTTCTCGGAGTGGTGATTAGCTGATTATATATTGATGGTCTGTGTTTTTAAGCATTGTGTTACTATTTCCGATAGTTCTCATCACCGAGAAAAACCAGGCTCTCAAAGGTACATTTCCTTTTCTCAACCATTGTAAAAACATTTTTTAATAAGTCTTTGATCACTTCCTTCACGCTTTTACTATTCCAACCACCTAGGGATCATACAGATTTGAAGTTACAAGCTTTGTTTAATCAGACACCATGGCTCTGCTTTTATAGTCTCCATATCAATACTTGGTTCTCTTGCAGCTGCAGAAAACCAAGTTTCGGTGACATTATGTGAACTGTAGAAAATAAAGATGAAGGACGCTGTTCTGTCCATAGGGAGGAGGCTCAAGAGACTTGTAATCGGTTTCCAACACAATGCTTGGTCTTGGACATGGCTCGTCTATTCTAAGTGAAACCATACAGAGACCTGTTGTGGATGCAGAGTCAGCTAGTGAGCTAAGTCCTGAAGAACTTTGAGTCTACCTCCAACATGAACTGCAGAGACTTAAGTTACAAATAGTTAGTTGTGCTTCTGTTCCATTAAAAACCCGTATTTGTTATACATACGAAAGCTTTGGCCCATTATTACTTAGACCACCACTCCTTGGTTCACTTTTCCAATTGTATCTATGAGTCTTCTCAAATTCGCATATTAATTTCTTTTTAAACTCTTTTTATCTACATTAGATCTTTTTGTTTCTCACAACACGATTTTAGTTTCTAAATATGTAAAATAAATTTTGAAAGTGTTTAAATATACGACTTACGGTTTTGGTGATTTATTAGTGAATATGATCAAAGAGTTACAATGTTGTTACATATCTTAGAGGTAGAATCCTATGACCAAGTGGTTTTGGTCTTTTATGATATCTTTCTATGACTTTTCTAAAGATTGTGTTTCATAGGATTTTCTAAAAGTTGTGTTTCCTAGAACTTCTAGTTCATGTCCCATTTGGGGAGATATTTAAGCCAAGTTTAGATTCCGATAGAGAGATGTATGAACTTTTCGAATATTACATAAATAAATAAAAATTTTATTGTATATCAATTTAATTTCATCTAAAAAAACTTAACCAAATTTGAAAAATGTATTTAAACTAATTTCTTTTCAAAAAAAAAATCTCTAGAACTATATAACGACTTTAATAAATCTAGAAAATTGTTTTATAACTTCGTTAACCGATTTTGTTTTGCATTATTAGATTAAAAAAAAACTCATTCGAAGCATGGTTAAGGATAATTAATTTGTATATTCGTCAACTACTAATTTAAAATATGTATTTGAAAGTATCTTTATTGTATGTGAATGTGAGAGATGGGAGGCATGTGATTGTCACATGAAGTAAATGAGGACGGTGAAGACATTTCTCAATTTCTCTCTCTAATGACATATTCATCAGATCCAAACCTAATCATGTTCCAATAATTCACCTCTCTTCTTTCTTTTTTTATCTTTCATTCATCTACCTATATTGGGTCCTTTCTCAACTAATCTCTTTTGACTTTCTCATTAGCCACTTTGACTAAATTTTCATCATTATGGTAAAAACTATCCGGTCATATATATACTTTTAAGGTTTTAGTTAGTAATCATTCAAAAACAAATAAATTCAAGAACAAATATTTGACTCTCTTTTTTTATAACCGAGATTATTTTACGTACATTTCATTCCAAGAGCTAGAATAATGGGAAAACATTATTATTAGATTCAAAGATGAACTAAAAAAGAAGTGGAAATAAGTCATCAAAATTTTATCATTATGACTTTAAAATGTTTGTTCTTTTCGATTTTTATATCTTTTTCGAATTGCCTTTTTATTAAGCTTTTGTTTTTTTAGCCCCTACATTTCCACAATCTTTTTCCTAATAATATCTTCCCTCTTCTTTTCATCATTGCTTTCTTGTCTCCTCCTCTTTCACTTTTATTTGTTTATAAATTAAGCTCATGTCTCTCTCTCTCTGTTAAAAGCTAGGGTTTTCTTATATGGAGTCCATGTTCTTCAGTGAAGCTTTTTCTTTTGAGGGGAATGTTGTCTGGCACGAGGCCCTTAACTTAGATCTATATTTGATTTTATATATGTCTCTTCTTTATTTAGTACTCTCTATATATATATACATGAATGATCGATTTTAACGGTTAATGACGTCGGACCAGGCTTCATTCCCCTCAATTATATCGCTTCTTCGATTTTGGCTTCTTCGAGTAATCAATCTCCTGGTTAGTTTTAGTTTCATTCATCTTATCTTCTTTTTTTGTGGTAATTGGTTAAGCTTCTTTCATAAATCTTTGAGTTTGAAGCAACTTCAATTTCTGTGGATGAGTTCATAAAAATAATGGATTACTTAATTTGTTTGGTTTTGCTAGGAATTTTTGGGGTTACCTAATCCCAAGTGATGAAGTAGTTAATTGTAAAGGTTAATTACAAGTTTGAGGTTGATAGTTGACTTCTGACTTAATTTTATAGCTAGAAGAAAAGAAGAGCAGATTCTTACTTTGTGTATTTTGTATATGTTCGTGAATGGCGAACAAATAAATCATATATTCATAAATTTATCAAACCGAATTTTGATGTATACTATGCTCAAAATCACAAACAAACTAGATAAAACGTAATTCAAGATCGATGCATATAAAGTGTTATTGGAAAATGGGCATTTTAAAAATTCTCCATAATTATACTACTTATTCGTCAGCTTAGAATATTTTTTTCGAAATATATTATTAAATTATTGTATGTTTCGTTGTTTCTTGTTTCATTTCCTTATATATTTACTTATTTTTCAAAAAAACTGAATTTATGTAAGTGGAAAGAATTAGAAAAAAAAAAAAGGACAAGTGGGATGGATAAGACATAAGAGAAGCAGATGCTTTGCTTTAGGTGATGCTTACAAAAAATAACTTTTTAATAGAATGAGTGAATTCTCTTCTTGTTTCATTTTTACTTTATATCTTTGGAAACGTATGATTCACAAAGGTGAAAACACTACAGAATCAATCCTATTTCACTCACTCTATAAAGTTTCGAATGTTTGCTGTCTTCACCGCAAAAAGAAAAAAAAAGTAAACAAAAAATCTTATAGATATGATTGTTCTAAATAACTTTGTAAAAATCGTTTTGATCTTTCTAATTTTTATAATATAGTTGAAGATGCTTCAATGTTTCAATTCACCATTCAATATTATGATTTTACACATGTTCAACACCGATCATATATAATTAACGTAACAAGTACATTTGTTATATGTTTTCGTCACTATATACATCATTCATGTTTTTGGGTGAAACTATATTATACCATTCATGTTATCTTAATCTCTCTTTTTTTTTTGCATATTACTTTATCTTATGTCTATATATGCCTTAAGATGCGACGAGTGTCATTCATTCATGCAAGTGAATACAATGGGATAATGTGGAATCACATTCTATCTTAAAAAGAAATATGCTTAAGTTTATAAAACCAACAACACTTTTTATTGTTTTTTTTCCAAAATGTTATTTACCTAGCATCAAAAATCTCTAGTCCCTATATTTTTGAGGAAAAATACAGACGTACTATATATGTTGTTCCAGATATAGGTTCCAATGTATTTGATACGTTCTTTGAAGCCACTGAAGGAACATGGATGCTTATAAATGTGGTAAAAATAATAACTAAAGGTGGTCCGGCTGAAGACAAAAACAAAGAAAAACACATAAGTTTGGTGAACCACTACTACCAATCTTAATTTGGCTAATACAAAAAATACTAGATGTTGCGCAGGGGTAGTTGAAATAAAGTAAGTTAGTGTAGGTATGTTAAGAATTACTAGATCATGACCCGCACGTACGTGCGGGGTTTCACATTTTAAGAAATGTGTTGTAATAAATTTTTAGTAAATATAGATTATTTTGTTGGTTTTTGGTGATATATATTATAGTAAATAAATTATAATGTACCCAAAAATGTGTAGAATGTTATTTATGTTATTTATGACATAATAACTAATGTTGTGAACCATATGTCAAATTTTGGAGTTTGAAACTAAAGAGTAGATTAGGAAAAATCTTAGATTGAAATATAATATAGGTTAGATTGATGTAAACAAATATATTTTATATAGTATGTATAACCCGAACTCATATCAGTTGGGTATTTAGTTTAATTTTTAGTTTGGTTTTAATCTAGCTTATTAATATTTGAATATTTGAAATAATAATGGTTTCAACATTATTTTAAAATTTGTAACAACTTAGCTGTTGGACCGGGATCAAATTGAAATGGATTAATGGTTAGTTAGATTTTTATTAAACTTGTGAACTATCAAACCGTATATAAAACCGTTAAAATGATTAAACATATACAAATATTTAGAAGTGGGCGTTATTCCGTTTGGTTTCGCCATATTCTATTATATCCTATTATCCTATAACTGTTCCTCAATTCATGTCGCACAAGAGAATACATTTCTAATATGAGACAAATTTATTAAATATAGATATTTTAAATTTATTTGATAAACTTTCTCCATAATTTATTTAAACAAATCTTATCAAAATCTTAAAATGAAGAGAGGGTTTAATGTGAATAAATTTTAGATAATCATTTTGAATTAATTGTAATTAATGTGTAAATCTTTTAATTAAGATTAATTTTCCTAAAACAAATTTTTTATCAATATTTTGAAAACATTCAGATTTTAATATTATTGTTGGGTATATATATCTGTAGAAAGATTGTTATTACGTATTTATTGTATATATATTTGTTAAGGAAATGTTTTAAAATCTAAACTACCCGTTTAAAAAGATATTTCAAAATTTATATCATTTAAATTCTAACTAAAATGTAAAATAATTTTATCTTTCTTCAAATTTTAAAAAAAACTCAATGGCATCCTATGTAATATTCTACAACTTAAAGGTTTTTTATTATCTAGTGATTCCCAATTAATAGTATAGATTTTGGCAACTCAAAATGATATGTTTAGGCAACATCATATACAACCTAAAAAAAGAAAGAACAAATCTGCATTTTTATATATAAGTGTGTTTGCAACCCATTTTGACTCGAACAACATTTAAACAAATTTCACTTATCATGAGCACATGATCCAACCATGCTCCGAAATCACTTTTATAAGTTTTTTTTTTTTTTTTTCACTTTTATAAGTTTTAATATCAAAGTCCATTTAAATGCATCACAAACACTTTATATCGCAGTTTATCATTTATCTAAATAGGTGGGAATGCTATTGCAACTGCGATGCTTTCACTAGACATTATGGAACAAAACAATCGTCAATATAAACCACATGGTGGTGGGCGAGTGGTTCTCGTTTGGTTGGAAGGATCGCCCTGTTGGTCTAGGCCAGGGATCGATCCTCCCCAGACGCAGTTTCGCTCTCTCACTCCTGTGGCCACCTGGGAATTTACCTGCGGACTTGCTCAGGCGCCCCAGACCACCAGTTTATCAGGGGGCCCTTAAGTGGAGGCTTAAAAATCCCTGTGACGCGGGCTTAGGCCCAGTGGGCTAGTCAGATCACTGTGTGGTCTGGATACTGGGTTATCAAAAAAAAAAAAAAATCGTCAATATATCCGACTCGTCCTATATATAAAATGCTACCCGAACGATCATAACCATTGGTAACTATATATAATCATCGAGTAGTTTGCCTGGACTAGGCATAACATCATATGTATATGAAACAAATTTATATGAAAAATATTTTAATACAAAGAATTATATTCAAATACATTCACAAAACTTGTACATGCTATTCATTATAAAGCATCTTTAAGAAATACAAAACAGATACTAGTACCAATCCTCCTTCTGTCCTTCTTGCTGAAATTGAGAAAATATTCATTGAGTTTTGGATACCATTGTTAGATCTTGGGTTGGGTAGACATGCTATGTAGTGATTTTTCGACTGAGCTAGCCAACGACTAGTAAATATAGACACGCTACCGAGACATGTATTCTTGACAGGTTCCTTAGGCACTGTCGTGTATTTGATGTCTGGTTTGATGTTGATACGGAAGCTAAGCCATCGAGAAGCTTCATACGGATTTCATTACCGATCATACCGGATAAAACTTTACCGCAACAAGTATTTTTATCATTTTGTTGAAATCTTGTTTTTGATCATTGTGTATTCTGACAGCACAGATAGTATTATTTGAAATAGATAAGGTATTTGTTTCGTGAATGCATTCAATAGGCTCTCATAGTCGAATATAGACTGATCGAGACGAGTTGAGAAGTAAACTAAGCCCACGTCTTATTTCACCATCATACAATATGGTTATGGTCGGTCCATTTCATTTAATTCCCTCTCTTGTCAAAAAAGTATATCATTTGTATATTATTTTTATTTTTGAATTTGTATTTTCTGAATTTTATATCAACTATTTATCGAATCCATGGACCAAGAATATGATGATTTTCACAATTATAAAAACTACATTTAATGACAAACGATTCTTAAAACTGATTACTAGGATCGAAACTACATCTTACCAATTGGTTGGTTATCGATCATTGTAATATTATGAGTCGCTCCTTGACATGTTGCACTCAAATCTCATTTAAGAAAACAAAACAACTTCGAATATTGCTGTTATTCTCTTAATTAGTCACCAAATTTGGTCTAACATCGACAAATGACTATTCGATCACACACAACCATGCACTTAATATTTTTCTTTCTTACGGAGAATTGAATATATATGTTTTTTAAGTGGTCTACATGATGAGGCTGCTACATTCTTTTTTGAAGTCTCTGCATTTCTTCTTCGATCATAGAAAATAAAAACAAAATATTAATCGATTATATATGGCAAAATTATACATATTTTATAAGAATATAATATTTATTTTCCCAAAAAAAGGATTATATATGTTCGTTAAGTTTTTTACAAACTCTTGAACCAAATTATACCTAAATGCAAAAAACAGTTTTTTTTTTCTTTTCAAAAAACAGTTTAATACTTAACAAACTTGAATGTTGAATCTGACTGCAACATCTATAACCAAAACAAATGGACCATTAATCACCGATTTTTTTCTAACACCGACAAACATTAAAGTATTCGATTACAATCACATCAACTTTTTGTATAACATGAGGAAGTGGCTCTACAAGATGCAACACATACTCTAATTTTCTTTTATAAAAAGAAAAATAAAATTAGAGGTTTGACATTTTTTTCTTTGGAAAATAAAACAAAATCTTGATTGAATAGAAAACGATATATATCTAACTTTTGTAATAAGAAAAATATATACTTAATAGAAAAAAAAAAAAAAAGAGTTTCATCATTATAAAATATATTCACTTAAGTTGATTGGGATCTTTGCCAAATGAGCTCAAGCTCTCGTGCAAAGTCTTTTTGTCGGCCGACCACAATGGTGATGTGGTCTTTGTCAGGGATGACGTGGACAGTGGCACGTGGCACTTTGCTCTTGACACTGTAACTACACTCCACAGGAATGAGCTCGTCCTTGCCACCGTGGAAGATGGCAACGTCGCAGTCCACATGGTCACGGACATGGTCGAGATACGAGTCGAGCTTGGCTCCTGACCCGAAGATGATGTTGTGTAATGTGTGAAATGACCCATTATGTGTGTGACATAAGAATCCTTCTATCAAATAAGTTCGCATCCTGCATACATAGAAAGAAAAAGAAATTAATTTCTATGGCATATAATTAGTAAAAAGTTAATACTTATTATGATATGAAACGCCAAAATGGAATTGAATGGGGTCAAATAATGGAGGAGACACGGTCGTTATAAGTCGCTTTCTATGTTTCAAGACAACTTTTTCTACTACATAAAGCTATTAGATTGAATAACTCGTCTATTAATTCCTAATATGGTATCACATAATTTATGTAAGAACTACTAAAGTGGACCGGACCAATCAAAGATTATTTAGATAACGAAAAAAGTTGTAGGTTCATTATATTACATATAACAATTCCGACACGTCAATTTCAAGGTATTGAAGAAGACGAGTGGTTGGTTCATTAAACGTATAGACTTTTAGACATTTCATTGTTCTCCGAATGGCCGAACCGCATGAACCGTGATCTTCGGGTTGATTTTGCTTATTCTAGTTTTCAAAATATTGTTGACGTAACTTATCTATTCTATATGTTGCTTATTCTAGTTTCCAAAGACTCGAAACTTCTAGAGGTTATCACGAAAACTAGTATCTAGTATCTATTCTAATTAAACTGAAACGTGATTAAGAGCAAGTTTGTTTTTATTTTGTTTAGATTTCCATTTGTGACATATAAAAACCTTTATATGATATAGATATGTACCTGTTTAGGGTGAGTAGGCGGGTGACAAACTCAATCAAGTGATGATTCTTGATAAGGACAAGGCCAATGGTGCGGCCTAAGTGCTCATACCAGCTAAGCACCGATGCACCAAACTGCATCGGTGGCCAAACTTCCTTCCGAGCCACTTCCCTCATCACGTATTGCGCTGGTTGGACTCCCTTTGGCACCTTGTAATATGGCTGCCGTATTATAACTTCAATTAGTTACCCCTTAAGTCCAAAATATTCATAGCTAAAATAAAAACATACTTGAAAAAAAAAATTCTAAGGAAAAATCAAAATAGTACCAAACTTATTCATTTTTGGTTTGGCTGATATACTTTCTAAACATGAATCAAAAACACACGAACCAAAACACATATATTCCACACTTCTTAGACCAACTTATAAATTAAAGATATATACTTTTTTTTGGTTTAAAAATTAAAGATATATTATCAGGCATAATCTACTCTAAGCAAAAAAAATGAAATAAGACCAATTCAAAGTAAATCGTGTATAATTGACTTACAGGAGCCAAAAGAGTAAGGGATTTGATAGCTCCTGGATGTTTAACTGCGAGTGCAAGAGCCAAAATGCAGCCTAAGGAGTGAGCTACTATGTGGAACGTTTTGAGCTTAAACTGAGAGATCACTGATTTCTCAATCATCTCCAAATGTTCTCTTAAAGTATATAACGAGTCATTTGGCTTAGGACTTCTTCCATAGCCTAAAAGATCGACTGCGATGAACCTATAGTTCGATTTGGCTGAATCAGAAAAATTTGGGAAGAGAGTCTCCGTCCAAAACGCGGATGATGATACGAAACCATGTATAAACACAACGTTGTCTCGGGCCTTCTTGTTATCTGCACATATTTAATATATTTCATTTATTTTATATGTTACCTTAAATATTCCCCAAAATAAGAAAACTGTTGTGTATCCGATATCGGATGGCGACAAGAAAAATATAGTAATGAGTATATTAAATTCTAGTACTTTTTACCTAACAACAAAAATAACTTTTATATTGCATATTAACAAAATGCAGAACCCTTTGAATCATATAATTTGATAAGCTAATAAAAATGCTATAATTCTTGTAAGTAAAATTTATTTTTGTATATAATCGTTGATTTTTGTTTTTGTTTTAAGCTATTGTTGGCATTTTTACAACAAAGAACAAGTTTTCTTGCTTGGTGAGATTTATATCATTTACATTTATTGTGTGTATAAATGTACAAATAAATGTGGAAGTGGATAAATTAATTACCTTTGGGTTGTTGAACTTTGACAAACAGAGAATCTCTGTTGGAAGAAGTAAGCCAAGAAGTGCAGAAACTGCAATGGCAATCCGACCATCTTGGAGCTGTCGAAGATTTCTCAACCACCGTAGAATTCAAAGTCATTAATCTCTTTTTACGTTTACTAATCTTCTTCTTAGACTCATGATGATCACAAGATTCCACCACATTGCCTCTCATGATCAAACCCTTATAATTAAAACATTTCACGGACCTCACGAGCTTAGAGAGCCTCGTTAGAAGTGAAGGACCACGTGAGTAAAGCGTGTCCGAGATCTCATCGAAATGGATCTTACTTCTTGTTAGAGACACAACCTTTGAGTACCCGCCTCTTTCCGACACTATGATCTTCTCGGTCTTGGCTTGAGCCTCTGGTGGAGAAGAGCAGTAGCAAGGTTTCCTCTCGGACTCCAAGAAGTAATCCAAAGTCTTGTAAGTATAACAAAGCAAGAAATCGGCAATGTCGAGGAGAGCGAAGACAAAGAAGCCCACGGTGCGGTTGAGCCACCGTGCAATGCCCATGATATTGAAGAAGGGATTTGATATGAATCTTGGAAATGTGTTTTTGAGAGAGTTATATAAATTGATGATGATGATAAGAGAGAGAGGGTAATTTATAGCAGAAGACAGATATATGAATTTATTGTTTCATTTAAAATAATTTGCTGTCCAAAGTGATGAATTGGGTGGAGGTTGAACCTTTTTTTGCAAACCCTAAATTAATTATTTAATTTTTCATTATACTTTTCTCATAATATGTTTATAATTTGGAATGTACTATATTAATTTATGGTTTGAGAGACTTTTGAGGGCTAAAAGTACCAATTACTATGACTTACTAGTTTTATTGTTGTTCGTATATATGAAGATTTTGTTTTATATATACTAAAGTATGAATAACATGTGTTTAACTTGAAATAAAAAATATTCTTTAATTTGATATAATATTCATGTAAAATTTTGGGTCTTAAATTTCATCTTGCGCCTATTTTGGAGATTGTGATATATATTGGTTGATATGAAGTAAACAAAAATGTACCACGGTCGTATAGTCACTGAGACACCGGTGGACCTTTAACACTTAAATTTGAATACAACTCTAAAGCTTGAGTATTGGATAAACAGAGAGATAATTCCAATGCTTGTTTTTGAGTTCTAGTGTTTCATATTTATTTGTGTTATTCGGATTTTTATATATTGCTTTCATATGATTTATTTAAGATAATGTGTTTTCTTGTTGTTTTTTTACTAGGAATAACAAGTTCGGTTTTTAAGGCATCTTTCTTTTCGAAAATGATCTTTTGGATCGACGATTAGCTGCATCATGTCAATTTCTTCGCCTTGCCTCCGACCGAGTTCCCTCCTTCCTCCTATTGGGGATCCCGTGAGAGCTCGATTGAATTGCATGCTTACACACTTTTTCTCTTATATGAAATTTTATCATTTGATTACTTTTCCAAATTATTTGGGGAGATTTGAATCTCCCGCTCAAACCCCTCCTAGGAGATTGGGTGGTCTCAAGGCTGAATCTGAAGAATAAGGATAATTATTACTTTTGTACCATCTTGGGAGATGCATCATATTCATATGCCATCCGCATTTCAGTTTTCTATTTAATGGTGTAGAGCATTAGTTTTTTTTGTTGTTGTTGCATATTTACCTTAAGGGAATCCCGAATAAAAGTGACGTGGAATGACGATTTATAAGAGGTCTATTTTGGGGTCGATATATCCATGTGCCACGACTTGAATAGTCATTACATAAACAAACAAATTTAATTTTTAAACATCTTTTAACATTATATATTTTACATTTTTTTGATAATTTAATAAAATAATTTAAATCCTATATTTAGTAATTTTAATATATATTTAATTTATTTTGGTAAAATAATATCTTTGAAATTATTTATATAACCGATTAAAAAAGCATTCGAATAAATACCATCCTTAGTTTCTTTTTATAAACAGTCTGTTTTCTTACAAAGAAACCATTTTTAGTTGCATTTTAAAGGTTTTTTTTATATATATTTATAATTGTAAAGTTTACATGTTAGGGTTTAGCTAGAATCCCGACATAATCCGGTATTGTATATATTAGATATATTGAACATAGATGCTGCCAAATATATATATTGAACAATAGAAATATATTTAAAGAAAGTTTCTTTAGTGTTGTTTGAGAAGAAGAAAATATGAAGAAGCGTGTTCGATGAGTCACATGTGCCATTAATTAAGCTCTTTGCCATCACTCTCTTTGACTATTAACCGGTCCATCTAAAAGACAGCCTAGCCTAGCTTGTTGTCCTATTTATAACATTGATTACAAACCTGGAAGTCAAAAATCGAGATATTCTTTATAAGTAACTTAAGATTGTTTTTGAGATCTACAATTATAATGTAAATGACATAAAAGTCGAGTTTATGTGCACACAAGAGGAAACAACTTTGTGTTAATTTAAACAAAATTAAATATATAAATAGCAATTTTTATGTTACACCACGACCAACAAGTAATAATAGTGTACGTAGAAGAACCATGTGCTATCTTTTGAACAAGTCATGCTATAACATACGTAAGCAAAAGGAATGGTTCAAAAAGTATTAACGTACTCAAAGTTTATTTAACCAAACAAGTCTCTTTCGTATCTTCCTACCACATTGGCAAGGATTTGAGAAAGTTAAAAATGGATTTCACTTCTAGATGTTCTCTCAAGCCTTTCAATTTCACTTTTCTTCTCCTTTGGCTATCACATTTTCAGGCTGCTCAATCTTTCACAAACTTCATATTTGGAGACTCATTGGTAGATGTTGGAAACAACAACTATATCTTCACTCTATCGAAAGCTGATTCTTCGCCTTATGGCATCGATTTTGGACCTTCCAATGGCCAACCCACGGGAAGATTCACTAATGGTCGAACCATTTCTGATATCGTGGGTATGTACGTTTTTTTAGAGGTTATACGTACGTAGAGCGTATAGATCATTTTTTCTGTGGTATATGTGATTTGACCCCTTTTTCGCATTGGTTTTTTTATTTACAAGTAATAGAATCTAAAACATAAATATGACTATGTTTTTCAACATGTAATAATAATTAGTATTTTATTAATTCAGAAAGTTGAAAGCTACGTAATTAGATATAAATGTGCATGATTTAGCGGTTAGTTACAATAATATGAATTTAATTCGATCTAAGTATCTAACAGAACAAGACCCTTGTACACACTTGAAGTCAACTATTTATAAGTTGACTCTTCTTGAAGCATGTAAAGTCATAACTGGATTGGGATTGGACCAATAAATTAGTTAAGAGTTATTAAAAACTTGTAAATGTAAGAGAGAAGTCAAATGCTAATTCCATAAATGCAACATTCATGGAGTTTGGTAAGGAGTTCTATTTAATTTTAATAATTTAGTAAACCATTTTGAATTGGTCCTAGCTCTCTTCAATCACTAAATGTTTTTCTTAGTTTAAGATAATGCCACTCTGTGTTTAATTGTTTTATGCAAAATATATAACCATTAATCATATAATATAATATATGGTTTATTTGAATAAATTAAAATTAAAACATTAGGTGAAGCCTTAGGAGCAAAATCAGCACCACCTCCATATCTTGAACCAAACACTGAGGCTAACACAATTCTCAATGGAATCAACTATGCTTCTGGTGCGGCTGGAATCTTGGACGACACTGGACTTCTTTTCGTAAGCTCCATCTATTAACTTTTAATTTATTTTTAAAAAATATGTTTATAAACCGTGTGAGACGAAAATAAAATTCTAAAACAAGTTTTTTATTTGTTATGAAACGAAAATTTTGCGAATATGTGAAAGATCGGGAGAGTTCCGCTAAGAGAACAAGTGAGTTATTTTGAGAAGAGTAGAGAATATATGGTAAGAGTGATTGGTGAAAATGGTACAAAAGAGATGTTGAAGAAGGCAATGTTCACAATGACAATAGGTTCAAATGATATATTGAATTATATTCAACCATCAATACCTTTTTTCTCTCAAGACAAACTCCCCACTGATGTCCTACAAGATTCCATGGTCCTCCATTTAACCACACATCTTAAGGTAATAAAAAATAGTACATTACTATATAGACAAAAAAATGCTACATATTCGGATACCTTGACTTGTCTGAGTCAAACAATTATTATGATCATTTGTTATCATCACTTATTCACTTGTGATGAATATCAATGGGTCCATATATGCCTTCGTTTTTTCATAAAATATTTTTACGCAAAAAGACAAAAGTTTTCATTTTGCAAATTGTACAAGTTTTAGTTACGCTAACAATTAACAAAACGTAGACGTAAACACAATCTAAATCGGTGTTAATTGCGTGTTTAAAGCGATTGCATCAGCTAGGAGCTAGGAAGTTCGTGGTGGTTGGAGTAGGGCCACTAGGTTGCATACCATTTGCTCGTGCCTTGAATTTAATACCAGCCGGAAAATGCTCCGAACAAGTCAACCAAATAGTCCGAGGTTATAACATGAAGCTTAGACACTCTCTTAAGACACTTAACACTGAGTTAAGATCTGAAGATTACAACACTACATTTGTTTACGCCAACTCTTACGACCTATTCTTGAAACTGGTTTTGAACTATCGACAGTTTGGTACGGATTAGTTTTTTGTCTGATTCTAGTAACGACCCATCACTGATTTTATTGATTAAAATCTATTGAAACATTTAGTTTGAGCTTTTTGTTAGGCTTGGAGAATGCAGACAAGCCTTGTTGTGGCGGCTACTTTCCACCATTTGCATGCTTCAAGGGACCGAAACAGAACTCAAGCCAAGCGGCTTGCAAGGACCGGTCCAAGTTTGTCTTCTGGGACGCGTATCACCCAACCGAAGCTGCCAATCTCATTGTTGCCAAAGCACTTCTTGATGGTGACCAAACTGTGGCTACACCTTTCAACATTCGTTATCTTAACGATCTTTAATTACTAACCTAATATCCGTGTGATTCGTAACCACATAAATATAATCAGTCACATGTCATGCACATCAATAACCTAAAAAGCTTTAATTTTCTAAAGAAACATCACAATTCACAACAATATAAAGAGATTCTACTGATAGATTATAAAGCTTAGTGAAGCTTGTACATTACAAACTGAACCAAACTGAAACCAAAACTAAGACTGAAATAAGCGGACTATAATCCGCAATAAAATCATTAGTCACCAGCTGAATGAATCCTTAGTCTTAGCAATCTTGGCTTTGTATGAAGTCTCTATTTCTTCCTGCAGACATTGCATTAACATATTATCACTCTTCCAATAACTACATCAGAACCGTTTTACATAGTTTTCGGTATGATCAAGCACCGATTCAAAACCGTGGGTAAAAGTAGAGCAATGAGAGATTTACCTTGCAGGATTTTAGCAAAGGTTCTAGGAAAGAGGATCTGAAGAACTTGATTGATTTCCCAAGTAAACTTCTATCTGAATCTGCAGGTGTTAAATAACTGATATTAACTATGCTAGTAAACTCTAATCCAAAAAAATTCAACATTGATTCTAATTGAGAACATACCATCATCATCCACATCCATTCTGAGGCCACCTGAATTGATTTCTTCTATTAACTGAAAATCATTAGAAGATGAAGTATAAGCTTAAGGAAATATATCTCTATGATGAACTAATTCAGATCCACACTCTTTATTATTTTACCTGTGAAAGAGTTGGAACTGCCAATGGATCAAACTCATCGCAGTTATTCGGGTCAATAGGAACACAAACACGACCTGAAAACAAGAAGATATATCTTCAGAATTTGAGCTCACATCCATATAAACTAAGTATGAACATGAGTCTAGTCAACTGGTATGATATATGCAAGAAACAATGAAAGGGACCTGTTTTTGGATGGACACAGAAGGGTGCTTTAAGCAAATGGTTCATTTGTTTTGAAACCTGAAATAAAAGAAGAAACCATACAACTAAACAGTCACTAAACTTGTCAGTTGCTATAAGATCTAATACGGTGAGGAAAATCTAGCATAATAGCACAATGGGTTTATGAAAATTGTAGCATAGAGTAGAACAAACCTCCAAATCAATTCGAGGATACGTAAAGGTGAAGACAATTTCTTCTACGCATGTCCGCAGTGATAGAGCCTAAAACATTGAATACAGAATTGAAGATGAGCAAATCTAGGATTCAAGTTCATCAAGCTAAAACCTGAGTGAAAGACAAATAAGGTTTTCACAACACTTAACATACATGTTTTCAATTCATTTAAAACATTACACACCTTGTTTTTCTTCGATTGAAGAGTTTTTTTAAGCTGCTCCCACCTTAAACGGCTGGTGGCTTCTTCTGATAGAGATGATCTCGCAGAATTCTCCCACTTTCCTCTGAGGTCTGCTTGAATATCTGTCATGAAGATGTAAATCATTGTAAATGACCAAACTGAGGTTAGGAAGTAGCGTAGGCTGGAAAAATACATCAACACTCTTTCATACCTTCATCTGTAATCATCCCAAGTATCTTCTCATATTTTTCTTTGCTTGAGAATATACTTTGAGTTGCTTGTAACTCATCCTCAAAGAAATTTTTCAGAAAGTCCACATATGATCTCCTGAAAAGCCCAGAAGAAATTAGTAATAAAGACTTTTTTTGATATCAGAAAGGCAGAGGTGATGGAGAAACCCGTACGCAAGAAACGGATGAAGAGAATGACCCATAAGATCGACTTTTTTTGCATTGTTTTCATTTCCCTGTGTAACATAGACAATAATTAAACTCAGAGAATTTCATAATGCAATAAACCAACAAAATAAACCATAATTTAGCTCCTGAGAACACTACCTTATAAACACGGAAGTATTCAGCAACTGCTGATCTTTGCTCATTAGTCAACCTGCAGGATTTAATCAGACAGTTTCATTTCATAAAACACAAGATGAAATGCAGAAAGTGATTCATACACCAAGCGAAGTGAATAACAATGTTAGTAATTGTTTCACCTTCGAGCTTTAGCATCACAAACCCAACAGTGAACTCCACGACGTCCACTGAAGACCCAGAGAATATGTTTGAAACCAAAATCCTCTGCAATTGACAAGACCAAAATGAGTGACTACAAGTTTGTTCTATGATAAGACCAAACAGTCTTGCACATTGACAAACACTAGATCAAGCAGTGAACTCCACAATGATATTCACGTTACAGGGGATATAAATATTACAAAAACTCATAGGGATGGAAAATCTCAGGAACACTACAAACTCTAGTTGTATCATCTATTTGAAAGTTAATTAAACATTTGTGATACCTCTTAAGGAAGTATCAATGACTTTGATAGCAACTGTCATTAAAGGCCAGCATTTGGAGCAAACATCAGCTCCCGAGCAACAGTATCTAACATCATCATAATCTGTTATATCCTGAGGAAACAACATATTCAAGTCAAGCAACAAAAACAAAATACATAAGAACAAAAATACAAAACCAATTCCAAGAAATTCTTAATAAGATATTAAAACTCACAATATCAAAGACTAACTCTCTCTCCACTGGAGTAAACAAATTGGTTCCACTATGTGCATAAGCATGTCTCTTATCTGGCTGAAAAAAACATTCATAAAACTCAAATAAGCATGATGATTTCTAAAACATAGACCAGCAACAAAGCTTGAAAAGCGGATTTTGCGACTTACATCAACGCTATACACAGCACCAATATCAATCTTGTATGGAAAATTCGATTTGATAGCATCTTCCATAACTGAAGCATTCTTGAAAGACTTATACCGCAAATAAACATCGTTCTCAAGCGTAAACGAGAATTCTCTTCTACCAAAGTAATATTCATCACAACCAGGATGTTTCCCATCTACAGATTCACAAAAATATAGAAAGTTTTAAGCTTTCATATCTGAAACAAACAAGCAAACAAAACACAAGTAAAAATATGTATATACCGTGTCCGTATGAAAGCCATTTGTGAATATCAGTGTAAGGAAATAGATTTCCTGCAATATGTTTGTTATAAGCAAATAGATTTGATTTATGAAGACAACAAAAAACCAAAAATGTGATAAAGATTAAAACTTGCCGTAGTAAATCCGGAGGTAATGAACATTAAAATCGTTTTCGATTTTGGGTTTTGGGTCATCAATCATCATATCTTCTCCATTGTTTTCAATTTCTTCTCTCGTCATCGATTTTAGGGTTATTCAGTATCTGGGCATCAACAAAAAAAAATCGATTTTTTATCTAAGCAGAGATTCACAGAAACATCATAATCGTATTGAATTAAATATTGAAACCAAAAAGAGTTAGAAACAGAAAGCTTACGAATTTTGAAGGAGAAGCTTGACGGAGAACAATGTTGATTAGAAAAATTGTGGCATTTTTGCTGGAACTTGAGCTTTTGGGAGATTTGGGAAATAGCGGGAAAGAAGAAAGGAATTAGGGCAAATTTGGCGGGGGAGAAAAAACATTGGGCCTAACTGTAGTTATGGGCTTTCTTATTTAGGCCCGTTATATTTTTGTAGCTTTTAATGATTTAAACGTAGATAAAATCAACAACTTTTCTATCATTTTCTTTTCATTTATTAGTCTCACTGATTTTTCAACTAACCTATTATTTGTTTTCTTCTGCACAGAATTATATTCCTTCTAATCTTCTATCCATTTTTTCCTTCTTTATTAAATAAATAAAGAACACATAGTATTATTTAAAAAAATCAATTGTACAATTATTCTTTAACTTTTCACTATATTTATTAATTATTACATAGTGAATTTAATTTTAATTATAGGTTTTATAAATTCTTGGCCTTGTTTAGATTAAATTGGGATGCAACTTTTATAATTTAATGATTTTGCTGTAAAATATTAACTTGTAGAGATTCGAAATTTAGTTTTTAGACCGTTTTAAGCTAAGAGAAGGACAAAAACGTAAATTAACAATTCCCTCAGCTTTCTTCTTCTTTGCCATTACTTCTTCTCTCTAGCTAGATCCACAGTAATCAAAATTCTCCGGCGATAAATTTCCACTGAGATTTTGACTCTATCTCTTCTTCACTCTCTACCAAAGGCTCTCATTTCAGATATGACGATTTCTCGAGCTCCGATCTCTGTTTTCGTACTCTTCTTGCTCTCCACTGTTTTGCCTCACCATCTCTCGCTCGGAGCTCCGATTACATGCTCTGGTATAGTTCCGATGAAACACAGGACCGAGATGCTATCGATTTCGGATTTCGGAGCTGTCGGTGACGGAAAGACCTTAAACACCAACGCATTCAACACAGCGATTGATCGGATACGAAACTCCAACAACAGTAGCGAAGGAACGCTTCTTTATGTACCTCGTGGTGTGTATTTGACTCAGAGCTTCAATCTTACTAGTCATATGACTCTATACCTCGCCGATGGTGCGGTTATTAAAGCCGTTCAGGTGAATGATTACTGATTCAAAACTTGATTTAGTGATGTACATTGTGATTTATGTTTGGATGTGATTTCATAGAATTGCATTATGGGAAATGTTTGTTTGAGTATTTTAGGATACGGAGAAATGGCCTTTGACCGATCCTTTGCCGTCTTATGGAAGAGGACGAGAGCGCCCTGGACGAAGATATATCAGCTTTATTCATGGAGATGGACTCAATGACGTTGTTATTACAGGTGAGGTTGGTTCGGAGATGATTTTGTGTCCGCTTAGATGTCGTCGAAATGTATCTTCTAAATCAGATTGTATGTCAATGCGTTTGCTAGGCAGAAATGGGACGATTGATGGCCAAGGAGAGCCTTGGTGGAACATGTGGAGACATGGAACTCTAAAGTTTACTAGACCGGGTCTCATCGAATTCAAGAACTCAACAAACATCGTCGTCTCTCACGTTGTTCTTCAGAACTCCGCTTTCTGGACACTTCATCCGGTTTATTGCAGGTTCACAATCTCTAACTTTGTAAGCATCTCATGAACTTGGCAATTAGTACTCACTATCTCTTTTCTTACAGTGATGTTGTAGTTCATCACGTTACCATTCTCGCTCCAACTGATTCCTTCAACACCGATGGAATTGATCCAGGTTTTTATCAGCTTCCCTTGCACTTAATCACGTCTGTTTTCGTTTCAAATCATGACTGGTGTGTTTACTAATTGCCACAGATTCGAGCTCTAACGTCTGTATAGAAGATTCCTACATATCCACTGGTGATGACCTTGTTGCGGTGAAGAGCGGTTGGGATGAGTATGGCATTGCCTACAACCATCCAAGCCGTGACATCACCATCCGACGCATCACCGGATCTTCCCCTTTTGCTGGAATAGCCATCGGAAGCGAAACCTCTGGCGGAATCCAAAATATCACAGTGGAAAACATCACTCTGTACAATTCTGGTATCGGCATCCACATCAAGACGAACATTGGCCGAGGAGGAAGCATCCAGGGGATAACAATCTCCGGGGTTTACCTGGAAAAAGTCCGGACTGGGATTAAGATCTCTGGCGACACCGGAGATCACCCAGACGATAAATTCAACCCAACCGCTCTTCCCGTAGTAAGAGGCATAATGATCAAGAACGTATGGGGAATCAAAGTCGAGCGTGCTGGCATGGTTCAAGGATTAAAAGATTCACCTTTCACCAATCTCTGCTTCTCCAATGTTACACTCACCGGAACAAAAAGTTCTCCAATATGGAAATGCTCAGATGTCGTAGGCGCCGCCTCCAAGGTCAACCCCACACCTTGCCCTGAGCTAACCACAACCACACAACAAGGCGGTTCCTGCGAAAACCAATCCTAATACTCCAAAAGCTAAGAGACTACTTGTAGATTAATGTAGGTTTTATTGTCATCTTCATAACCAAATCAGTTATTATTCATATTTTCTTTCACCAGCAATCAACACTTGAGATAATCTATATAGACTAATATAATCAAATTATAGAAATAAGGTTTCACAAAACAAAATCATATTCTACTAAATTTGTTATATAAACAAAATCATCTTCTCATCATTTTCACATCATATGGATAATGATATTTATTTACCAGAAGATGCTTCTTCAAACGTATCTTAGATTCTAACACAACAAACTCGAGTCTTGTTCTTCTTCATCTTCTTCAGACCAAATGGTTGAGAAACTTGCGAATCTTTCTCCTGAACATATTCTCTTTACGATTTGCCAAATTCACCGTAATCTTCTTGGAGCTATCATCCTCCTCCGTCGCGAAGCCCCCGACAAAGATCTTGATCGCCGGAATATCTGCGTCTGTACCTGTCGCCTTGTCTTCTTCGCCGGAGAAGATCATGTCGTTGCCGTAAGAGATCTGAAGACCACGTCCCAACAGCTCGTGGCACGGACGGCGTTTGAAAGGAGCCGTCGTCGTTAACGGACGTCTAGGGAAATGACGATTGATCGGATGGAAATTGACGAAATTCACCGGCACTGTTACCTCATCGGATCCGGAAAGGGTTGGGTTTGTGGAATCTGGATCGGGTTCGGCTGATGAAGTGGTTAGGCTTTCGTTGATGATGTCATTTTCCGGCTTGATAGAAGCGACGGAGAGAGCCAACGTGAGGAACAAAAGAACGGTGACGGTAACGGTAACGGTAACGGTGAGCGAGGCCATTGTTGTGACTTGTGAAGAAGGAAATCTGAATTGCGGAGGTTTTGATAAACGGTGTTAAAACTATTATTAACGTTTTCTAAAATCGACAAAAATAGTTTTGGGCCTGTATTTATTTTGGAAGCCCAAGTTTTAATGGATTCAGTATTATTTGTTGGCCCAATTAATTTGGCGCGAAAATCAAATCCTTTTTAGGGGTTTGATTTTACTGTTGTCTGAGATTTCTAGGTTTCTCGATGGCTTCACGGAGGAAAAGAAGAAAGGAGAATGAAGAATCATGTACTGATAAACCAGAGATTGTATGTTCGCCGGTCGTCGTATTCGCTCACGGTGCCGGTGCTCCCTCTTCTTCCGACTGGATGATTAGGTACTGCTAATCTTCTTCTTCTGAGTTTATTCACTTATTTGGACACAGGTTAGTCTGAATTTTGCTCTATATGTGTTGGTGGGTTTGGTTTAGATGGAAGGAAATGTTAAAGAAGACATTAGAAGCTGTTGAAGTGGTCACATTTGACTATCCTTGTGAGTTAATTTTGTGTGAATTGTAAAATTTGATTATTCATACTTAAAGCTTAAAGTGATTGTGGACTTGATGTGTAGATATTGCTGATGGGAAAAGAAGAGTTGCTCCGAAAGCGGAGAAATTGATTGAGTTTCATTTGGATGTTGTTAAAGAAACTGCTGCTAAATTCCCTGGTCATCCTTTGATATTAGCTGGCAAATCTATGGGTTCTAGGTATACTTCTTCTTGTGTCCAGCTCAGGCATGTTGTTTTGTTGTGTACGTTTCGATGTTGAGTGTGATCTTATTATCACTTGCAGAGTAAGCTGTATGGTTTCAGCTGTGAATGAAGATGTTACAGTTTCAGCTGTGATATGTTTAGGATATCCCCTTAAGGTTTGTGCTTTATGTCCATGAAAAGCCGATTCCTGTTCTTGTGAATGTATGAATGACCAAGGATATATGTTGTTTTCAGGGCGCGAAAGGTGCGATAAGAGACGAGACGTTGCTGGAAATGGGAGTCCCTGTGATGTTTGTGCAGGTATACTATGAATAATGTAACAAAACTCTATGTTGTTGCACATGAATGATTAAGAAAATAATTAGATCTTTGGATTGTGAATGGTTTTTGTATCAAAAGGGAAGCAAAGATCCGATGTGTCCTCTGGATAAGCTAGAAGCTGTTTGTAACAAAATGAAAGCTGTGACTGAGGTTCATGTGATTGATGGTGGAGATCACTCCTTCAAGATTGGGAAAAAACACCTTGAAACAAAAGAGTTAACACAAGATGAAGTCGAAGATGTCGCTCTGAAAGCAATAGCCGCTTTTGTCTCCAAATCTCTTGCTCAAAGCTCATAATTTTAGTCAAGTTACAGGTTTGTGTTCCTAATGCTGTCAAGTTTATGCCAACTTTAGTTGTGTTCATTTGTAATGGTAAACTGGAGTTTTTGTTAGGTAATGTAGACTACTTTAACTAAGCATCGCTCTTGGCTTTGCGTGACGCGGCACCATTATCAGCCCATATATGTCTCTTGTGTGCCTTATCCAATTACTCAGAAAATCCCAGTAAAAAAAAACTAAAACTATTTAAAGATATCCAAATTAACCGAAAATATCGGTAATTGAATTACCCAAACTATTTAAAATACTCGAAATTTAATGAAATACCACAAAATTAGGTAAAATGAGTTAATGGGTTTATTACGTTCGGGTTTTTTGGTTACTCGTTCGGGTTCATGTTCGGATCGGATTTTTTCGGATACCCGAAGTTCCGGCCTCTAAAACCAGTTCGAATATCTTTAAAGATCAGGTTCATCTTCGGATCGAGTATTTCATATAATTTATTTAAAATATTTTACTTTTAACATCTTTTGAGCTATTTTTCTAGTTTTTTCTGTTAATATAGTTTAAAATAAAAGCGGTCCGTGTTAATTTATTCTCCAATTATATTAAACCAAGGTATTTACTGAAATTTTCAGTCAATGCTAAAACGAAAAATTCATTCCTTTTTAGGAAATAAATCTACTGAAAATCCTAGTAATTAAACGATATTTCTCTTTTGTATTAATATACGTCTCTCTTAATTCCAAAACATAATCTTAAATCTATTAGCTCCACCTCTCATTTTTTGTATTCTTTATCTTGTAAAACAACCAAAAGACATGACGTCAGCGTTCGAGAAAACCTGTCAATAATCTCGAAGCGAGGTATTAGTGCTTACTCGAAAAGGTAAAAATCTCATATCTTCGAACTCTTTCAATATCTCAAGATTTTTGTTCGTTTTTTGGGTTGTAGATAGTGGTGGGCACGATTCGATACCCTGAAATTTGGTATACCCAGATCCGGATTCGTCAAATCCATGAAACATCTAACCGGATCCACCACTATCTGAATCCACAAAAAAAAAACTATAGTTGAATTAAAAATAAAATATCATATAAATATTTCAAAAAAAAAAAATCAAGAATATTGAAGATATTTTTATTGTTTTCAATTTTAAAAATTACACAAACTTTTCAATATATATATTTCTTAAAAATTCTAAGCACATATTATTATTATTATTTATTTATTTATTTATTATATTTTTTCTAAGCACATATTACATTCTAAACATATAGGAATCACACGATATTAAATTTTACGAAAAAATGAAACTTATAAAATTTTATAGAAGAATTTAAACGTGTTTTTAATAAACCTTGAAAGTTTTATTGGACCTCACTGAAAGTCATGTTGATCTTTGTATCAGACAGAAAATGGGTTCGAAAAAGAAGGACTGTGGTGGTGGTAGAGATATAATCAGCGGTTTACCAGACGAACTGATTTGTCACATCTTATCATTCCTTCCAACTAAAGAAGCTGCTTCAACTACTGTTCTTGCCAAAAGATGGAAGCCATTGCTTCGGTCTGTACCGAGTCTTGACTTTGATGACTCTCTCTGTTTCAATCCTCCAATGACTTACGAAGAAAGGACCACGAATGCTACAAGTTTTATGCGGTTCGTGGATGGGGTGTTGGCTTTGCAAGGGAATGCTAAGATCAACAGATTCCACTTTAAGGGTGAAGATATCATCGATCAAATGTGGGTGTTGGAAATGATACCAAATGTGTTGAAACGTGGTGTATCAGATCTTGATCTAGACATATCTTCGCTTTGGGATAGTTTTGACTCGATGTTTTATCATCTGCCTCCAAAGATCTTTGTGAGCGAGACATTGGTTAGGCTAAAATTAAAGTTTGTACAAGGCGTCAACATTAGTGTGGAAGGTGATGTTTCTCTTCCAATGCTCAAGATTCTCCATCTTGATTATTTCAAGATAGTAACGGGTACGTTTAACAAGCTTCTTTCTGGTTGTCACGCGCTCGAAGAATTATTGCTGTATAATTTGATGTGGGATAAGTCTTTGGAGCCTGGACCTTGCTTTGTGAATGTGTCTATCCCAACTCTCAAGAGACTAACGTTTTGTCGTTTTGAAGAGTTTGATGAGGCTGAAGATTTTAACAAAAGTGTGTCATTGTCAATATTTGAGAATCCTAATTTGGTCTACATAGAATACATTGATTCTATTGCGGATAGGTATCAACAACAAGTGAGTCTTGATTCGCTTGTTGAAGCTAGTCTCGGACTCCGACTGAGATCTGATCTGGTCTATAACCAAAGGTATCATGAAACAGAATATCATATGTCATTCAAGGAAAAGAGTAATGTAATAACTCTTCTGACCGGAATATGCAATGTCAAGATCCTCTGCTTGTCTGATAACACTCTTGAGGTCAGTCCCATCTTTCTCTTACTCTTTTGTTAATTGCTAGTCATAAAAGTAAAAGATGAATAAACTAAACAATGATTAAGGGCTTGACTTGATTTGGTTTTTGTTTTTCAGGTTCTTGGTTGCTGCCGTGATACAATACCGGTTTTCAACAACCTCATTGAGTTAACTATTGAGACTAAACCAGATGGAATATGGAAATCATTGCCAGCTATGCTCAAGAATAGTCCAAATCTAGTAACCCTTGTTTTCGAAGTACTATACATACACAATCCTTTTAAATCAACCCTACCACGTTTTTCAACACACTTAGATTATGAAACTGTTTCCTTTATGTTTCAGGGAATGCATCACATATCTTCAGATAGATGTGAGGACGAAGACGGGTGCTTATGCAGATATCCTACTGGTTTTGGGGTGGATGTGGTTGCTCGTACTTGCCTATCATCAAGTCCGGTCAAGGTTCTGAAGGTATTGAACTTTGGTGACATTTGTGATGATCATGAGGACGTTGAAGACGATGATGAAGATGAGGAATTTGTTTATTGCTTAAGGGAGCTGATAGAGCATGTCGAACACTTCATAGAGAAAATGCCGAACCTTGAGAAAGTGATATTGCACTACTATACATCAAGTGATGAAGATGTGATGAAGAAAGTGTTCAAGAAACTTGAGAAGCTTCCGAGAGTAGCTTCAGCCAACTGCAAAATCCAACTAATCTCGGATAACCTCAGCTTATCATCTAATGCGTCCGGCTAAATGGATCGGAGTCATTGTCTTTAGAAGATCCTTTTCTCAGGCTACAAGGTTTGTGTAGTTGCTAAAAGATCTAAACTCAATCCTATATATGATTATCTTTTATGACTCTTTTCTTTTCTTTTCTTGTTTTGGTTTTAGATCTAAACTCCTGTTTTACTTCCCTTGATGACTTGTGTTTTATGTTTTCGCTGTTTTCTTCTTATGGTCTCATCTTGTAATTGTCTCTCTCTTCTGCTATTATGTTGAAGAAAATTAGCACTCATTGTTCTCTTCTTGAAATGGATCACAGTTTCTTGATTATAATGATTTACTGCAGATAAATCTGGTTCTTTATCTTGGTTTCAGCTGAGAACATTGACTCATTTGTGGACCTGAAATTGAAGTTATGAACTTAAATTGTCATTGTTTTAACCTTTCTCTGAGCAATAATATTAATTTGTAAGTCAATGTAGAAATACAAAATGGAGCATTGTTATAACTTATAACCGAACATTGATCTCATCTTGAATGTGAAATAAATAAAATCATAGCATTATGATAGCCCTCAAGAATCATATTGATCTATCTCAGCCTGCGAATTCATTACACTAAACCATAGGCTCACCAATGGGTTCCTCCTCAAACAACAGAAACCTCAAGGCCTCGAGGTTGACTTGTTTCACACGGTAACTAAATCCCCCCTGTTCCAAACAAAACAGTATATATAGAGGAAGAGTTCAAGTCACCAAACACACCTTCATCGCCTTCTATAATTAATGTAGATGAAATCGATTCAAGAATGTTGGTGTTCTTGTGTAGACTGGAGATTTGAATCAATTGATTCAAGAATCAAATATCTTTACAAAGTGAAGATAGATGTATCATGTATGTATGTTATCTACTTATATTGAGTAAAAAGTTATATATTAAATAAGAAGGATATTTTTAAGTATTTTATAGAGTTTATGTTTTTTTAATCTGCTTAATTATAAAATTTCATAATTTAATTTATAACAAATTAAAGGTGTCTATATATTAAAAAAATAAAACAAATTTGACAGCTGTGGTCGAGATGACAATGTATCAATAGACAAAATAATTACTAGACACTCAAAAGACATCCTACACATTTACTTACATCAAGGTTACGGACACCGTTGGATCAAAATTATGTTTAAAGATCACATTATTATTATTATTCTTATTAATTAAATTATTGAGACTCTTGAGACAAACACAAAGAGAAAACCAATCGTCCCTTCTGGCGACGATTTAGATAACTCTGCTTTGATACTCAAAGTAAGTTTTCTCCATTTTCTTCTTATGATCTCACTGCTCATGTCATATTTGTCTCCTTTGTTTTGGTTTTGTGGGTACTTGTTGTTTCTTAGGTTGTGTATCTTAATGAAACCTCAAAGACCCTGAAACTGGTTTTGACATTTGGAATCCTTTTTCTTACCAGAGTTTCATGTCTTTTGTTCAGGTTTTAAGTGTCACAAAATGGGTTCGAAAAAGAAGGGTTTTGATGGTTCTAGAGATATAATCAGTGGTTTACCAGACGCAATGATATGTCACATCTTATCATTTCTTCCAGCTAAAGAAGCTGCTTCAACTACTGTTCTTGCCAAAAGATGGAAGCCTTTGCTTGCTTTTGTACCAAATCTTGATTTTGATGACTCCATCTATCTCCATCCTCGAGAAAGTAGTAAGAATAATTCTAGAAGTTTTATGGCTTTTGTGGAAAGTGTATTGGCTTTGAAAGCGAAAGAGAATGCTTCGTTGAATAGATTCCGCCTTGAGTGTAAAGATGTTGTCAACGAATATCGGGTGTTGAATTGGATATCCAAAGTGTTGAAACGCGGTGTATCAGTTCTTGATCTATGCATCCCTTCGTCTTGGGATGGTATGGACACTTTTTATACTCTTCCACAAGATATCTTTGTGAGCAAGACATTGGTTAGGCTGAAGATAGATTTTGAAGATGGTGTTGGCATTGATGTGGAAGGTGATGTTTCTCTTCCAAAGCTCAAGATACTCCATCTTGATTATTTCAAGATAGAAACGAGTACGTTTAACAAGCTTCTTTCTGGTTGTCACGCGCTTGAAGAATTAGTGCTGGTTGATTTGATATGGGACGATTCTCGGGTTAGTTTGATGTCGCGGGAGCTTTGTTCCGTTACCGTGTCTATCCCAACACTCAGGATACTGAAGTTTTGTCGTTCTAAAAGATTTGATGAGGATAATGATAGTGTTTCATTGTCATTTGATAATCCAAATCTGGTCTACCTAGAATATTTTGATACTATTGCGGATAGGTATCAACAAGTGAGATTTGATTCGCTTGTTGAAGCTAGTCTCGGACTTCGAATGACATCTGATCTGATCTATAGGCCAATGTATTCAACTGACACTTTTCTGGAGTCCAAGGAGAAGATTAATGTAACAAATCTTCTCACCGGAATATGCAAGGTCAAGATCCTCTACTTGTCTGATGACACTCTTGAGGTCAGTCTCATCTTTCTCTTAATCTTTTGTTAATTGCCACTCAAAAAGTATAAGAAAAGAAACAAAACAATTTGGATATATATATTGATTAGTTTTGTTTTTGTTAATAGAGCAATGCTTAAGGGCTTGACTTGATTTGTTTTTTATAGGTACTTGGTTACTGCCGTGATACAATACCGGTATTCGACAACCTGATCGAGTTAACTATTAAGACTGCACCAGATGTAGAATGGAAATCATTGCCAGCCCTACTCAAGAACTGTCCAAGCCTTGAAACCCTTGTCTTCGAAGTACCTTACATAAACAATTCTTTAAATCAACAGGTGCCATGTATTTCATCACACACTTAGTTTTTGAAACTGGTTTCTTTATGTTTCAGGGACTACATCACAAAGTTACAAAAAGATGTGACGAGGAGGATGGGTGCTTGTGCAAATTTAGTAGTGGGTGGATGGCTCGTTCTTGCCTATCATCAAGTCCAGTGAAGGTTATAAAGATATTGAAGTTTGGTCATTTATATTATGATGATGAGGATGAGGATGAGGATGACGACAACGAGAATGATGAAGATGGTGCATCTTATGATGAAAATGGTGCCGACATAGAGGAGCAGATAGAGCAAGTCAGGCAATTCCTAGCGACAATGCCAAATCTTGAACAAGTGATATTGTACTACGGTACACCATATGATGAAGATGTGATGGAAGTATCGAAGCAACTCCACGAGCTTCATAGAGTAGCATCAGCCAAGTGCATTGTTCAAATTATCTCAGATAACCTCAGCATATCATCTACTTTTCCGTACTCTTCTTGAGAAGATCCTTTTCTTCGGATTCTCAGCCATAGATCAGGCTAAGAATAACTAAACTCTCTTCAAGCTCCTCTTGGTCTTTTGTTTGTTCTTCCTTCAATGACTTGTGTTTAATGCTTTCTCCTTTTGACTCAGAATAGTGATCATCTTTTGTTTGTCTTTCATCTTCTTGAAATGGATCACAGTTTGTTGATGATAATGAATTTAATGACGTTGCTATATATAAATTAAGCACGTTAGTGCATAAAAAAGTATTTAACAGATTAAATCTGTATCTTGGTTTCATCAAGTTTAATCCTCATGGTGGATTAAAAACCGTGCGATGATCTTGATTTGTAAGTCAAAGTATACATACAATTTCCAGAGCATTGTTTTACCGTAACACTATTTTTTTTGGTAAGATTGTTTTTACATAACTGTGATCTCATCTTGAATGTGAAATAAATAACAAAATTAAAAAAAAAAAATGATGGTTTTTGTACAAAATTCTTAGCATTTGTAAAAATAATGAAATAGTCCTTAAGAGCGAACTCATCAATCATCACACTGAACCGCATGCTCACTGATCGATCCTACTGCTTGGTTATTTTATGAAAATGAAAAAAAATATTGAATTGACAATCTTTTTATAAAATATATCAAAAAATGCCAATAGAAAATAAAAGAATACTTGTATTTTGTGATAAAAAAAAGTTATACAACAAAGAAGAAGGATATCATCAAATGTTTTAATTGAACTTTGCTTATAAGGACCACTCATTATAATTCAGTTTGACTCTTGAGAAAAAAATGCGACGATTTAAAAGAAAATAAAACCCTAACATTTCGTCTTCTTGTTACCCTTTTGGCTATAAAACCCTAACTGTCAAAACTCAACCGTTGGGCTCTCTGCTTTGATAACCCTAGTAAGTTTTCTCCATTTTTCTACTTATGATCTCGCTGCTCATGTAGCGTATGTCTCCAAAGATTTGGTCTTTTTTTCGTGGGTACTTGCTGATTTTACAAAAAGACGAATCCTTTTGTATCTTGTTGTTCAAGTTGTAAGTAGTAATGGATCTCTCTGTGTCTTTTGTTCAGGTTTGTCTCACTATGAAATCGAGAAAGAAGATTGTTGGTGTTTCTAGAGATAGAATCAGCGGTTTACCAGACGCAGTGATATGTCACATCTTATCATTTCTTCCAACTAAAGAAGCTGCTTCAACTACTGCTCTAGCCAAAAGATGGAAGCCTTTGCTTGCTTTTGTACCAAATCTTGACTTTGATGACTCTTTCTATTTCCATCCTCGAGAAAGAAGAAACAAGTATTCTAAAAGTTATGAAAGTTTTATGAGTTTCGTGGATAGTGTATTGGCTTTGCAAGCGAAAGCGAAAAATCCGTTGAAGATATTCCACGTCAAGTGTAAAGATGTTGTTGATCAATATTGGGTTCTTGAATGGATACCCAAAGTCTTGAAACGTGGTGTGTTAGATATTGATCTACACATCCCTTCGTCTCGTGGTTTTTGTGAAAACTCGAGTTTTTATCCTCTGCCTTCTAAGATCTTTGAGAGCAAGACATTGGTTAGGCTCAAGACACAGTTTCAGGATGGTGTCAGCATTCATGTTAAACGTGGTGTTTCTCTTCCCAAGCTTAAGACTCTCCATCTTGATTACTTTCGGATCGATACCAGTACCTTTAAACAAGCTTCTTTCTGCCTGTCACGCGCTCGAAGAACTAGTGCTGGTTAATTTGATGTGGGGTGATCCGGAACCTGAAGCTTGCCCTGTGACAGTGTCTATCCCAACCCTTAAGAGACTAAAGTTTTGCCGTTCTGAAGATTTCTATGAGGCTGAATTTCATGAGTATGAAGACTATGATGAGGAGAACATTAACGAGGGAGTGTCATTGTCGTTTGATAACCCGAATTTGGTCTACTTTGAATATTCTGATGCTATTGTGGACAAGTATAAACAAGTGAGATTTGACTCGCTTGTCGAAGCTAATCTCAGACTTCGAAAGACACCTGATGATCAGACTGAAACAGACAAGATTAATGTAACAAAGCTTCTCATGGGAATACGCAATGTTAAGATCCTTTACTTGTCTAATGACACTCTTGAGGTTAGTATCATCTTTCTACTAATCTTTTTATTGACTACTTTTGTTTCTGTTAGTAGAGCAATGGTTAAGGGCTTAAGTTTGATAATCCATAATTCACAACTGAGTGATCTTGTAATTGATTTGGTTTGTGTGTCAGGTACTTGCTTGCTGCCGAGAAAGAATACCGGTATTCGACAACCTAATCGAGTTAACTATTAAGACTACACCATATGTAGGATGGAAATCATTACCACCTCTACTCAAGAGTTGTCCAAGTCTAGAAACCTTGGTCTTTGAAGTACTAACACATCCTTTACATCAACTTCTAACACGTTTTAAGCACACATTTTTACATGATTCTTTTATCTTTCAGGGACTGTATCACAAATATACCAATAGATGTGGGGACAAGGACGGATGCTTGTGCAAATATGAGAATCATTGGGAGGCGAAGATGGATATCCGTACTTGCTTATCATCAAGTCCGGTGAAGGTTCTAAAGATATTGAAGTTTGGTGAATCTTTTGATGATGATAATGATGGTGTTGATGAGGATCATGATGACTACGATGATGAAGATGTTGAGTCTTGTGATGAATTTGGTGGTGTCGTAGAGGAGCAGATAGAGCATATCAAGCACTTCCTAGAGACAATGCCGGATCTTGAACAAGTGATATTGTACTACAATACACCAAAGGATGAAGATGTGATGAAGGTATTCAAGAAACTTGAGAAGCTTCCTCAAGTAGCTTCAGCCAAGTGTGAGGTCCAAATAAAATCGAAGAACCACAGCTTATCATCTACTTCAACTAAACGAGGTTCTCTTCTTTAGAAGTTTCTTCTTGTGGTTTCTCAGCCATGGATAATGTCTAGGCTAAACTCAACATCTAAGATTCTCTTGTTTCTGCTTTTTGTTCTTCCTTTAGTGACTTGGGTTTAATGTTGTTTTGTTCCTTTTGACTGGGAATGTTGGTTATCTTTTGTTTGATCTCTTCTTCTCTTCCATCGAAGAAACTTAGTACTCGTTTGTTTCTTCTTGAACTGGATCACATTTTCTTGGTTATACTAAAAATGAGGCACGCTAAGTGCTTTTGCTATCGAGCCACAACAACATCGTCTGAACTCTGAAGCAAGTGGCTTATGCTTTTTGTCCACGCAATCGATTAAGGTTCTTGACTCGGTTATCCATCTAGCCCACTCATTTCAAGGCTTTATTTGGGCCTTGCAACCCAAAATCCTTTTCTTACTATTTAACATACAATAAAATCTCTATAAAGTAATAAATTGGGACCATAATATTTTTTTTTAATTTATAACGATATTAATTTATTTAAAAATTAATATTTCTTAATTTATAGTGTAAATTAATATTTATTAATTTATAGAAAATTTTGTATTAATTGTTAAAAAAATTTAAAAAATATGAGTTAAAACAATGTGATCTAAATAATATTAATGTTTTGGATGTTATAAATTTTATAGTTTTAGACTCAAAAATATTTAATATTTCAAAAAATAATTTTTTTTTACAATGAATAACAAAGATTATAGAATTCACATATACAAACGATATACATAAATTTAAATTTATAAATGCTGACATTCACTGTTGTATTTGAAAAACCTATACGACTATTAAAACAAAAATTATGCATATTCAAAATTTGAAAATTTATAGAAACTTTTTGGCTATATTTATAAAAACACTAAAAATATTATATATATATATATATATATATATATATATATATTTATATTTTTATTATATATATATATATATATATATATATACATATATACATATTAACGTGATTAGCTTATTATCTTATCGATTATGGTTAATTTTTACACTGGCCCGACTCGGGACCAACTAAATTTGTTATTGTATCGTGTTTATTAATTTATAGAGGTTTTACTGTATTCCTCAAATGTAATATGAAAGAACTGAAAATTAGTTACCTCTCCATACCACTGTTCCCTTTTTTTGTCACTTTTTGACTACTTTACCCATGTTTAATAATTTTGGTGAAAACAAGCAGATCAATGCCTTGGTTCTGCATAAATTGACATTAATCCAAAATGATCCGATAATTTATAAATTAACGACTAAAAGAATGTCATACTAAATTAAATAAACAATTAACCCGTTATAAATACATGTAACATTAAAGAATTTATTACCTAATTTTTTTTATGGAGTAAATAAATTATTATCTTATTGTTATTAACGATATGATATTACTTAACTTGTTATTATTATTGTTATCGTTCATAATAATATATAGCGGTTATTAAATTTATTAATCAAGCTAATCACGTTAGCAAAAGAGTAATTATGCATAAATATGCATTTTATCATAATTATGTATAAATATGATAAATAAATATTTAACACATAATATGTGAATTTCATAACTATATTTAAATATGATAACTGATTTAACATGATAAATAGATAGTTAACACATAATATATGAATTTATTATGATATTATAGTAGTTAACATGTTAATCAAATAGTTATCTACACAAATATTATATTATTTGTAACTCATTATTTTGTTGTATATGATATTATGATATAATAAATTTGTTAACATAATAAATTCATATTTATCACATAAATTATAAATTTATCGCGATACAATATGATTTAACATGATATATTTCTAAACTTATGGATATCTTTATATATATATATATTTCTAAACTTATGGATATCTTTATATATATATATATATATATATATATATATATATATATATATATATATATTGTTATCATATTAACCTAGTAAATAAACATGTAACTCATAATATGTTCTTACCCTATTTGATGAACAATTTTATCATATATAATCAGATAAAATTAAAAAATCATCTATAATATTTTTATTATATTGCTAAACAATATGTTATATACAGAGAGACATTTTTGTCCAACTTATATAAGTTGATGAGAGAGAACTAATTATATAAAAACTATAGATATATTCTTAATTTTTAGTCTTCTAGATATATAAATTAATATAGCCCTTCTTTAAAATGAAAACGGGAACATAGATGATTCCCTAACTTTAACATATTTCTCAAATCTATTTTTCAGTTTTCACTCCCCCAATCATATGACTCCAATTGC